CTAATGGATCATGGTCGTGTCAGATAGTATACCAGTGGAACATACCCGTGTCAGATAATATAGCTAATGGATCATGGTCGTGTCAGATAAAATAACCAATGGAACATATCCGTGTCAGGTAAAATAACCAATCCAATGACTCAGACTGACCTCGTGATTTCCGTTTCGGCAAACCCTCATCCGTCAATAATTTAATTTTGAGCGCAAATGATTCGTCATCGGTTCCATTGTTTCGACTGTTCACAAATACGACCAAGAGTGAATACCCTAAAGCACTGACTTTGTTTTTTCCATGCAATTAAAATTTCGACTGCAAATCATATATTATGTAAAACGAGCATACATTTGCAGTGGTCCATTCAAATAGTTTCACAGCTGTTTTGCCCTTTATGCCAAAAAGCAGAGCTGATCAGTTGTCGATTCCGACTATATCATGAGCATATGTTTATGAATCACTATCGAAAAGTGATGGTACCAGGTGTTTTTGTCAGTGGGAATAACTGCAAACTTAAAATACGATGACGACATTAGACATTTGCGAAGCATGAACACAAGAACAGAAGTACTAGAGAAGTAACATGAGCCCCTCATGGTTTATTATCCCTGCAGTGTTTTATTGTATGATAAACAACTCCCACTTGTTTATTTCTTTAATATAAACACCTCTACTCATTCAAACATTAGAAGTGACGTGATTCATTGATGCATATGTAGCAGCCATAAAATATCCGAGTCCCGTGATGGGATTCGGACCACGGACCTTCTGACTCATTAGAAGTGACGTGATTCATTGATGCATATGCAGCAACCATAAAATATCCGAGTCCCGTGATGGGATTCGAACCACGGACCTTCTGACTCATGAGAAGTGACGTGATTCATTGATGCATATGTAGCAGCCATAAAATATCCGAGTCCCGTGATGGATTCGAACCACGGACCTTCTGATCAGAAGTCGGACGCCTTGTCCATATGACCAAAGAGGTTAACCCCGTCAGCAAGCTGACAAGGTAAGGATGTCATCTGTAGGATGACTCCACGTCCTGCTTCACAAACATGACAGCTACTATAATCCAGGATCTGGCTGTATAAGTATCACAGCGTTGTAATGGCACTGCTCTGATGCAGGCCGGGGTATTATTGATATAAACATACCGTGTTTTCGATGTTACCTCGGTTACCTGTTACCTGTTGACTTTAGCGCCCTAAATTGAATTTGGAACAGAATGCTTCAGCCTGAAGTTTCAAATGCTACATATAACACGGTGTGCATATACTGAGTCTGTGCATTTAAAGATGCAATATCGTGAGATTTTCTGTCGACTGTAAAACGAGAATGTTGATGTTTCATTCCATTATCAATATCACTTATATTTTAACTTAAATTTTAGATAATAATCCTTAATGAACGTTGCATTATGTTAAATATTAAACGATAAATAAAGTATGGAACACTGGAGATGTGAGGAGCAATAAGGTTGAAAAGTAAAGACGTCATAGCACTCAGGAGAGAATACTTCTTTTACAATGTAATTGAAACTGGCATTCCATTACTCACTGGCATAGGCAGTTAAGACGTCGCTGTTCAAAGAGTGTCATAAATATGCCAACATATCAACATTGTACCAGGCGACAGCGAGAAATTTTTTACATACCTGCATCCTCGATGAGGTTTCAAGAGGATCATAGCGCGTGTCGGATGACGTGTCTGGTATGTGGGGAACTGTCACTAGTGTTATTCAATATCAAGGGATTGTTTAACTTACCTTCGCTACACGACGCTTCATACACCACACATTCTGCATTGCAAAACACTTATATATCCTTGAGCAAGGAAATAATATTTCGTCCAAAGTGCTTACATGGCAACTTACTTTTTGCAGGAATTATATTTAATATTTAATATCATACCTACATAAATGGATGATTTTACACCGCTTTAGTAATAGATTATTAATGTTTCCGATAACGCGAAATGGGATCAACGACGCTTGTGAAATGCCATGCTGACTTCTATTCATATTAAATATGTAGCATTGATTAAGTTACATAGACTTTCAGTCACCCTAAAAAGACACCTTCGTCGTAAAATGTCAGAGCCCTCGATGTACATATCCATGCGTAATCTAAACAAAGTATGCAGCCCTGTGCTGGGGCACACTTGGCACGCCCGCCGTCTAGGATTGGTGAATTAACCCTGTTCTGTAGCCTCATCTCGAGGCGGGATTTGTGGTCGTAAGTCATCTGTCGAGTCACAGAGTAGCTCTCACATCCATGCGAGTCACAGCAGAGCTCTCACAGCCATGCGAGACACAGCAGAACTCTCACAGCCATGCGAGACACAGCAGAACCCTCACAGCCACGAGAGACACAGCAAATATCTCACAGCCATGCGAGTCACAGCAGAACTCTCACAGCCATGCGAGTCACAGCAGAACTCTCACAGCCATGCGAGACACAGCAGAACTCTCACAGCCATGCGAGTCACAGCAGAACTCTCACAGCCATGCGAGTCACAGCAGAACTCTCACAGCCATGCGAGTCACAGCAGAACTCTCACAGTCATGCGAGACACAGCAGAACTCTCACAGCCATGCGAGTCACAGCAGAACTCTCACAGCCATGCGAGACACAGCAGAACTCTCACAGCCATGCGAGTCACAGCAGAACTCTTACAGCCATGCGAGACACAGCAGAACTCTCACAGTCATGCGAGTCACAGCAGAACTCTCACAGCCATGCGAGTCACAGCAGAACTCTCACTGCCATGCGAGACACAGCAGAACTCTCACAGCCACGCGACTCACAAAAAATAATCAATAGAAGGTATTGGGGAGGCACAATGGGTGCTCACGGGGATATCTACTTCTTGCCTAACTGACCTATCCCCAAATTGTGGATCGGTGCTCATGATGTCAACCACTGCATTGTCTGGTCAAGACTCGATTTTTTTTACACACCACCGCCATATAGCTGGAATATTGCTGAGTGTGGCGTTAAACAACAAACAAACAAACTATCCCCAAATTTCAAAAAAGCTTTAATCTGTGAGAAAGTCTAGCATTTCACAGATTGTTTTCACAGTTAACTTGATATGATATTTGCTTTCAAATGTCCATGAACTTTTGAAGATAGAGATGGAACTATATGTATGGTCACCACATTCCGAGACACATCCCCCATGGATCAAGGCATGAAGTTACTGCTGAAGTTTGTCGTGTGGGATAGTGTAGTACAAAGTTTAAACAATCAAATGTTTTGACATAAATGAACTTCGTTCTTTTCTGAGATCTCTAAGATTCAAGCAAATCCTTTGAGTCTTTGAAAATCCATATGTTATTAATTCCACTTATATCAAATAATTTCTGCGAAAAAAAAGAAAACCCTTCCTTGATTGTACTAAGGATTGTGGTTAATGTTTGAGACAAGGATAAGAAGGTAGATTTGCTGGACGCTGTAAATTATATGTCCATCGAAACTGTATCCATGATGTGAGCCCCTGTCTGTTGTCTGTCAAAGCGAGTACATATAATCATAGCTTAACTTCTGAGCAAAAGAATGTATTCACTTGAAAATTGGACTTGACCACAGAATTACAACGTTATCAGAATATTACTAGGCTGAAAACAGTCGCCGAAACACTACAAATTTAAGGTGCAATACATAACTATGGTACCCAAATTAAATACATAACCATCGAATAACCGCTAAAGGTCTTCTTGTTTGTTTGATATTTAGGCACCGTCAAACGTAGTGTATACGTTCCCTAGCCCGGCTTTTGAGCTGTGATTACATATGCAAATTTGGCGTGTCCTTCTAGCACTTGTAACGGAATGTTACATACGTCAACCACCGATACTGTAGCTAACAGCAACGAGAAACCGTCAACTGCACACGAATCTACATTGAGTTATGGTAAACGTCTTTTAATTATTCACAGTGAACCTTCTACACCATCATCCATCACACAGCTAATGGTGTTTTAAGATTAAAGTGACGTACGTTATCCATTGTGCAGCATTGGCCTTGTCTTCTCAACCGGTAGAACGTTGTCAGGAAGCTCAGCTTATGATTCAGGGGCTGTGGGGTAGTGGTTAACGCGCTCGCTCGTCACGCCGAAGAACCGGGTTCGATTTCCCACACGGGTACAATGTGTGAGTTTATTTGAGGTGTCCCTCGTCGTGATATTGTTGGAATATTGCTAAAAACGGCGTAAAACCACGCTCACTCACTCACTCAGACTATGATCCTTGGTTTTTCAGTGTAATTCCCTCGCTTCCACCAACATGGTGAATGTCATGTTTGGTTTTCAGGATCCCTTACGCTGACACGCAGTGATATAACTGAAATACCTGTGTCTGTTCATTTTCACATGTAAACCACATCGATCTAAGTCCCGTTTGGCTTTTCTCCCACATCCATCTGAACATGTGACGATCAGAGTTACACTTGGTCTTCAGTAACCCATGCTTATCGTAAGATTTTTTATTTGTTTGTTTGTTGTTGCCGCACTCAGCAATATTCCAGCTATATGACGGCGGTCTGTAAATAATCGAGTCTGGACCAGACAAACCAGTGATTGACATCATGAACATCGATACACGCAATTGGGATCGAGGCGACTAAGGAGATCGGGTGGTCAGGCTTGGTGACTTGGTTCATGCATGTCATTGTATCCAAATTGTTTAGATCGATGCTCATGATGTCAATCACTGGATTTTCTGGTCCTGTATCTGTCAGCTATACAGACCGACGTCATACAGATGGAATGTTGCTGAGTCCGGCATTTACCAACAAATAAATACACAAACAAAAAACACAAAATAAAGCTGACATGCCTTGATATGACTGCAATACTGTTAACTGCGTTAAATCAAACTCACTAACGCATTCATTACATTTCATTACAAATGATATTCATAAAAGTCAATGATGCTCATGATGTCAATCACTGGATTGTCTGGTACAGAGTCTATTATTTACAGAACGCCATCACATAGCTGGAATATTGCTGAATGCGGTGTAAAACAACAAACAAACAACAAACATGAAAATCAAATCACTTTTCACAGGTTGTATTGTTGCACAGTTCCTCTGTTCGCCACACCACGGGTGTGATGTATCAAGACTTATCGCATTTTCTATCGCTCGGCTGTCTATCTGGTGGTAGTGTAGGGGACGACGGATCTGCTTGGTTTGTTGGTTGCACCCTGTTACATGCGATGGAGAAGACACGGAGTTCCGTGATGGAGAACCTTCTCCCTTTTCCTTTACCACTGCTTTCTGAGGCGGAAGCGGAACTACTACCTACAGACGCCGTGACGTCACGAGGGGTAACACCTTCCCGGCCAATCAGGGACTTCGTAGAAGAATCACTTGACAAGCACACTTCGCGTCTGACACGCCAGTCTTCAACATTAAATCTGTGTATGTCTGCAAGGGTCTGCATCTTGTTCCCTCCCAAACGATGAAAAAAGCGGTGATTCCTTGGACTCTTTCGTTTTATTTCTTCCTGTTTCGTGTCAAGGGGCGCCTTCTGTTGCATGACGGGCTCGTCAAGGATCCTGTCACTGTCGCACACGCAGCGCTCTTCCAAAGCTCCTCGCACGGGCAGACCGCACGCGTCACAAGTGTGGATTGTCCCTACCGCTTTGGTCCATGCCATTACTGGAACAGAACAGTGAGTGCAGAATATCTTATATAGACACTGAAAATAAGTGTGCGTGTAAAGTGTTACCTTAGCTGGTTTACAGGCCTACCCACACACAAAAAGAAAATAGAAGTAAAATGATGACTTGACAAAAGAATTGGCCGATTCTGGCAAAGAACACTGTAAACTGATACAAATGAGAAGACTGTATAACGTCATGTAGGTAATTTGAACATTTACGAAACCTGATCCTCGAGCACGGACACAGTTCAGTTAAACAGCTATATGTTTAAACCACGAGAAAATATTTCCAAACTTCAAATTGATAAGTAAATATTTACAATTAAATCAAAATGGCATTGACTTTGGAACAGTAGTCAGAGTTAGATACATGCACGCACAGTTTCGGAGAGCTATGGCCTGATCTTCAGGGTGATTCGTCTCGGCTCCAACGATCACAATCGACTCATTCACCTCAATAAAACTCTCCTGGTACCGTAGTTTTCTGTGTGCCTTAAAATATAGTGAATAGAAATCTTTTTTAAACCATCAGTACCAGGTGGACATGCGCCTTCTCATAAAATGCATACCTTTCTTATAAAATCCATTTCAAATATACTTGTTGGTAAATCAGTTCATGGTTTCTTAATAAGATCCACACGACATTCAAAGAAGAGATTTTCCTTGATGTTCACATGTCTGAACTGAACAACGATTTAAGTTATTTCTATACAGACAATATGACAGGTATTGTATTGGCGGTATTGGTTGCCAAGTTTTCTATATAGTTTAATGTATCGATGTATAAAGTTACGGGTCAATAATATAATCACTATTGATAAAAGCTTCTACAGTTATGGCTAAGAACCTCCACTGTGGAGAATTCCCTTCTATATATCTAAAGCATACTCAGATCCCAGCCTGTAGAGGACTAGCCACTTTATCCGGGGAAGGACCGAGGACACACCCTGTAGAGAGGACTTGACACTTTACCCGAGGAAGCACTGAGATCATACCCTGTAGAGAGGACTAGACACTTTATCCGGGGAAGGACCGAGGACACACCCTGTAGAGAGGACTAGACACTTTATCCGGGGAAGGACCGAGGACACACCCTGTAGAGAGGACTGCCCACTTTACCCGAGGAAGCACTGAGATCATACCCTGTAGAGAGGACTAGACACTTTATCCGGGGAAGGACCGGGGACATACCCTATAGAGAGGACTAGACACTTTATCTGGAGAAGGACCGAGGACACACCCTGTAGAGAGGACCCGCCATTTTATCCGAGGAAAGACTGAGAACCCAGACTGTATAGGGGACAAACCACTTTATCCGAGGAAAGACTGAGAACCCAGACTGTAGAAGGGACCCGACATTTTATCCGGGAAGCACTGAGAACATACCCTCTAGAGAGTACTGTCCATTTTTCGAGGAAGGACTGAGAACATACCCTGTAGAGAGGACTGGACATGTTATCCGGGAAGAACTGAGAACATACCCTGTAGAGAGGACTGTCCATTTTATCCGGGAAGGACTGAGAACATACCCTGTAGAGAGGACTGTCCATTTTTCGAGGAAGGACTGAGAACATACCCTGTAGAGAGGACTGGACATGTTATCCGGGAAGCAATGAGAACATACCCTGGAGAGAGTACTGACCATTTTATCCGGGGAGGACTGAGAACCCAGACTGTAGAGGGGACCCGCCATTTTATCCGGGGAAGGACTGAGAACCCAGACTGAAGAGGGGACAAGCCACATTATCCGAGGAAGGACAAACATACCGTGTAGAGGGGACCCACCACTTTATCCGGGGAGGACTGAGAACCCAGACTGTAGGGGGGACCCGCCATTTTATCCGGGGAGGACTGAGAACCCAGACTGTAGAGGGGACCCACCACTTTATCCGGGGAGGACTGAGAACCCAGACTGTAGGGGGGACCCGCCATTTTATCCGGGGAAGGACAAACATACCGTGTAGAGGGGACCCACCACTTTATCCGGGGAGGACTGAGAACCCAGACTGTAGGGGGGACCCGCCATTTTATCCGGGAGAAGGACTGAGAACATACCCTGTAGAGAGGACTGGCCACCAGACAGCACGGGAGGCAGGGCACACAACAGAAGACATTCTGCCAGTCGAAAAGATGGTTGAAAGGGGTTCCCTTCCCGACAGCAAACCTTCCTCCGGTGACGGTGAAGTCATCTCTTAAGACCTGTTTCACCCATCGCTTTATTGCCGGGCCAAGGTCAACCTGTTCAAACATGTAGCTTATATAAGGCTTCAGGTACGTAGACCAGCAACACTGTAACTTGGTATTGGTAAGCACTTAAAGTCCATAAATCGATTGTTAAATCAGTTTCCGATCAATAGTATCGATTTAAGTTAGGAATATCGATAGTTTCGATTGTATTTTCCATAGGTTTACAGTTTCATTAAAATAATGCAATGCTGTTCAAATTTGTTTTTCTGTTGATGATGAGTGGTAGTAATTTACACATGGTAATGTGGAAGTTTCTTTTTCTTAAATTATTAGGGTTAAGAAAAAAACAATCTCATTAAAATCAGATCTTAGTTCTCGCTACCGCTAAACAAAGATCTGAGGACATCCCATTATGGGTCACGTCAGACCGACCAATGGAATGACCAATCAGAAACAGCTTTCTCGTGCTTTACGGCACAAATTTCAAATTGGCGACTACGCTTCGAAACATATTTTGACAAATTCTCGATTACAAATTCGAAACCTGAACAAAAAAACCATTCTGGAATGGCTAATAGATGGTCTGGATTGTATGGATTCAGTCGTTAAACCCGTAATTATCGTTCGGAATACCCCATGTTAAAGTTTTCGATGTTGCATGATTAGAAATCGAATTCCGACTGTCACTTTCATAATCTGGTAAGCGATTGGTCGGATGAAAGGTCGTTCTGACGTGACCCCTAATGGGATGTTTTCAGATCTTTGTTTAGCAGTAGCGAGAACTAAGGTCTGACTTTAATGAGATTGAGAAAAAAACAAATCAGTCATATCTCAAACTTTACTTTATATTTGTTGTTATGGTTATCACATTCAAGGGAAACTTCAGTTCCAAGATTGAATTCAACTCTAAAATCCATCTAATATGATACACTGAAACCTATCGATATTTATCGCAATAGTTGCTTGCAATATCAATAGTTATCGCAATAGTGATTTCCAGACCAATAGTCACCCCTAAATGGTACACTGCAAAGATGCCCTTAAAAAAGCGGTCAGTTCTATAAATCACGAGATGCCCTGCTCCATTCTAATGCCAACATCAAATCAGCGGGGACCATCGTGTAAAATTCCCTTCCCCATGTGGGCCGCTTATAACAGTCGTTATGAAGCATTGAGTGAGTAAGTGAGTGAGTATGGTTTTACGTCGCTTTTAGCAATATTCCAGCAATATCACGGCGGGGGACACCGGAAATGGGCTTCACACATTGTACCCACGTTGTGAATCGAACCCGGGTCTTCGGCGTGACGAGCGAACGCTTAAACCACTAGGCTACCCGACCGCCCCTGAAGCATTGAGAACTAGTCTATTATGGTGTCGATAAGAAGGACACTGGACCAGGGTATGGCAGCAAATGACTGCATTATCACCATGGATACAACACACTGCTAAATGGACCGTCTCCGGGAGAATGTTTGCCCGGAGAGCGGAAGGCACGGAGGGAAGGTACGGGGGTTCGATCCCCGGCCGCGTCGAAAGATGGTACTTGTTGTTACCCTGTCTGGCGCTCGGCATTGAGGGGCTAAAACCAGGATTGGTCGGCTCGGAGACAGAATACTGTGCACGCATGCACGCATGCACGCATGCACGTAGATATATAAGTGCAATATTCTTGAACACGACGTTAAACCCCATTTTACCTCATCTCACCCCACTACTAAATGTCTCTCGGCTTCCACAAGAGGTGAATACTGATTCAGTCAGATAAATTTATAACAAGGTACAAAATGTAAAACGGACTCATATATCCTCGTACCATGCATCGTAGATATTGGCAAAGAAGAAAACGTATCTTAACATGCACATTGTTGACATCCGCGACAAAACATATGTGATATAACAACGTCCGCTCCTGTTCACCTCAAAATAAAACTTTTCAAGTGGTTCGTCATCTTCTAGAGACTGTAGATTGTCTACCAAGTCATCAATACACTGAGCTTTTGGTTGCAGCACGACCACAATAGGAACTGTAAAATACAATATAACAGTGAAATTATTTTTAATGTGTCGTTTTCCATGATCATAATACACTCATGCATCATTTTAAAGATTAGGTCAATATGCGTAGTCGGCAATAAATGCGTCAGTACAGTACAGTAAATTACGATTAAAACGAACTCAAAGGGACTGCTAATTTTAGTTCGTTATAACAGTAGTTCGTTATAAGCATATATACAGCATATATACAGCAATGGCCGGGAACAAAAAATAAATTCGTTATATCCGTCAGTTCGTTATAAGCGTGTTCGTTATAACCGTAGTTTATTGTAGCTGTAAACATGTACAGGTTGTGTGCTTTTCTCGCCATATAGGGACGTTTTAAAGCCTGGAAGGTAAAGCGTTGTGCATAATGTATATATATTTCCTTATGTTAGGTACGCTTATTTTAGTTATAAAGCACATAAAACATAATATATACTTGCTCCTGTAAGCTTAGTGTTTATACATAGATAATAGGGATCATTTCATCCATAATGTTCACAAATAGTAAAGAGGGATCATTTCATTCATTATGTTCACAAATAGTAAAGAGGGATCAGATCACCTATAATGTTCACAAATAGTAAAGAGGGATCATTTCACCCATAATGTTCACAAATAGTAAAGAGGGATCATTTCACCATAATGTTCACAAATAGTAAAGAGGGATCATTTCACCATAATGTTCACAAATAGTAAAGAGGGATCATTTCACCCATAATGTTCACAAATAGTAAAGAGGGATCATTTCATTCATTATGTTCACAAATTGTAAAGAGGGATCATTTCACCCATAATGTTCACAAATAGTAAAGAGGGATCATTTCACCCATAATGTTCACAAATAGTAAAGAGGGATCATTTCACCCATAATGTTCACAAATAGTAAAGAGGGATCATTTCACCATAATGTTCACAAATAGTAAAGAGGGATCATTTCACCCATAATGTTCACAATAGTAAAGAGGGATCATTTCACCCATAATGTTCACAAATAGTAAAGAGGGATCATTTCACCCATAATGTTCACAAATAGTAAAGAGGGATCATTTCACCCATAATGTTCACAAATTGTAAAGAGGGATCATTTCACCCATAATGTTCACAAATAGTAAAGAGGGATCATGAAAATAGGGGGAGCTGAAATATTGCTGAGTGAAGCTTTAAGCAACAAACATGGCGGGTTTAAAACTTGGAGCTACCTACTTTCAACTGACGCGTCAAGAAGTGAGCTGCTCCGTACAGTAGCGCCGACTAGTGTAGGGAAGGACGTCAGACGGTAGAGCATGTCGCCGAGATCCCGATGTGACGTCACTTGGGTCACCCTGGAACATGACCATTATGTATAACGACAAAATGTTCTTGTCTTTTTTCTCAAACATTTTAATGCTTCAAGAAATAATAATAAAAGGGTTTAAGGGTATATTTAATAGTTGTCGCATCTCATATTATGGGGGCAATACAAGGACGTACACTTAAAGGTAATATGAGGTGAGGTGAAATAGTGTTTAACCTCGAATTCAAGAGTATTGCACTTATATAGCGACGTGTGTGTGAGTGTTTGCGTGCGTGCGTGCGTGCGTGCGTGCGTGCGTGTGTGTGTGTGGCTGCTTGCACTAGTCCATACTAATGCTTATTTTATAGTGCTAGCCCACTGAGATACCATGCCGCAGTTTGACATGACTACCCCACCCAGACATAGTATGCTGACTCCGAGCCGACCAGTCCTTGCTTTAGCCCCATAATTCCGAGCGCCAGACAGCCGGGCAACAACAAGTACCATCTTTTAAAGTCTTTTGGTATGACGCGGCCGGGGAACGAACCCCGGACCTTCTGCATTCCGGACGGACGCTCTACCATCAGACCACTTCAAGTATACTGTTCTCACTAAAGCATGTCTACTGTTGGACACAACTAAGACATTGCAATATTTCAGACCAAACATTTACTCCTGTGTTTTCAAGACTGGTTGTTTAGTTAAAAACATTTTGACGTATTACCATGTTTGAGAAAGTTCATCCATTGATCCAAATATTGATTCCTGTAAATCTGTCGCCGCCATCATAACGTTGATCCAGTCATCATACATTATCTTCCCCTTCATCAGACGGAAGGACTTGCTCACTCCTATGGGGTCTGTTTGGAGCACGCGCCAGGGAACTAATACAGCGCCCTCTTCCGGCAGATTGAGGAAGGTCGAGGTCACGGAGTACCCTCTATACTCGGCGTTCTCTCTCCGCGTGCGAACTCGTGGTTTCACCTGGATTCTCTTCATTTTCGACGGAGGCATAATCTATCAAATCGTACAGACATATATAACCATCATGTGCAATACATGGACTAAAAGTAAAAAATACGATTGCTTCAATGACGTTTCCTTAATGAGAACGACTTTAAAGATTTTTTTAATCCTCTTCCAACAAATATCAAATTCCTTCTCATTGGACACGCATGCAGTGATTGGTTGATTATACGTGTTTCAGTTCTATCAATCATAGATAACCATCATTTCTACAGTAGTCCAGTAAACATCCTTGCCGAATTAGGCTGGATATCCGGAGTCACACTTCGGCTGGAGTAACGAGTCTGTGCATAGTCCAATCAAAATCGCGTTACGAACATGACATCCGGTTCGCAAACAACATGGATTTCAACGTGCAGATATCGGTCCACTGCAGGATTTGCAAAGTATGTGTACCGCCAACGGGGCGCCGACAGATATTTTGCAAATCTTTCATGTTTTTGATCAATGTGCTCACGTGATTTGATGCATTTCGCGAGGTAAGACCCGTTCCATTACAATAATAGATCTTGATTATCGATAAGATCGTTTTGACAGGGCGCCGCCATTTTGTTTGAAACAAATGCATCTGATACGAGACGTGGAACCTGATTGGTCATTTGGAGGGACATAGTAGAGGCATAACTCGTAATTGCTACTGGTCGCGCTATATTCGAGCCTGGAAATTCTAGCCTAGTTCAGCAAGGGTGGAAACTAGACTTCAATGGTCAGTTAACACCCTTGCCTCCGGAAGATGTACATAACTTGCCAGTGCCAAATCATTAATTGCTTTGTGAGGTGCCCTTAAAGATGTGGCAAGGCTTTTTTGAAAAACAAGACACTGTTTCATGTGATAATCATACATAAGCTTGATTTTCCGATGAGCAAAAATACAAATATGACGAAATGTACATTCCTTGATCCAAATATACAAGAGCAAACAAAGGTTGTCGCCGTATTTTAGTATATTTAATTAATACCTCGTTGCCAAACACCTATTTACTTTGATTAATGGCTTCGTAGTAATATTTCAACGTCACTCCAAAGCTGTATGTTTTTATATTTGCAAAGTTTAACAGATTCATAAAATGAAATAAATACATTTCTCTTCTTCGTTATCAAATAGGTAATATTATTCCTAATTACCAAACACGATATCATTTTTCCAGAATAATTATCTTACACACATATAATACATGATATTTCATATGGTTTTTGAAATCTTTCACTTTAAGAAATATTCAACTTACCTCAATTTTTATTTGCTGTTTCTAAAAAAAATATTTAAATCTGATCCCCAAATCAGCCTGGTCCACACACAAAGTTATTTCCACAGAGCTGCTCGAGAAAACTACAGTTCACATATAAAAACTGTCGTTTGCTAAACACTCTAATATCTTCAGAGATAGCCAGTTCAAAAGCTTTTCATGAGACCAATCATGTGATCGCATATTTGGATTAACCAATGAGAACTCAACGATATAAAGGTCAACAAATGTCACTCCGAAGTCACGTGACAAACATATTGAACCCAGTCACCGATATGAGACCCATTTCAATACAGGACAATATCCGATCACTCCGATATGGTTGATTGCCATCGCTCACGTATGTGATCAGTGTACTTCAAACACAGATGAAAGAGGCGTGTTTACTGTTGCTACCAATTACAACTACCATATCAACTTCCAAACTTCGTTTACTCCGATATAAATGTAGGCCATGATGCAAGCTAAAATGTTCATGGCAAGATCCAAATCAACTTATTCACCGATACAGTGCGTTCCTGCTCATATAACAGTGCTCAATTTCCCCGCATAAGAAAGTATATATACGCCTGTTTGGTGGTAGCTAAAATAAAACAAACAAGAAATGGTTATTCCATGGCGATGTACATGTTTTTTGATACAGATATAAAAGTTGTGTCTTGGGCTTTGCTTTTGCATTGTTTCGGCGGCTGTTTTCAGCTGACTAACGTTTTGATGACGTTTATATTTTGTTTTATAAAATTCAATTTTAAGCTGTACACTTTCTCTTGCCGGTTTTCTTTACGGATAATTTGAATAGTGTACTCCAACCTGAATAAGTCAGATGCAATAATGTATTCAGTGTCCAACTTTCTGCGTCTTCGTGTCTAGCGTTCGCTCGTCACGCCGAAAACCCGGGTTCGATTCCCGACATGGGTACAATGTGTGAAGCCCATTTCTGGTGTCCCCCGCCGTGATATTGCTGGAATATTGCTAAAAGCGGCGTAAAACCATACTCACTCACTCACTCACTTTCAAACAATGACGTTGCTCTGCCCTTTTGTATTTGAATATTGTATATCATCACATGCAACTGCATCCAGGGGAAGGTGGTGATGGTGATCTACTATGACTTTATTTCATTGTTTGAGACAATTGAAATATTATAACATTATATGGTGATGATTGAGGAAGTGAGTATGGTTTTACGCCGCCTTTAGCAATATTCCAGAAATATCACGACGGGGACACCAGAAATGGGCTTCACACAATATACCCATGACGGGAATCGAACCCGGGTCTCTGGTGTGACGAGCGAACGCTTTAACCACCAGACTACCCGACCGCTCCTATATGGTGATGTAAGCGAGAATCCTTGATTACTTGTATTACGTGATTGGGTGTACCTAACATTAACATCTCTAGGGCCCCAGAAAGGGTTCTTATCTTTCTTTATTTAGTAATATCAGCAATTACTAAATAATGTGGCGAAGCGTATTTCATTATCTTCCAGTGTATTGTCAAGAAAGTCCAAATCATTTGTACGTGATTCGATCAATAAAAATAAGTGAGTGAGGTGGGTTTAACGCCACGTTAAACAGTATTCCAGTTATATCACGGCGTGTCTGCTTGTCGCAGGAGGAAAGCCCTAATTGATACAGGTCTTAGACTTTCACCACTATAGTGAAACCCACGAGCACAGGTATGGTGCTGACAAACCTAGAAACATAATCAGAGTGAGCCAGGATTCAAAACAACGACCATGGGTTATGGGCGACCCCAAAGGACGCAACTCTTCACAGGAAATTGCGGGACCTAAGACGAAAGGATACAGCACGTGCATGATGTCTCCAAGTGTAATCATTCGTGACCAACTCGTGTTTTTCCGGGACAAGCCGAATAGCGACTCGTAGGCCATTTTTGCGACTGGGTTCCGTCTAAGCGCAAACGCGCAAAGCTAAGGAATTGTCAACTCGTTGCGTAATGATTCACCTATATTTCCCCCGTATATCATATATATTTAGATGCTATTTAATACGCATCGGGACTTATGATATTATACAGTATGATTGAACACATGTAACTGTATCTTGGGTATATTTTTTATGCATATGGGAGCGTACTTGTGCAACAGTCTAAAAAAAACACATTATCATCTACGTAGATAAAACTTTGATCTACGTAGATTATACTTACATCTACGTAGATGATACGTACATCTACGTAGTAAGGATAAGATATATGGATGAACAACGTCTTTATTACAATTAGGAGCGACGTGTAGGTTCTAACACCGTTATCAAGCATGTGATGTACAGAGTATGGTTGACAAATTCATTTCGTTAAAAGGAGTTCTCGAATCGGTGAGCTTATCCTACCCCACCGTTGGCACATGTCACAAAAACATGCAAAGGCAAGTCAAGTGTTTACCTGAACATGAAACACGGGAACATATGGTACAAGTCCAAATAGGAAATTGCATCGGTCATCATTGTGGTCACAAATGCTTCAAATTTGAAACGTGTGTCGACCATGAAACGTTTTGAAAGATTTACTAAGGCCTTGAATGGTGTATAGCCCTGAACAAAAGCTTTTGAAAACAACTTTTTAAATGACTGTTGGCGTATTTATTTATGAGATCTGACTTCAATATTGCTGTGCGTTTGTGGAAAACTCGGTCTACACATTTTGCATAAATCCAAATATCGAACTTTATGATACTATCCTGTATCACGACGTGTATAACATACAATCTTAACCAGATAATATTTTGCAGTTGAATTGCCGGTCGACGGATCAGAATACAAACAAAAGTACGTTCTCTCCTCCCTGGGGAGTATCGAATCTAACTTCAAAACATTTCCTTTCATTTTCATAAAAATAAAGGTCAACGTCATGTACATTCACACAGATTACGCGCGAAAAGAATATTTAGAATGAGCAGTTGAGTGTTCAGGAAAGGTATTTTGAAAGACTTTTGTCACTTGTTTCTAAGAAACATGCAACTCAGCATTCAGCATTTTTGTGCTTCTGAATTGTTATTTGTGGTTCTCATTTATATGCTTAAAATTTGTCATCCCTTCGACGGCAAATCGACCTTAAACACTTCATAAATAGGAGAGGTAGCGAGAAGTGGCACAGTTATAATTATCAGTTCTTCTGTTGGCCTGCTTTGTATGTATTAGCAATTCTGTTGGACTGCATGCCCTAAGCCACTGCGGCTAACGTTCTGTACAATGGACGACACAAATGCTTCACCGTTGAGATTGAAATCTAGAGCGTCAACAACCTGTGTATTCTGTATGACCGTCTGACCTGGTCAAGTGCAGTAAATACAGCTCACAATGACAGCCCCAAGGGGGGTGAGGTGTGTGGGGGGGGGGGGGGGGGGGGGGGCATGTCTACAGTTGTCAGTGTGACGTATGTATATAAACAACAGACAACACTACAACGCGTCTCCTCAGAAACCATACATCGTGTTTTCTATGCCAGCACCAGCTGCTATGGAATCACTATCAAACAGTGATGATACAAGGAGTTCTCGAATCGGTGAGCTTATCCTACCCCACCGTTGGTACACGTCACAAACACATGCAAAGGCAAGTCAAGTGTTTACCTGAACATGAAACACGGGAACATATGGTACAAGTCCAAACAGGGAATTGCATCGGTCATCATTGTGGTCACAAATGCATCAAATTTGTGTCGACCATGAAACGTTTTGATTTGTTAAGAAAATATATACTCTCAAACCTGAACTCAATCTTACAGGAGCAACCTCCATTTGAAAACAAAAACATTCATGTCTAGGACGAGGCAGTCTGCCTTAGACAATGGTAGTCATATCTAGGACAAGGGTAGCCATATTTTCGACAAACACAGTCATATCTGGAGAAACCAACATAGCAATATATAGAATATGTAACGTCATTTAATTGGTATATGGACATTAATTCTTTTTTTAAATAATATTAATATATTCGATTCAAATAACATGTTATGTAAGAACTACATTTTAAATGTAACCCAAAGAACATTTGGTTTCCAGAGTACGATCGTGAAGATCAGTAAGAACATACATCATTAATAGAACCTTTGTCTTTCCTGTCACTTGGTATATGCATCATCGTCTCGTTACCTGTCAAAGTTGAAAAATGTTTTGTTAATTATGTATGTTATTGCTGATGTTAATGATTCTCCATATCTAGGACGAACTCGTATCCAGGCTAAGGCCGGTCATATCTGGGGCAAAGATCTTTGTCCTATCTAAGATAAAGAGGGTCATACTTAGGATGGAAAGGTATGATTAGTATGAAGATATACTTATTTACAATAACGATATTCATACCTAGGATAAATATATCCATATCTAGGATAAAGACAGTCGCATCTATGATACGAAAAGATATATCTAGAGTAAAGACAGTCATATGTAGCATAAACAGTCATATCTAGGGGAAAGACAGTCATATCTAGGGTAAAAAAGTCATATCTAGGATAAACAGTCATATCTAGGCTAAGCAATCTTATTAAGATACAGAGGGCGGTCGGGTAGTCTAGTGTTTAAAGCGTTCGCTCGTCACGCCGAAGACCCGGGTTCGAATCCCGACATGGGTACTATGTGTGAAGCCCATTTCTGGTGTCCCCCGCCATGATATCGCTGGAATATTGTTAAAGCGGCGTAAAACCAAACTCACTCACTATTAAGATACAGAAGATAGAGTCATATTTATAATGACATTCACATCATGGTAATATAAGAACAAAAGAAGATAAGGACAGTCCTACCTAAGACCTAACAGTCATATTTAAGGTAGAAAGTCATATCTAGGGGGAAAACAGTCATATCTAGGATAAACACAGTCATATCCAGGACACAAACAGTTATATCTAGGAAACAAAGAGTCATATCTAGGACAAAAAGAGTTATATGTAGGAAACAAAGAGTCATATATGGGACAAAAACAGTTATATCTAGGAAACAAAGGGTCATATCTAGGATAAAAACAGTTATATCTAGGAAACAAAGAGTCATATCTAGGACAAAAACTGTGAAATCTAAGATACAGTCATATCCAGTACAGAATAGGCATATCTGGGACAAGGAACGTCATATCTAGGATAGGAAAAAAGCAACCGTAAGTTAAGTTAGCGGCATATTATGTAAGATGCTAGATGTATATCTAATTGTCAATAACAACATTATTAATTGAAGGATTTATTCTTTGGCCGTGCTGTGAGTTTGTTTTGCGATAGCTTACAACATAAAAGGTTCTTCATTTATTAAATTTCCACTTTTGAGGATAATGGAAAATGGTCATGTACACTTATGGACAAAACAATGATTTATCTGAATTATATGATTTACGTTGTTGTGGGTTTTTTAAAAAATAAAATTGTTGTAACATCTTTAAAAAAAGTGACTAGTTGGCCTACATTAAGAGTACATTACCTAAACACTAAACCACACTAAGCATGGGCGGATACATAGGGGTGGTGCAGGGGTGCGCACCCCCCCCCCCCCCCCCCCCCCCCCCCCCCCCCCCCCCTTTTTTTTTTATTTCGAAAAAAACTCTTTATTTCTGTATAAATTACCACCAAAGACAATAAATAGATCTTAAATGTGCACTCCCCCTTTTCAAAAAAGATGTATCCGCCCATGCTCAGGATTACCACATGGTGTGCCTCAACAAACGAAAACATCTCTGAAGCTCATTGACCCTTCGCTTGACTTGGTAAGTATAAAGGTATCTCAACTGTCGAATATCGGTTATGTAGCTATTCATGAATCGTGTACGCTCTTCATTCCATAGTGTCAGGCGCCTGAAGCGGAGAGTCTTTGGCGATGATAATTTTGGATTATGAACTGGAATTCGGTAATTGAATGGAAAATACATGCTTTATCAAATTGTAAAAATTGTGTTTTATATCTTTTAGTTTAAACCTGAAATATATAGTTTATTGATGAAAAATATCAAATACAGTTTTTTAGGAAGCCTAGCTTACAGTATGCCTGCATTTCCATTAGTCATTTCGCTGTACAGTGAGAGGGAGCCATTCATTTTCTTACAGCTTTTAGGGTCGATTTCATTCATATAAATAAGGATAGGGTCTCGTCGCTTGTATTTGCAAGAAAGACAATCCTGAATATATTTTACGTATGCTTCAATGACTATTGGAAAGGATGTGAATACGTTAGCTTTCAGGCGGCTTTTACCACCATTCCAGCAACATCACGACAGGGGATTGGGGAGGGGACCCGAAATGGGTTTCACACTGTAACTATGATATGGGGAATGAATCGAGCGAACGCTTTAACCACAAGGTTACCCCACCACTCCTGACTACTGAAGATCTTATCTTCAACATATACATAATATAACTTCAGTTATTATTGTTGACATCTATTTTGTAAATAAGTTTGAATAAAATTACTGAACATTACGTACTCTCAAGTTGATCTAATGTTGTATCACAGGGGGCGTTGTGTTGATGCCAATCGTTAAGGTTTTTTTATAACTCCTCGATAAAGCGTCGTACTTATATTCTTTTCGGAAAGCTTTGACCCGGTGTGTATTTGAAGCAGCTGGGATTTTTGCACTGGTTTTTTTTTCAAAATGTATCTCCATGGTGTCTCTTCGTTGCATCAGTTGAACCGGCGTGTATTCTCAGATTAACGACAAATTACGAAAAAGAACAGCATTACACATAACTATGTATACACAACAGTAAAGAGCTTAAAGTGCATTTGGCTGTTCAGGGTTTTTTCAAGTTTGTGATTTCTGTGGATTTAGATCGAAATGAAGGTTGGATTCATTTCCGGCAAAAAAATCCATAATGTGCCTGATGTGTATTTTGAAACTTTGTATACACATTAGGCAACGACTGAACTTGGGCATTTTGCTATACGGCAATATTTTTTTGTGTGTGTTTGGTTTCGAAGGCAACAAGTCGGACACAGTTCATACTCGAAGAGTTGTGTTCATTTCCGGAGTTTAGCTCACAATTGCATACAAATCGGACAAGTAGTGATCTTGTGCCTTTTGCTATTCAGGAATTTAGGACTTTTCGAAAGTATATAGCTTTCAAAGCTTTCTATATATTTGTTTGGAGGATTTGCACAAATATCAAGCTTTCTGTGTATATGAAACTGATTTAAGCAATACACTTCTCACTCATATTAAATCGATTTGGAAACCCGTGAAGATCCGGGGTAGAATAGATCTTCAGCAACCCATGCTTGCCGTTAAAGGCGACTATGCTTGTCGTAAGAGGCGACTAACGGTGATCGGGTGGTCAGGCTCGTTGATTGCGTGGATCGATGCTCATATCAATCATTGGATTGTCTGGTCCAGGCTCGATTATTTACAGTCATATAGCTGGAATATTGCTGAGTGCGGAGTTAAACAACAAACCCACCAACCAACCAACATCGATTTGGAGGGCCTCTTATCTGTAGAGACCAAGTGTTACCAACCACTTGTCTGCCACGCAGACCCTGAAACTAGTGTATATCCAATACAGCCCATGCAAGTCTATAATATTTGGCAAGTCTAGATTACTGCAGTATCTTAAAATGAAGAAAGTGTCTGGCCTCCTTTTGTTATATTTTATAACTATAATTTATCAACTGTTCATTTCAGCAGAGATCATACAATAGATCCAGGTCTATTATATGGTCTCTGATTTCAGAGACAATAGATGGATGTTGGGGAAAACAGGAACTCCTAACAGTCCCAGCATAACATTCACAGTGTGTGGAGTCTGCAAACCGGAAGCTTGCAAGGGGAAGTAATCCTAAAGTGATGAGAAATGTCGAAAGCAGAAAGTCTACGAATTTCGCTTCAAATTTTAGTACTGCATATCTGGTCTTGCTTAAAACTCTACCTCATTGGAATATACGCATTACTTAAAGAACTCACAGAGAAAACAGTTGTGCCAGTGTTTGAGGGTATGAGTTAATATTATCAAGGGCCGTTTATTTCGTTTTCGCTTAGGATGCTATTCATGCAAGGGCAGGTTGGACGAAGAGACATAAAATATTGCCCATGTCCTACTGTTAATTTTTCCAGAATTTTGTTCGTGTTCTGTTTGTTGAGAATAGGGACAATGCTGCATTATTTATATGTATAATACCACTACACATAGCTCACCCCAATCTGGGTTCCAATGGCTGAAATCAAACATGGATAGAGAAAATTGTATCATTCTAAGACGTCTGATAGAAAAAAAGCCTGAGGCCAGTGTGGGTAATGAAACAAGGTGAAACACGTGATGGAGAGTAACGCTACTTTCAGCCATCTATATTAGTCGGGGTAGGGTATATTATTTTGATGATATATATTATCATCATCATCATCATAATTCTTGTTGTGATAAAGCTGTAATTTCGTTGAATCAACATGCTGCAAACATATCAGAAACAAGGCTAACATATTTATTTACCATTACTTCATATTTTGTGACCCTAACAGATGCACATGACGGGCAGGTTGCCATAGTAACAGGAGGAGCATCTGGCATTGGATATCAAGTTGCCCGAAAATTAGCGCTGAAAAATCTCCATGTTTTCATAGGTAATGAGGCTGTTTGGATCATTGTCAGCCCAGTTATTCTGTATGTATATAGATAGAAAATTTCTATATAGGCCTAGACCTGCAATTAATCAGCTTAATTTATCATGACAAATATTTTCAATGCTGATCATGTCCATTTAAGATTTAAATGTTTGAATTTGAATTTTCAGCCTGCTTATTGTCCATCATAATCATGGTAATCTTACAAATGTAAATATTACTGTGGGAGTGAATAAGGAATTTAGTATCGATATTCCTAACATTGCATTGATATATTATAAGCATTAAAGTTTAAACATTTACTGATACATTTATATAGAGAGATGTATGATGACACCCCTAATTATTTCCACAGCTGGAAGGAATAAGCAGGAAGGCGATGATGCTATTGCAAAGATCAAAGCAGAACTGTCAACAGTAAGAGGTCAGATATACAATAAATCTTTTCATTTAATTTAATCTTCAGCATACAGCATGTATCAGCGAAGCTTATATCCAGAAACAATGAACATAACAGAAAACTGTATTAACGACTGTTAACAGAGCTAACGGATGTCCTTCACTATCCATTTACTGACATGCTATTGCTTGTGTTGCATGCAACATGTGCAATGAAGCATGCGAGCAATTTTAGTTTACACTTTGGAATAAAAACAACTCATGGTTGTAGGGCATGTATGATATCTGCAGCCCCCTCTTTACAGGGTGTGTTTATGAAGTTCTTGTATTGTAATGAATACTGTAAATTTTGAAATTAACGCGAGCGTGAATTAAATATGAAAAATGCGAGTGATCTTTGCTTGCATTATTAAACATCGCATTTATATCAACAATTGGATATCAGAAATACCAACTGAGACATACAAAACAAAACAAACAACTATGTATTCCACATTATGTCACCACTGATCACATCTGAAAGGCCAGGCAGACGCCACCCACACAACACAATGTCTATATTCTTTGCGACTGCGTCAAAGGCCGACACGAGTCAGTGCTCATGGATAGGCTTCAGCACACTAATTTTTAGATCGACAGCCTTTGTTTTGTCACACGCCTTCAAGTTTGTTGACACTTTCTCCTCACTTTCTTCCTTTGAACTTCCTTAATGCCAGTCAACAGAATAAACACAAAAAGTAGCTGTTGTTTTCAGGAAAACACTATGTATTGTTTCAGCGGAAGTACTCTACTCTCTAATAAGCGGTGTTGTTTGGTGTGTGATGGATTAATGTAAGGTTGGATTAAGGTGAGGATTCTCCTGTAAACCTAACAAGGGACATTTTCTTTATATATAAATCCACTGATGCTTGAGAGGAGAGGGTGTCGCATTCATATTGAGTCGCACTTTTGGCTTAACACGGGAATGGATCCAGGGGTTAGAGTAGGTTTACCGAAGTGTGAGCCCTGGAGTTAACGAGGATGTCTCCGTCCCTTTTATCAGTAACTTTACATAGGTAGACACAAGTTTATGGATAACAACTTCTATAATACTGTAAAAAGCGACGTTTCGGTATAGATCCTTATACTGTTGTCAAGTCAGTCCTGCTTGACAAAGGTATAAGGATCTATACCGAAACGTCCATACACACATACCATGTATACAACAGTATAAGGATCTATACCGAAACATCGCTTTTTACAGTATTAATGAAGTTGTTATCCATAAAATTGTGTCTACCTTGTCACCCCTCAACTTCTAAGTAATGCCTATCAAACAATTTAACTTTACAAAGAATTGCTCTCACCCCCAAATTTGTTTTTAGCTTTTTGTCACTTGAATTAGGCTCAAAACAATTTATTATAGCAGAAACGTGGCTATTAAACCAGGACAATCAAAGATGAAGCAGCACTGGTCTTCAAAGGCTCCATTTTGGTTTAGCTGAATTTTCAAATTTGTGAAATGCCAATTTCTTTGTGTGCTTGGTCTAGATTGAAGCGACTACCCAGTGATGTACTAATGTTTAACATGGTGTCTTTTACAGTTCAGTTTCTACACTTGGATCTAGCATCGTTGACATCTGTCCGGTCATTCGCCGAGAACTTCCTGCACACAGGATTGCCCCTACACATCCTGATCAACAATGGTATGTGTCAGTCACATTGATCAGATTACTGAGTCAGTCAGTATGGTTTTACACAATTCTGGCAGTATTGAAACCATGTCATAGTTTGGGACCTAAGAATGGGCTTCATACAATGTACCCCTGTAGGGAAACAACCTCATTCGTTAAGGTTAAACACATCAACCACTGGGCTACCCCTGTAGGGAGTCAACCTCAGTCTTTAAGACTGAACACACCAACCACTGGGGGACACTGGTGTACACTGGGATACACTGGGGGACACCAGAAGTAGGCATCAAACTGTAACAAGCGGTTACTCCAACAACAAAGCTACCCCACTGTCTGAGCCTTGGGATGTATGAACACACTCCACACAGCCATGAAGACTGAAAGCTGCTGTTTAGAACTTACAGCTCTCAATGTATAAGCATCTGACTGTGTTATCATCTGCTGTTGCCACGCTCTTGCTTCACTGTGATACATGCACATGCCGAGTCTCTTTGTGTTCGATCTTGTTTCTTCTTTTCCATAATTATTTTTTCATAGGTATATCTTTGTATCTGTTTTTCAATCATGTCAAGACCATGGTCAAGAGATAGAAGGGGGGACGGGTGGCCCAGTCGTCTAAGGCGCCGCTATTCGCTGTGCAGAGTTGTGTCCCTTGGGCATGCCAGAAACCTTTGATTGTGGGTTCACATCCCGGTTCACCCTGATTATGTTTCTAGGTTTGTCAGCACCATACCCCTGCTCGTGGGTTTCACCGAAGTGGTAAACGTCTGAGACCTGCATCACTTTAGGCTTTCCTCCCACATTAACCTGACACACCGTGATATAACTGTAATACTGTTAAAAGCGGCGTTAAACCCAACTCAACTCATTTACTCACTCATCGACCCCCCTCCGCATCATACCAAAAGACAGTAATAAATGTTGTTACCCTGCCTGGCGTTATATAAGGGACTAAAACAAGGACTGGTCAGCTCGGGGTCAATATACTGTAACGTTAAACCCTCACCTCACTCATGTCAAATGGAAGGTACCATCCTTGAATAAACTCCTTGTTTGTTAAGGCAGTCATTTATATTTTCTCAGAAGGGATTTTTTTGTCAACAAAACCTTGTTTGTGATTTCTCATGCCCTGAACCTCAAATGGGTAAGGTATATCAGGGTTTCCCCTGACGCAGAATCTTGCGTATATGACTCTCAGTTAAGGAAAAATACGTCCAGAAATAAATGACTGCGTCATGACTGAGGCAATTTCAAAATATCTATGTTGTTGTTTACCAGCTTTGGAATGAAATATTACAACTAGTCACCTGAACTTGATTTATAAACGTTTTCCGAGGACAATATATGCAAACGTCTTAAAATTTTCTCACTCAAAGTTAATCATGACATATGTTTTTCTAGATGTGTAGACTCGTTAAAAAATGAAACAAAAGAAAATATTATCATTGTTGCGGTGTATAATGTGATTTGGCGCGGTCACAGTATGTGGTTAAGCGGAACCTATGGAACGGGGTAAACGGAAGTTGTAAGTATCGGAGGGACACATGTTTTTGCCGAAATTTAGGTAAACATTATTGAATGAAATTTTAAATAAAATTAATAAAATAGATGACAAACATAAGGTCAGATATACAGAGAACACATTTTTATAACCAGATAGTGTAACAACAGGATTAACTTGGGTAATTCAATTCGGATTTGTTATGCTATTTCCGATGACAGATCATGACAGCCTGAAATGAGACTGAAAAAAAGTATGTGCGTATTATACACAAGAGATATTTTTTTCAGGATTTAATTGCCCATTATTAGGGGTGCGTATTATACATGAGTGTGTATTATACACGAATAAATATGGTATTTACGAAATGTTAAGCTTTGGGCATGTTTGTTGTTGCAAATAAACTGTATTCAACCAGAAAATATTACGAGTGTTCACAATTCTTCAGTTCAACTTCACTGTTGATAGATAATACAAGATAACTAGATAAAAGATGTAAATGAGTTAGTGGTATTAAATTATAATCTGACATGAAATGTATTTTAATAACCATCCATGATTAAAAATTATGTCTCACAGTTGAGACTGATGTTATTTATTCATCCTGTATTAGTGTCACTGTAAATTGTTTCATGAGCTGTGAAGTAATTAAAGATTGTGAAAAAATAAAACCAACAAACTTTGTTTTTCATTCATTTATCCTTTATTTCTCTGTAGTACAATCAGCTGAGAACATTAATTAGCACTTGTTAACTTAAACTAAAGACATATAATATTTAAAAGATACTTAACTTTAAGTGTAACATTAACAGTGAACACTTTAAATTTCATTAATCAAACAATAAAACATTTGACTCTCAAAAAATATTTTTGACTCCCAAAAAGTCATAGGCTGAGTCAAGGTGACTCTCAGATATTGGAGTCTAGGGGGAACCCTGGTATATGGCATGGATGCTTTCAGACATTATTTGATAGGATTCATTAGCTAAACTTTGCAGACAAGAATTCGACCCTGTGTGTATTCAAGGCAGTCGATTATCAAGGCAGAGTGTGCATGGTGTAGTTGGACCCATCCTATATATCCTATACATACATATAATCATGTCTTCCCCAGCTGGTGTCATGCTGGTTCCGTACAGTGAAACTGAAGATGGACTTGAGACACACTTTCAGGTGAACTACCTGTCTCACCTGTACCTCACCTGGCTGCTGCTCAACAAGATGAAAGCTTCAGGTGTACCGGACAGGTGTGCTCACATCATCAACGTGTCCTCTGTTGTACACTGGGTTGCTGATGCCCCCGACATCCAGCCAAGGTGAGGAGGAATGAAGCCTGACTAGCACAGATCATTGCTGTCTCCAGCATCCAATGTATCTACCAATCTGGTGCAGAGTTGTGTCCCTTTGCAATGCTAGGATTTGCTGTTCATGTGTTCGAATCCGTATATACATCCTGATTATGATCCTTGGTTTGTTAGCACCATACCTAAGTGTGGTTATCATGGTTACAGTTGTTTGGAAAAGGAACATGCATTTTGGCAATTAGAATTAATCAGTAATTGTGTAATTTTCTTAAAAATGCATCACTGAATGAGTTTGTCATTATGGTATATTTGTTTTCTTTTACTACACCAGATTTCCTATAACATGCTTAAAAAGGGACTTGTGTGCCCTGTGTCTGTTAGTGCTTTCCTCCTGCATAGAACTGTCAAGCTGTTATACAACCAAAAATACTGTTCAATGCTGGTTTCTAGTTTATAATTAGTCTTCAGCAACCCATGCTTGTCATAAGAGGCAACTAACGGGATTGGGTGGTCAGGCTTGCTGACTTGGTTGATGCATGTTATCATATCCCCATTGGGTAGATCAATGCTCATGATGTCAATCACTGCATTGCCTGGTCCAACTCCCTACTTATTACAAGTTGTATTCTGTATGACTGTTCATATGTCTTCATATACCTTGGATTAGATCAACAAGTTGACATACGTAAACATCAGGCAATGTAAATTCCAGATTTGCCACCTGTTGATACGTTAACATGTTAACATCACGTCTTCATTTACTAGTTAGGACGCCTTGTATTCAAGAGCTGTAAAATGTAGAATTGTGCCATGTAACTATGTGGAGACAAGACATTCATTTTAATAGAGACTTATTTTTCTCCATATTTTCAGCCACACAAGCTTATCCAAATACTCCCCACATTCGGCATATGCAAGTTCCAAACTTGCTGTGATTATGTCGACCTACATCCTCAGCCAGTTGCTGAAGGGAGATAACTCTAATGTCACTGCCAACTGTCTCCATCCTGGCGTGGTCAATACGAATTTGTATGAAAATATACACTGGTCCGTTCGGTGGGTCATGGAAATAATGCGCCATCTGTTCTTCAAGGTAATTTCAGGATAGATTCTCATGCCACTTCCCGTCTTGACCTATAGGTGTGCGGTGGGGAAGCCTAGTGGTTAAAATGCTGAAAGCTGTATGGGTAAATTGTGCGAAGGCCATATCTGGTGTACCCCACCTTTATACATTTATTGCTGAAATGTTGCTAATAGAAGTTCAAGACAATAACCACTCACTCTACTGGTCTACAATAATTTCATTAAAATCAGATCTTAATGCTCTCTACCGCTACACCAAGGTCTGAGGACTTGCCATTACAGGTCATGACAGAACACCTTTCATCTGACCAATCAGAGTACCATGCTGATGTGACCTGTAATGTGATGTCCTCAGATCTATGGGAGCTGATTTTATTGAGATATTACTTAACTATGTACAGGCTGCAGTGATATTAGTTGGGATATTACTGACTGATTTATAAAACAACACTCATTCACTCTGAGGGGTCCATTATATACATTTGTCTTGTAAATATTATTCAAAATTTCTGCACTCACTTTCTTGATCTACTTTATGCACTTTCAATACTTTATCATTGATATGATAGTTAATCTTATGAGTTACCAATTCAAATTATTTCACTTCTTTTCTTTAAGTGAATCCTGTTATAGCTTCAAATTGTAAATTTTTAAACTTATCCAATCTCACACTATTTCTCCTTCAATCCCATGTAGAAACAGGACAATCAGGTAGCCTAGTGGTTAAAGCTTTCGCTTGTCATGGCGAAGACGCAGGTTCGATTCCCGACATGGGTACAATGTGTGAAGCCCATTTCTGGTATCCCCTGCTGTGATATTGCTGGAATATTGCTAAAAACAGCGTAAAACCATACTCACTCACTCCCCATGTTGAAAGATGCTTGAACAGAGTTTCCAGCTTCTAACAAATTATTCACCCAAACACATCCCAGCATCACCATGGTCACTACCCAAACAAATAGGTCACTCACTGTTAATATACAATTTAGAATAATATTTCGTATTTTTCAGGATGCCATTCAAGCTGCCAACAGTGTGGTGTACTTGGCACTGTCACCGCTGGTCGAAAGTCATACTGGAGGTTACTATGACAACTGCAAAGTCAGCCAATCAAAGCACTGCACCTACTCCAAGACTTGCCAATTTAATTTAGAAAAAATGTCTTGTGAACTTTTGGGTATTCAGAGTTTGCATCAAACATCCTGACAGAAAGACTGCACACCATTATTGTATACCTCAGATATTTAGCTCACCTGGTCCTAGTCCAGCAACACCTGATATGGTTCTCCTTTCTGTCATTTGACTACACCTTAGATTTGTTTGTATTTCCGGAGGATGACTTGAACAGAAACTGATGAATCCTTCATAAATTTTTCCCTCATGAAAGATAGATCAAATTCAATGATCAAAACTAGTAAATAATTAGTTTAAATACTTATCCAATAGGTCAATTTTGTCATACAGTCATTGTCTCACCATCAGTAATAAGCTGGTGATTTTAAGACATGAACCATTTTTATACATCGTTTGGTGAAAAGATCAAGTTTTCAGAAAACCTCCAAAAGCTATTCCATGTTTGTACATGAATATGTGGGATAATACCAGGCATACACTATTTGCTGATGACTCCTATTAATGTTGTGCTAAACATGAATACATGTGTTACGAAGTTGTGACATGATAGACTGAACAAAGAATGGTGTATTCCAAGGACTGTGTCACAGAGAGATCAAGGTTACAGCAGATCCAAGAGGCCATGTAATTAAGTGTTTTTGCTTTTACCAAGCAATGGTTTATTTAACCTCAGTGTCACAGAATAGTCATGCAACAAATGCAAGACAACAGTATTCATAGACAACACTATGAATACATTCGTGTACAGATTCATAAGGGGGCGGTCGTGTTGCCTTGTGGTTAAAGCGTTCGCTTGTCACACCGAAGTTTCGATTCTGACATGGCTACAATGTGTGGAGCCTATTTCTGGTGTCCCCCGCCCAGATATTGGTGGAATATTGCTAAAAGCAGCGTAAAACCATACTCACTCACTCAAAAGAATGAGGTAGGATAAGGCCCGTTTTGGCCCATTGGAAATGTCAACTTTTATCTGACAGAATACTTTGTAATAATAGTACAAAAAAACATCAGACATATTCAGATGGTTGACAACTGACATAATTTTACACTTCCAAGTTGGTTCCTTCTGTCATTTTCAAGTACACAAGAATGGCTAAAATATGTTTGTTGGTTTGTTTGTTGTTTAACGCTGCACTCAGCAATATTCCAGCTATATGACCGCAGTCTGTAAATAATCTTGTCTGGACCAGACAATCCAGTGATTGACATCATGAGCATCGATCCACGCAACTGGGATACGATGACATGCATCAACCACGTCGAGGAGCCTGACCACCCGATCCCGTTAGTCCCCTCTTAAGGCAAGCATGGGTTGCAGAAAACCTGTTTTACCCTGGATCTTCAATCGTCTAAAATAAGCGAAAAAGGCTGTTTTGTCCAAACTTGTCAAACTATTCAAACTGTGACCATGACTATGACTCAACCTGATTTTTTTACCGCATGTTTACCGTCGTTATCTACATCTCCAAAGAAAAAATCATGTGGACATATCTGATAACTTTCATAACAATTTCTAAAAGGTTGCTAATTTCCTTCATTTGGAATTTAGGTTGACCTTGTATGTGTGTGTCTACTGTATAATACCAGTGTTCTAATACGGTGGTATAGTTTAGTAATTGTGTTGACGCTGTATGTGTGTTTTCTACGGGTACACCCTGATTGTTGAGCGAAAACGGCACCTCAAATTTCTGATAAAGACGAGGACGAATTATGTAGGGGTATATGTGCTTTATTCATGGTTTATTCTTTGGCTCGAGTTCTCCATACTTCACCATCATTGTCACCATGTTTCACTATTCACAATATTTTGTTTGTTTGTTTGTTGTTTAACGCCGCACTCAGCAATATTCCAGCTATATGACGGCGGTCTGTAAAATAATCGAGTCTGGACCAGACAATCCAGTGATTGTCATCATGAACATCGATCCACTCAATTGGGATCGATGACATGTATCAAGCAAGTCAGCGAGCCTGACCACCCGATCCCGGCATAGGGGCCTTTTACGGCAAGTATGGGTTGCTGAAGACCTATTCTAACCCGGAATCTTCACGGGTCCAATATTTTGTTTGAGACCAGATATGTTTTTTTAATTAAAACTATGAGCCAAAGTATTCTTTGGTCAAAACGCATTGCATCAATGTAATTTTCGTGGCAGACAATTTCAATTTTGAAGCATAATTATTTTTTTCAAGAATTCCGGGGACAATTTATAGGGGTCGGCCCCAAATCATTGTTACCTTTGTCACATTCTCCAACATGCTTTATCTACTGGTTCGAGATCTTTGATTGTCACTTTCTCTTTACAACACTGGACCACGGACAGCAGAGCATTATGTTAGCATTTGGGCGAGGGAGTGGTCACCATTTTTGATTGTCAAAGATTTCGTCCTGCCTGACTTTCATACATATGCTTTTAGTCGACCTTCCTGGTCCGGAGTGAAAGAAGACTGGCCCTTCTGAAAAGCTCTGGGATTAGCCTGTAAATGCCGTGGGTCTGCTCCCCAGTCTTCTGATTAATTCGTCTGTTATGTGCCAACCTGTCATGAAAGAAAACAATAAACATTAATTGGTGTAATTTTTATATATTTATTTTTTATCATTATTATTATTATTCCTGAGAGCAGAAGGTCCGGGGTTCTATCCTCGACCGCGTTGTACCAAAAGACGTTTTACGATGGTACTTGTTACCCTGCATGGCGCTCGGCATTAAGGGGCTAAAACAAGGACTGGTCGGCTCGGAGTCTGAGTAGGGTATTCATGTTAAACTGCGGCATGGTATCTCAGTGAGCTAGCACAATAAAAACGTATCATAACTATTATATTTTGTATTGCTATTACCTTCAACAAATTTGTTGGTTCTCGCTGCAACACTGACCTGGCTGAGAAGGTAGTGTGTGCGACCCATTGGCTGTGAAAGTAGTTCGTGAGTTCACACCGTTTCCATGGGCGGGTACACGATCCGCTGACACATCCTGGTGGTGTCTGATGCCAGGAGAAAGAGCGGCATCATGATTGTGTGACCCGTGAAGATCTTCAGCAGCCCATGCTTGCCGTAAAAGGCGACTATGCTTGTCGTAAGAGGCGATCGGGTGGTCAGGTTTGCTGACTTCGTTGAAGCATGTCATCGTATCCAAATTGCGTGGATCGATGCTCATGATGTCAATCACTGGTCCAGACTCGATTATTTACAGACCGCCGTCATATAGCTGGAATATTGCTGAGTGCGGCGTTAAACAAACTTGTGTATGGAGTCGTTCCCCATGTTCTCTATTTAGAAGTAAACAGGAATTATTATTTATTATTACATTTAAAATGTATAAATTTGATTTACTATTTATTATATTTGTTTGATAATTACTACAATATATATTAAATCTGTATTATGCCTGCAGTCCAAATTCCTGACATTTCCTCCTAACTGCCAGAGTAAAATGGAAGAAGCAGCCACAAATCTGGGCGTCTGGAGGGCTTCTGTGTATAGTCCGTTTGCTGCAATATCGTACGGATGAAAAGCAAAATAAATATAGTATACTCGAAAGCAGCAACCTAAATGGCATGAAAGTTATTTATTCGTCCATACCAACTCGTCAGCATAATTCAGATATTGTCACGAAGGGTAGAAAAAAACAACCTCATGTAATTGTTGGTGTCTTTATGCCTGTTGTCACAAGGGGGTCTGTACTGTAAACGTAATAGCTCTACATTCGCAACGTGTTAGACCAACCTCCTGCTGTGTTTTCTGTAATAACATCCTGTCAAATGAAAAGTCTATATCAGAAGCGTATCTTTCTGTAGTAGTTATTGGTCCTAGATAAAAAAAAAAATATTAAACGGAATATATCATGAAAATCCGTCAAATATGTTCAATGTTAATGATATTCTTGGTATTGCTATTCAGCTAATTTCAGCTAATTTAACTGCAAAATAGGAAATAAACAAAACGAGCTCAATATATCATTACAATACGGTACATGATGAAATTCACAGATGATTTGAAAACCTTGAAATTTCACGTTTATGGTTAATGCTAGTCGGATGGGGTGCATCGACAAAGTTGAGATCGGAATTTAAGCTTCATATTGCAATAAAGATAGTTTAGATCATGCAACTGTCGGTCAAGTTATTATTTCAGATGACAGTAACAGTGACAGTGACAGTGACAATGAAAATATTTCAGAATAGAAGTTTAGAGACTCCCTGTGCTCCGCGATGCCCTTCAGCTGTTATGTTTATTGCGCATTCTCTACTTCATGACAATGTCTGAAATTATGGTGGCAAGTTGGTATGGAGAACTAAATAACTTTCATCAGAAACAGTTAAGACGAATTTTTGCTTTCGAACTTATATCTATCTTGCATTTCATCTGAATGATTTTGCAGTAAACGGACTGTAATGCCTTGTGTGACAACACCCATTGAGTGAATCGTTTTTGAGACGATACCCATACTGCTATGAAGTCTCGCGAGACTATTGTAAATGTCACGAGACTTGTACCTTCGAATAAATCAGTTGTGGAGTGCCCGTCCACTGTATCATTGCCTCCAATTCCTGGATAGATTCCCATCAACTTATATAATATAATATTTTAGCAACGGAACACTACCCCTTACATGCAGCCAGTTCGTAGTCCAAAACCTCAAAGTATGTGATGATTTCACAACAGGTTTAGTTGCGCCTCCCAATTCTTGTCGGTGAGTTATCTTGAGTCTAGTGGTAAACTCCATTTTGTTAGACAGCTTAAAACACTTCCAGATGGATGCACAGCTAAGTTGCCACCTGTCATCTTAGATAGATAATAGAACAACCCAGGTAGAGAATAACGTAACACCATATTAGTCTGCATTGTATATTTATTATTCTCATTTCTGTACTTTGAGAATAAATAGAAACACAGAGAATAAATAGCAATGACAATATTAACATACATTCAGTTATGTAATGTTTTGTAGGGACATTATAACAAATCATTGATCTCACCATATTTCGATTAGCTTCACATCTCGCGGATTGTTCTCCCCATAGGAAAAATTGACAAAGTTGTCTTCCCGGACAACTCTCCACTTCCGGCGGCTTCAGGCGTAACTAAACATGACAGCATTCGCCACCACTCGCCCCTTTCCGTAACCTGCAAGAAGAGTCGTCCACCTATCGATGAATGTTTTGTGCGAAAATAAGACAAGCCAGACAGACTGCGCGTATGACTTCCAAGTACCTGAGACAAAGACTCTCTCAGGAATATTTCTTTAAATTTACATATGTCTTGCGTCTAAAAGTATACCCAACATACAGCTAAATGTGTTCAAACATGCTGTATAATACCGTTAGTCTCGACGTGTTTAAATAGCATCTGGAAAATAAATATATGGGGAAATATACATGAATGATTTTGCAACGAGTCGGCAATTCTTTTAGCCATGCTCGTTTGCGCTTAGACGGAGCCCAGTTGCAAAAGATGGCCACGAGAGGGGCATGGGTCGCCATTCGGCTTGTCCTTGAATCTTTTTTCAGGTAGAATCATATGCTAACAGAAGAATAATCAGAGGATGTAATAATTTAGATATACAGAAGTACGTATTAATGCGATTTTTTATGAAGACGTTTTATGCAAAAGATTTAAGGCGCCTGAAGATGAATATCCTATTCTGTATAACTGTGTTCTATATTATGACAAAGGAAGCAACTACTTCAACGTAATTATGACATGCAATAAAATGTTGCTTCTCTGTTTGCTTTTATCTCAACTAATTGCAGAATTTGTGATGGCAATGTGTGGCAATTTACAGTAGCTATTTACGCTGTAATATAAGGGGACAAGAGTATGCCTCTCGCATCTCTCACACATTTCATTACATCAAGACCAGCTTTCGTGTGAAAATCACTCATCACCCCCGATTCGCTGCTTAGGCCTATCTCGGAAGATTAACCGTCACCGCTGGGTGAATATACTATTATCACTGACTTTTTCTATCACCAATGTTATGCATTTGCATCAGACAAGACTGTCGTTATGCACTTGCATCAGACAAACACTGTCGTTATGCACTTGCATCAGACAAAGACTGTCGTTATGCACTTGTATCAGACAAACACTGTCGTTATGCACTTGCATCAAACAAAGACTGTCGTTATGCACTTGTATCACACAAAGACTGTCGTTATGCACCTGTATCAGACAAAGACTGTCGTTATGCACTTGTATCAGACAAGACTGTCGTCATGCACTTGTATCAGACAAAGACTGTCGTTATGCACTTGCATCAGACAAGACTGTCGTCATGCACTTGTATCATAACAAAGACTGTCGTTATGCACTTGTATCACACAAAGACTGTCGTTATGTACTTGCATCAGACATGACTGTCGTTATGCACTTGCATCAGACAAGACTGTCGTTATGCACTTGCACCAGACAAGACTGTCGTCAAGCACTTGTATCAGACAAACACTGTCGTTATGCACTTGCATCAGACAAAGACTGTCGTTATGCACCTGTATCAGACAAAGACTGTCGTCATGCACTTGTATCAGACAAAGACTGTCGTTATGCACTTGCATCAGACAAGACTGTCGTCATGCACTTGTATCATAACAAAGACTGTCGTTATGCACTTGTATCAGATAAAGACTGTCGTTATGTACTTGCATCAGACATGACTGTCGTTATGCACTTGCATCAGACAAGACTGTCGTTATGCACTTGCACCAGACAAGACTGTCGTCATGCACTTGTATCAGACAAAGACTGTCGTGATGCACTCGTATCAGACAAAGACTGTCGTTATGCACTTGCATCAGACAGGACTGTCGTTATGCACTTGCATCAGACAAGACTGTCGTTATGCACTTGCATCAGACAAACACTGTCGTCATTCAATTGCATCAGACAAGACTGTCGTCATGCACTTGAATCAGACAAAGACTGTCGTCATTCACTTGCATCTGACAAACACTGTCGTTATGCACTTGCACCAGACAAGACTGTCGTCATGCACTTGTATCAGACAAACACTGTCGTTATGCACTTGCATCAGACAAAGACTGTCGTTATGCACTTGTATCACACAAAGACTGTCGTTATGCACCTGTATCAGACAAAGACTGTCGTTATGCACTTGCATCAGACAAGACTGTCGTCATGCACTTGCATCAGACAAGACTGTCGTCATGCACTTGTATCATAACAAAGACTGTCGTTATGCACTTGTATCAGATAAAGACTGTCGTTATGTACTTGCATCAGACATGACTGTCGTTATGCACTTGCATCAGACAAGACTGTCGTTATGCACTTGCACCAGACAAGACTGTCGTCATGCACTTGTATCAGACAAAGACTGTCGTGATGCACTTGTATCAGACAAAGACTGTCGTTATGCACTTGCATCAGACAGGACTGTCGTTATGCACTTGCATCAGACAAACACTGTCGTCATTCAATTGCATCAGACAAGACTGTCGTCATGCACTTGAATCAGACAAAGACTGTCGTCATTCACTTGCATCAGACAAACACTGTCGTTATGCACTTGCATCAGACAAGACTGTCGTTATGCACTTGCATCAGATAAACACTGTCGTCATTCACTTGCATCAGACAAGACTGTCGTCATGCACTTGTATCAGACAAAGACTGTCGTCATTCACTTGCATCAGACAAACACTGTCGTTATACACTTGCATCAGACAAGACTGTCGTTATGCACTAACTTCATTTTTTTTCTCAGCATTATTATATAATACGTGCCATATATTATTTGCCATAAAGATCATGCATTGATAACACCTGTCGCCTGTCGATGTATCATAACAACAGCAATCAATAAATCAGGAATTACAGGTAAACTTCAATCAGCAGCTGAGTAGAACTTTATTCATAAATCTGTCAACATTGCTTCAACATTGATATACAATTATCATCTAAATATTGCAATACAATACGCAGTGAACGCACGTATTGTACGTAACGCGTGTATGTTTGTATGTACGATGTGATAAATTACCTACTCATTGAGCGCACGTATTTTACGCAATGGGCGATCCGCTACTACCATCTCCATTGTTGGGTTTTAACGCCCCTTTCAACATTATTCCAGTTATATCGCGGCGTGTCAGCTTAATGTGGGTGGAAAGCCCGAAGTGATGCAGGTCTCAGACGTTTACCACTTCAGTAAAACCCAAGAGCACGGGTATGTTGCTGACAAATCTAGAAACATAATCGGGGCGAACCGGGATGCGAACCCACAATCATAGGTTTCTGGTGTGCCCAAGGGACACAACTCTGCACAGCGAATCGCGGCGCCTTAAACGACTGGGCCCCCCGTGCCCCCGGGTCTCATGAAACGCTGATAAGATTTACCTTTTCTGTCGCACTGGAATGTGTGTTAAATACGCAATAACCTTAAATATAATAAATCACCTTGAATAGATAATACCATACCTGAATTTTTCAAATACTCAGCTTATCTTATCTTACCATATTTGGAACAAGTACTCAATTTGATATTAGAAAATGGAACCTTCCCATATTCCTGGGCAATTGGCATAATTATTCAATACATAAAAAGGGGATTTAAACAATACTAATAATTATAGAGGTATCACTCTACAAACCATTATCAGTAAACTCTTTTCCGCCATTATTAAAAAAGGCTCGTCTTCTGGGGTGATACAATGAATTCAAGTAAGGAATCACATTCAGGTTCCACAGAGCTGCTGAGACCATCACCAAACAGAACAGACACGGTGAGGTGAGGTGAAATTGGGTTTAACGTCGCGTCCAAGATTATTGCACTTATATAGCGACGTGCATGCACGTGTATGTGTGTGTGTGGCTGCTTGTACTAGTCCGGACTGATGCCGATTTATAGTGCTAGCTCACTGAGATACCATGCCGCAGTTTAACATGAATACCCCACTCAGACACAGTATACTGACTCCGAGCCGACCAGTCCTTGTTTTAGCCCCTTAATGCCGAGCGCCAGACAGGGTAACAACAAGTACAATCTTTTAACGTCTTTTTGTATGACGCGGCCCGGGTTCGAACCCTGGACCTTCCGCTCTCCGGGCGGACGCTCTACCACAAGACCACGGAGGCGGTCTAGAACAGACACGGAGTTGGTGAGACCAGCACACAACAGGACAGACACGGACCTAGTGAAACCAGAACACAACAGGACAGACACGGAGCTGGTGAAACCATCACCAAACAGAACAGACACGGACCTAGTGAAACCAGAACACAACAGGACAGACACGGAGCTGGTGAAACCACCAAACAAGAGGATAGACACGGACTTAGTGAAACCAGAACACTTACAGGACAGACACAGAGCTGTGAGACCATCACCAAACAGAACAGACACGGAGTTGGTGAGACCAGCACTCTACAGGACAGACACAGAGCTGGTGAGACCATCACCAAACAGGACAGACAGAGCTGGAGAGACCATCACCAAACAGAACAGACAGAGCTGGAGAGACCAGCACCAAACAGAACAAAGACGGAGTTGGTAAGACCAGCACCAAACAGAACAGACACGGACCCTGTGAGACCATCACCAAACAGAACAGACAGAGCTGGAGAGACCATCACCAAACAGAACAGACAGATCTGGAGAGACCATCACCAAACAGAACAGACAGAGAGTGAGAGACCAGCACCAAACAGAACAAAGACGGAGTTGGTGAGACCAGCACCAAACAGGACAGACACGGAGTGGGTGAGACCAGCACACAACAGAACAGACACGGACCTGGTGAGACCAGCACACAACAGGACAGACACGGACCTAAAGAAACCAGAACACAACAGGACAGACACAGAGCTTGTAAGACCATCACTCTACAAGACGGACGCGGAGTTGGTGAGACCAGCACACAACAGGACAGACACGGAACTGGTGAGACCATCACCAAACAGAACAGACACGGAGTTGGTGAGACCAGCATCCTACAGGACAGACATGGACATTGTGAGACCAGTACCACACAGGACAGACACGGAACTGGTACGACCAGCACCCTTCAGGACAGATGGCGATCTGGTGCAATCAGCACCCTTCACGACAGACAAGGAGCTGTGGCAGAGGACATTTCAGTCAGGAGTGGGGGCAGGGGCAGGACACAAGTAGTCATTATTTTGCGACGCATCACAGAGGCACTAATGGGGATAATCGTTGATTCAATATTTGTCCTTGAAGTTGAACAACCATTAGGCTAACCCACAACCCTCAATCGTAGAAGCCAAAGAAAAGCACATTATATTGCCAGATTTCCGCCTGTTTCTATAATGTCTAGTGGGATAGCCTTGTGGATAAAGGATTATGTGGTCACACTGAAAACCTAGGATAATAATATATATTGACCCAGCGGCGACAGCGGTTAAGCTTCCGAGACGGGCCTTGGCAGGGAGGGATTCAGGGGTGATGAGTGATCCACACACGAAAACAGGTCTTGAGTGTGAGAGATGATGCGTAAAGACGCTCTTATCCCCTTACATAGTCTAACTAGCTCCTGGAAATTTCTACACAATGCCCTCACCAGTCTAGCGGACTAGAACATTCCACATGTTTATATAACACACTATCACCGTCCGCAGTATACCGGACCGGAAGTCTACACACCACACCAGCATCTAAATATAGTAACTTCTTGACGACTAATAACTGTCCAAACACAATGGAATGAGCGTCTTCCGAATCTCAACAGACACAATGTAACACAGTTACAATCATTTTTAAACAATAAAATACACTTACATATAACAACGTGGGTACAATGTATGATTGTCACCTGACTGCTGCTCGGCAAGATAAAAGCTCCAGGTGTGTTCAATCATCAACGTGTCCTCTGTAGTATACTGGGTAGCTGATGCCACCGACATCCAGCCAAGGGTAGGAGGAGGAGGAGGAGGTAGCCTGACTAGCACAAATCATTGCCGTCTCTAGAGTGGCTACCAAGCTGATGCAGAGTTGTGTCCCTTATTTATGCTAGGATTCGCTGTCCGCGGGCTCCAATACCGATATACGTCCGGATTGTGATCCTTAGTTTTTCAGCACCATTCGCAAGTGTGGTTACCATGGTTACACCTTTTTTTTAAAAGGCAGTTGCATTTTGTGACGGCAATTCAAAGTAATTATCACCGACTGAGTTTTTCGTGTTTTTATGTTTGTTCACTTTTAGTATACCTGATTTGCTATAACATTTCCAAGTGAGTAAATGTTAAGTATGTTTTAAAGTGTGTCTGTCTGTCTGTCAAGCTATTTTACAACCAAAAGTAATTAATATCAATACGAAATTTATGACAATATATAAGTCTGTTCTGTAGGTTATGGATATAAAGCGCCATCTGTTCTTCAGGGCAATTTCAGGAGTGATTCTCATGCCACTGTCCTCATTGTCCTAAATTTGAGGTGGGGTAGCCTAGGGGTTAAGGTGTTCACTGTTCATGCTGAAAGCCAACGGTGTATTCCAAGGACTGTGTCACTGAGAGATCAAGGTTACAGCAGATGCAAGTGGCCATATAATCATGTGTTTTTGCCTTCACGAAGCAATGGTGTATTTAACCTTAGTTTCATGGAATAGACATAGGTATGCAACAAATGCACGATAACACTATGACGACATTCGTATACAGATTCACAAGGACGAGGGACGGTTGGGTAGCCTAGTTGTTTAAGTCCATCTCTGGTGTCCCCCGCTCAGATATTGCCGGAATATTGCTAAAAGCGGTGTAAAACCACACTCACTCACTCACTCACTCATAAGGATGAGGTAGGATACGGCCGGTTTCGGCCCATTGGAAATGTCAACTTTTATGTGACAGAATACTTTGTAATAATGGTACAAAAACATCAGACATATTCAGATGGTTGACAACTGACATACTTTTTTACACTTCCAAGTTGTTTCCTTCTGTCATGTTCAAGTACACAAGAATGGCTAAAAAAGTGAGTTTGTTTGTTTGTTGTTTAGTGCCGCACTCAGCTATATTCCAGCTATTTGACGGGGGTCTGTAAATAATCGAGTCTGGAACAGACAATCCAGTGACTGACATCATGAGCATCGATCCACGCAATTGGGATACGATGACATGCATCAACCAAGTCAGCGAACCTGACCACCAGATGCCTTCACGAAGCAATGGTTTATATAACCTTAGTGTCATAGAATAGTCACATGCCACATGCAACAAATGTACGTTAACAATATGAATACATTCGTATACAGATTTAAAAAGGATGAGGTAGAATAACGGTCGATAACGGAAATGACAGCTAAAACTATCAACCATCAACTCCATCTTGCAAAAGCGCTACAATTTTGAGACATTAAGAATAAAACGAATGAACAGTTAAATCATATTTATTTTTATTATGAAATATTTGGTGTATGTGGTATCGTATTTCGAAAGATAATAATTCGTGGTTTCAATTTAACATTTTGCTGCTTACATCAGGTGTTCTAAGCTCTCTAACACCATCCAGGAGACCACACCCCGCCCCAGTTCTTGGGATCGCCCTTGGGTTCTCTTGGGGGATAGTGTGCCGGCACCATGGACTGTCTCCATCCCTCCAGCCTCTGCTTCATGGTGGCCAAGAGGTCGGGGAACTCGGTCGCCAGGTCGTGTCGCTCAGTCGGGTCAGCTTGAAGGGGACAATCAGTTTCATTCTTATTCTTCATAATGCTGCCAGCTTACAATATCTATAAACTGATAATTCTGCGAACCTGAAAAATCTAAATAATTTGCCTTGGTCGCATCTTTCTATGGACCTGTGGGTACATGACAGAAGTCAACTGGTGTGGGTATATAGAGAATACTACACTCTTACTCGCTAGACACCATTTTTACGAAACGAGTGGACTTTCTATGGTATCTGAGATCAGATAAAGTGTAAATACATAACAACTTTCATTCGTTGAAAAACCAAACTGAAACCGGTTGCAAAATCTGGTTGCGCATGAATATTGATATATGCCCAAATATGGACATTTTATGCATACGCATTAACAACATGCGCCTGCAGTTGTGTTTGCAAACATTACAGCACCGACGCTCAAGATCTTTTTGGAAGAATTCCTTCAACTTATTGTAATTCAAGCGCCGCATTGTTAGTACGCAGGACACCTAGAAGAAAATAGGTCACATTAGCGCCGCGCTTTGAATATCGGACTAACAGTCGGTCACTCGCACTACCGGTGTTCCGGCTGTGCAATCATAATGGTTCGGTTTCCTTGATCTATCAGCTGAATTAATATCATGTCCGTACCATTTTGGAAGAGGGAAATAAGAGTGTTCGCCAACTGAACCACCCTATACTTAAGACGTGAAAATCAACAAACTCAAGTCTGCTTGCTTGTCAGTCACAGCTTCGAACGAAGGGCAAGGTCACCAGAAGGTCAAGAATCTGTCCAGATAGTTTAAACTGACTTCATTTCACCACGCTTATCCATTTACGTTACATCAAATTGAAAGTTGCGAAAGTGGTCGGGTGCGTCACGTTCATTTGGACCCTCGATCTATTGATCGGTAGTCGTACATTGTAAACGGATATAGCTCGATTATATAATGTCTGTAGAAGCTCTATGCATAACCTATTTGATGCGTGTGACTATCTTGTTTGGTTTACTAAAGTGTTTGTAAATATCTCTCGCTTTGATGAGATTGATTCAGTTCTGCCTTGTAGTTGCAAAATGAATGACGTCTCGCGATTATTATGAATGAAAAAAAGTAGTCCCGATGTGACAGAGTTCACGGTTATCAAAAACGGATAAAACGAGGTCAACATTGTACGACATCCGGTTATCAAAACGGACAAAACGAGGTCAACCTTATCCCCAGTACCGCAAACATGCACCGAAGTCAACTACTGTGGGTATTGGAGCGAACTAGAATATGTAAATATCTTGCCCCAGGGACACATTTGTATCACCTTGTGGGTATTGGCGCAGAATATATCCCAAGTGCCTCAGACATGCGTAGTAGCCAACTGAGGAGGATCATTTCGTTTAAATTTGTGACTTAGGTCACGTTTTGTCACCATACCCCCGCAGCCTAGGTTTGTGTTCATGTTGTCAACCTGTGGTAGACTTGGCAAGCTGTTATGTATCCGCCACCATATCATAGCTGCTACAGTGCTAAATAACACTCACTTATCATTACCTGTGTGTGATTATTGTGCAAAAAGGAGGTTGTCTGGGCGGTGGGGTAGTCTAGTGACTAAAGCGTTGGCTTGTCATGCCGAAGAACCTAACATGTGTACAATGTCCCCCGCTGATATTGCTGGAATAATGTTAAAAGCGGCGTAAAACCCTACTCACCCACTCACTGACTCAGGAGGTCATCTAGGTAGACACAAACCCTAGGAATGAAATGCTAATTTTCATGACTGTTTCTCTTGGACATGAAATTCAGTCCATTTACGCAATTTGGACTGGGAGTCCAACTGTGCTCTTGCCACGGAGATATGATCCTACTTAGCATCCTATGCTTCAAACAAGTGTTATCACAACTTGATCTGTCAAAAATGACATTGTGCATGAACAATGAAACTGCTCGGAAACACAACAAAGAAATGTCATTCAACCATGTTGGCCTACTCTGTCAGAGACCCAATTTCATAGATCATGTGACTTTGCAGAATGAACTCGGCTAACAGGTGTACCTGTAATGTTATATAGCTGGTATTGGGGCCATTTCTTTTTGTCTGCTCTGATATCTTCATCCAACGTTGGCAATGGGTACCAGTCGTTGTAGCGGCCAGGACTGCCGTGTATCAGCTTCAGATCCCCATACCTAGATGAGGCAACACAGATCATCACCCAGAGCACCACACCATTGCATACCGTAACCTCACTGTGACAGGAGGCTATTTTAAAGTGTGGATCGTATGGTCAACTTACAAATATTGGTATTCACTAAGTGCCGGCAGCCTCAATGTTGTCACTGTTGAGGCAGCCTTCGAAATGGCCTGTTTCTTCTCTCACATCTTGTCATCTCTACCTCTCCTCTTTCTGATCTTATACCCTCTCACATACATCTCTGTATCCTATTTCTTCTCTCACGCTTTCTAATCTTTTCCCCTCTTGTTTCCTCTATCACACCTAGTCCTTTCCCTCTCCTGTTTCTTCTCTCACAACTAATCTTTTCACCTCCTGTTCATCATCTCACACTTTCTAATATTTAACATTCCTGTTTCATCTCTCACACCTTCTAATCTTTTCACCTCCTGTTTCTTCTCTCACCCCGAATCTTTCCCACTCCTGTTTCCCATCTCACACTTTCTAATATTTAACATTCCTGTTTCATCTCGCACACCTTCTAATCTTTTCACCTCCTGTGTCTTCTCTCACAACTAATCTTTCCCACTCCTGTTTCCCATCTCACACTTTCTAATATTTAACATTCCTGTTTCATCTCTCACACCTTCTAATCTTTTCACCTCCTGTTTCCTCTCTCACAACTAATCTTTTCACCTCCTGTTTCTCATCTCACACTTTCTAATATTTAACATTCCTGTTTCATCTCTCACACCTTCTAATCTTTTCACCTCCTGTTTCCTCTCTCACACCAAATCTTTTCACCTCCTGTTTTTTCTCTCACACCTACTGATTTTTTCACCAAACTGATCTCTTCTCATCTCGTTTCTTCTCTCACACCTTCTATAGACGACGCTACACATATTACGGCGGAATAATTCATGTGCAGATCTGCCTCCCTGGGGTAACTCACAATCATGAACGAGGGTTCCAATACGAGAGTCGTCCTGATTACGATTCATGGTGTTCGTGGGATTCACTAAAGTGGGAATGGTGGAAGACTTTCATCCAGGCATGTAACTGAAATGCTGTTCCCCTCCTTCATTATCCTGGGAACTTTCTATTCTATTAAAATAAATACCCTGGACCCGTTCGCCACCATCGTTTCATTTCGGAAGTGATGTCACCGTCTCCATCTGCCTTATCACTAACACAGAATTTCTTCCGTCGTGTGAATATTTTGATTGGGACGGCTACTTTTCGTTATGGTACTGAATGGGTTTAGGGTAGTATCATTAAAAAAACATTCAATAGAGAAATAATACATTGAAGTATTGGGTATGTGTTAAACTCTGGATTGGCTACATACCTGATGGCTGAATTGCTCATGAGGTCGTCGATGTTGTACACAAACTCCTTCCTGTTGCTGGGGGAGTTTTGACTCAACATGTTCCACTGGTTAACGCCATCCATGCCCGGGTCTGTGATGAGTAAGAAATGTCACTCACACAAGGAGAGTGCACGGAGGAAGCCTATGACGCATGCCAATCTATCATCCTATTGCTTATCATGGATGACAAGCACGAACACCAAAACGATTATAAGAGGACTAGTGTTTAATGCAGCTGAATTTGCCATATATGTTTTCACTAAACTGTTTGATATATTTTGTTTTAATTATACATGATTACTATGATATATTAATATCTCAAGTCCTCGTTGTACTGGAATAATGCTTAAAGTGTCCTTAAAGTCACTCACTCACTCACTCACTCACTCACTCACCTGGTCTACCACCTGCCAGGTGGAGGAGTGTGGGGAACCAGTCAACTGCGTGCATCATTCTGCAACAGACAACGTGCTATGTAACACACACATAAGACAATGTGGCTCATTTATTATGTTTAAGATTTATACGCAAGATGATAAAAGGGACATTCAGTAAGGGCTTAATGAAGACGTGTGAAGGACTTCAATGATATGTCTAACATCATTCATCAGGTGTTGAACACATAATACAAGATATCATTCATCAACGAGGACGTAACATTAATACACGCGACTTCTGTGGCGCCATTCTATTCTTTAAATGGTTGATTATTCTTTCAGGAATGAACAACTGGTTTTCACTTATTTCTCATCTTGCGCTAACATTTCAATAAATGTACACATGGAATTTACAGAATTTATTTTTCGTTTTAAACACAAGTGAATAACTTCTAATTTTGTGTCGCCAGTTGGGCTCGAACCCGCATAATAGTAAAGTGTAGTAATCCACCGCTGCTATGGTGACACATCATATAATGTTGTAAAGTTAACTATTTAACGACAGAGAAAATATTCTTCATTGAGGAAAAACTAAATACACAGGAGTTGTATGTTTCAAATAATCCCTGTCAACTTGTTAGGATCCTACGCAATAGTTAACATCCTCCTACCATGAATTGTAAAGAGCAACTCGCGACAGCAGGTGCAGAGAACAAGTTCTACGTGCATGACGCAAGGGAGACTTACGCAGCATTATTACAGGCGACAAAGAGTTCTGGTTTCTTTTACCAATATTTTCGACAACATAGTGTTTTGTCCAAACTAGCCAGTCAATCATTGTGTACTGACTCGCCCTGTGGTGGTGCAGTCTGTCTCCCGAAGGATGACACACCCTGCGCTGGTGTAACCTGCCCCCTCCTCCTATGACTCACTCACCCTGTGCTGGTGTAACCTGCCCCACCATGGCTAACTCACCAAGTGTTAGGTGTAACCGGCCCCTATGACTGACTCATCCTGTTGCTGTAACCTGCCGCTCTGACTGACCCACCCTGTTGCTGTAACCTGCCCCTATGACTGACTCACCCTGTATTGCTGTAACCTGCCCCTATGACTGACTCACCCTGTATTGCTGTAACCTGCCCCTATGCCTGACTCACCCTGTGTATGGTGTAACCTGCCCCTATGTCTGACTCACACTGTGTTTGGTGTAACCTGCCCCTATGCCTGACTCACACTGAGTTTGGTGTAACCTACCCCTGTGCCTGACTCACCCTGTGTTTGGTGTAACCTGCCCCTATGACTGACTCACCCTGTGTTGCTGTAACCGGCCCCTATGCCTGACTCACCCTGTGTTGCTATAACCTGCACCTATGTCTGACTCACCCAGTGTTTGGTGTAACCTGCCCCTATGACTGACTCACCCTGTGTTGCCGTAACCTGCCCCTATGACTGACTCACCCTGTGTTTGGTGTAACCGACCCACATATGGCAGACTTACCCAGTGTTGGTGTAGTTCAACTTCTGCAGCAGCGTCTTACTGTACACGAACGCCGTCCCCTTGGTCCCTCCTTCCCACAGAGTCGTCTTGGCTCCCCGGAGTGGCAGATTGTTTGCACCGGCGTAAGTAGGACCACCGTTCTATATCAATACCATGTAACATTATCAGTTTGGTTACCGTTCTATTATTACATAAAATAATCTAGCTCGTACAAGCCCATTGAGATTTTAAAGCCCTGTACACCTCGCTTGTGACATATGTAACTCATAATGCTTTAGACCAACATTGTGGTTCATATGTTCTTACTAACATAGGGGAAAATACATAATTATTGAACTCCAAACCATGTCTTCCCATGTTACAACTTTAACACGGCGCGATGGTGTAGGGCACGATGGAAAACCAGTTATGTTCCCCCTTCTAGTTGGTATACTGACGCACGTCGGTGGTGAAGACGAGAAGGAGGTTGTCCACGAGGCCGCGGTCTCGTAGGGCCTGGGTGATGTTGCCGATCGCCTCATCAAGCGCCGATACCATGCCTGGCGTAGACATAGGGAGCAAGTTATTGATATAACATGGCGTTCTGCAGATTATTGGCATGTCATGTTGGTAAACCAGTTAGTGGGGAATTAAAATGATAACAGAGGTTCACTGATGCACTGAATAATCGTTATTCAGTGACCGCGAAATGAGTTAGTTCTGCTCGAATGTGCACCCACCTTTGCCTTTGTTGACTGAAAAGTCGGGTCAAGATGAACATAATGCTGTCGTGTATTTCAATGGCATGGTCTCTGTTAAACAATATTATTGAGTTTGTCAGACCTGAAGTGAATGATAGAAAATCAACATGGAATACTATAAGAACCCTTCCTTCATATCAACATTAAACACCCAGCGGACGATACATGAAAACCTGATCTAGATGCATAAGAACGGTGAGTATATTCTTGCTGTCTGTTACTTCACTGTAGCAGTGATGAGACCCTTCTGTTAGTCATAGTCATTGTACATATGTGGACGTTTCTATCAGTCATTGTTCTTTGTATATGTGAAGACGTTTCTATCAGTCGTTGTTTTTTGTATATGTGTAGACGTCTATCAGTCGTTGTTTTTTGTATATGTGTAGGCGTTTCTATCAGTCATTGTCCTTTGTCTATATGTACACGCTTCTATCAGTCATTGTTCTTTGTAATACTATATTTGTAGACGTTTCAATCAGTCATTGTTCTTTTTGGGGCGGCCGGGTAACCTAGTGATTAAAGCGTTCGCTCATCACACTGAAGACCCGGGTTCGATTTCCGACATGGGTACAACGTGTGAAGCCCATTTCCGGTGTCCCCCTCCGTGATATAACTGGAATATTGCTAAAAGCGGCGTAAAATCATACTCACTCATTGTTCTTTGTATATATGTACACGTTTCTATCAGTCATTGTTCTTTGTATATGTGTAGGCGTTGTTATCAGTCATTGTCCTTTGTATATGTGGAGACGTTTCTATCATTCATTGTCCTTTGTATATGTGGAGACGTTTCTATCAGTGATTGTTCTTTGTATATGTGGAGACGTTTCTATCAGTCATTGTCCTTTGTATATGTGGAGACGTTTCTATCAGTGATTGTTCTTTGTATATGTGGAGACGTTTCTATCAGTCATTGTCCTTTGTATATGTGGAGACGTTTCTATCAGTCATTGTCCTTTGTATATGTGGAGACGTTTCTATCAGTGATTGTTCTTTGTATATGTGGAGACGTTTCTATCAGTCATTGTCCTTTGTATATGTGGAGACGTTTCTATCAGTCATTGTTCTTTGTATATGTGGAGACGTTTCTATCAGTCATTGTCCTTTGTATATGTGGAGACGTTTCTATCAGTCATTGTCCTTTGTATATGTGGAGACGTTTCTATCAGTCATTGTCCTTTGTATATGTGGAGACGTTTCTATCAGTCATTGTCCTTTATATATGTGGAGACGTTTCTATCAGTCATTGTTCTTTGTATATGTGGAGATGTTTCTATCAGTCATTGTCCTTTGTATATGTGGAGACGTTTCTATCAGTCATTGTTCTTTGTATATGTGGAGACGTTTCTATCAGTCATTGTCCTTTGTATATGTGGAGACGTTTCTATCAGTGATTGTTCTTTGTATATGTGGAGACGTTTCTATCAGTCATTGTCCTTTGTATATGTGGAGACGTTTCTATCAGTCATTGTCCTTTGTATATGTGGAGACGTTTCTATCAGTCATTGTTCTTTGTATATGTGGAGACGTTTCTATCAGTCATTGTCCTTTGTATATGTGGAGACGTTTCTATCAGTCATTGTTCTTTGTATATGTGGAGACGTTTCTATCAGTCATTGTCCTTTGTATATGTGGAGACGTTTCTATCAGTGATTGTTCTTTGTATATGTGGAGACGTTTCTATCAGTCATTGTCCTTTGTATATGTGGAGACGTTTCTATCAGTGATTGTTCTTTGTATACGTGTAGAAGTTTCTACCCAGGCTTCAATATACCCACAGGGGATAATGATAGTCACATAAATTACCACAATACGTCCTCCGTTGTTTCGTCTTGATGTTCTTGTACAAATCTTCAAATCGTTGAGGAACCTGAAACATAAGGTATGATAATCACTGCCAAAAGATCCAAGATACATGCCTTTTTATTGAATCGAACTGGTTTATTAATATAAGCTATTTGTTGTTCAGATTGACAACGTCTTCAGATCTGTATCGCTGTCGTGTATGTCATCTAGTGTCTTATAGCGGTACTGTACGACGTGTGATGGGGTGTATCTGAGCTACCTGTAGTGGTTCATGGACAGACTGGAAGGGCAGGTACAGGTACAGGGGTTTGGTCTTGTCGTGGGTCCTGATGATTTCTACAGCTCGCGTGGCAAACGTCATCTGAAAACATTAACTGGAATTTAATTATAAATTCAAACTTCCCACGAGTGGCACTCCAAAGTCATGTGGTTGTGTTGCTTGCATTATTTACCAGGTATTAGTATTTGGCCTACAAAATCCAAGTGACCCGAAATGAATTAACCGTATACTTGGCACAAGCACAGAGTGGTCCTCTATGGATTTATATGATGCTACAAATGAATGACTATCTAAGGATTGATCTGAACCTACACAGGGTGATTATCTAAGGATCGCACTGAGTCGACATTTGCTCATCATCTATTCATTACGCGGAATCTGCACAGGTCAAGGGTGATTGTCTATGGATTGGTTTGAATCTACACGGTGTGATTATTTATGGATTGCGCTGAATCTACACAGTGTGATTATCTAAGTATCGCACTGTGTCGACATTTGCTCATCATCTATTCATTACGCGGAATCTGCACAGGTCTAGGGTGATTATTTATGGATTGTGCTGAATCTACACAGTGTGGTTATCTATGGACTGCGATTAATCTGCACAGAGTGACTGTCGATGGATTGCACTGAATCTACACAGTGTGATTATCCATGGATTGCGCTGAATCTACACAGTGTGGTTATCTATGGACTGGGCTGAATCTACACAGTGTGATTATCTATGGACTGCGCTGAATCTACACTGTGTGGTTATCTATGGACTGCGATTAATCTGCACAGAGTGACTGTCGATGGATTGCACTGAATCTACACAGTGTGATTATCCATGGATTGCGCTGAATCTACACGGTGTGATTATTTATGGACTGCGCTGAATCTACACAGTGTGATTATCCATGGACTGCGCTGATTCTACACAGTGTGGTTATCTATGGACTGCGCTGAATCTACACAGTGTGATTATCTATGGACTGCGCTGAATGTACACAGTGTGATTATCCATGGATTGCGCTGAATCTACACAGTGTGATTATCCATGGATTGCGCTGAATCTACACAGTGTGGTTATCTATGGACTGCGCTGAATCTACACAGTGTGGTTATCTATGGACTGCGCTTATTCTACACAGTGTGGTTATCTATGGACTGCGCTGAATCTACACAGAGTGACTGTCGATGGATTGCACTGAATCTACACAGTGTGGTTATCTATGGACTGCGCTGAATCTACACAGTGTGGTTATCTATGGACTGCGCTTATTCTACACAGTGTGGTTATCTATGGACTGCGCTGAATCTACACAGAGTGACTGTCGATGGATTGCACTGAATCTACACAGTGTGATTATCCATGGATTGCGCTGAATCTACACAGTGTGGTTATCTATGGATTGCGCTGATTCTACACAGTGTGGTTATCTATGGACTGCGATTAATCTGCACAGAGTGACTGTCGATGGAATGCACTGAATCTACACGGTGTGATTATCTATGGACTGCGCTGAATCTACACAGTGTGATTATCCATGGACTGCGCTGATTCTACACAGTGTGGTTATCTATGGACTGCGCTGAATCTACACAGTGTGATCATCTATGGACTGCGCTGAATCTACACAGTGTGGTAATCTATGGACTGCGCTGATTCTACACAGTGTGGTTATCTATGGACTGCGCTGAATGTACACAGTGTGGTTATCTATGGACTGCGCTGAATGTACACCGTGTGGTTATCTATGGACTGTGATTAATCTCAATTTGAGACTGTCGATGGATTGCACTAAATGTTAACAGGATAAGTGTCTGTGGATTGCATTGAATCTACACCGGGTGCTCATATTTGGCTTGCACTAGCTACGAAGGGTGATCATCACCTTAATATCAACCGCATATCCGAATTATTAGATTTTTCTAAAAAGGAAAAAATGTTTGAATTTACTTTGGCGTGTGCAGTGTTACTTTCAGATGATTTTTCGAAGACGTACCGCGGAGTAGGGTCCACTGTAATTTCTTGCCACTGTTTTATTGAACCGGAAGTCAAACCCATCGCCTGCAAAACACAAATAAAGCAGTGAGATCTAACTGAAGCTTACACTGAGGATAAAAGATGCAATCGGCTTCACATTGGCCAACAATAGGTCTCATAATGTTCAAGCTTACGGTGCATTTTCCAGTGTCCACATACCAAATTTGATGTCATTGTCTGTGTCTGCGTTTTTTGGTCAATGGTGGAAATAAATGCGACTAAACCATAAACAAATCTCGTCCATTGTACGATTCCGACTATATCATGAGCATGTGTTTATGAATTACTATCAAATTGTGATGATATCAGGTGTTCGCGAAAAGGTGAGCGTATCCCACCCCACCGATGACACCTGTCATAGACACGTGCAAAGGCAAGTCATTTGTTTACATTACAAAAACACTTGAACAGATGTTACAAGTCAAAATAGTCATTGCAATGGACATCATATTTATCACCGGTGCGTCATAATTTGGAAACGTCCTCCATATAAAACATTTGGAAAGCTTTTACTGAGGCCTTGAATGTTGAACAAACAACTTCTGACCAAGACTTGTATAACGCTCTTTGACCTCTTGGAAAAAAGAGCATGATCGATTGTAACGCAAAAGCTGCGACATGTAAAAGGCTTAAACTGCAGGAATATTGCTCGACATAAACGGAAAGTTGACTATTAAAAAGTTGAGGTCATTTCTTTTGTCAGGTCTTTGAAAGGCATTTAGAAGTGATACACATAAGGAAGAGAATATATGGATGTAAACTTCTTCATTGTGAGGAACACAACGTTTCGGAGTATGTGCTTACTCCTTCATCAGGTGAATGAATGCCTTGAAGCAGAGAGCATGTATATGTATAGGTAAGGACAACACAATAATAAGATAACAAAAGGTGAAAAATAACAAAATGTAGAAATTAACAAGGGAAGCCAACAGATGATTTCCTGGTCACGGTTCATGCCTGGCTGAAGTCTCCTAATGTCAATGGCTTCTTGTAGTTTTCTTTGTCGCTTTATCTCCTGCATGTAAGAACTGGTTATATCGGCACCGGGTGGTTATTTGGTTTAAGCTGGCTGCATGTCCTCGTACAATCATAGTGTCAATACCTGTTGGCCAATACCCCGACAGGGTGTAGTGTTGCTCATAATATAGATCACTGGATTGTCTGGCACAGATTCTAGTATTGACAGGCCGCTGTGATATAGCTGGAATATTGTTGAATGTAGAGTAAAAGTCTTGAAAACAAAAGTGGGGGCATCGAGGCGAAGTTTCAGCTTCATTGTTGCTTTTGTGTCCGATATATTTTCATCGACTCTCTGTTGTCTTATGCTGTCTACAGCATACATGCATCTCTAAAAGTAATGTAATGTAATGCCTTTCCTACCTCTGACGTGAGTGTAGTAACCCTCTGCTCCATTATAATACCCCAGGAACGAGTCGAAGCCACGCATTGTAGGGGTGTATTTCCAGTTACAGAACCCAAGATGCCATCTGTTAAAAACGAATATTGCTTAAGTAGTAAAGAAGGTAGCATGCCCAAGTCCATATTTTTGTTTGTTGTTTACGCGTAGTAATATTCCTGCTTTATTGCAGTGGCCTGTATATGATGGAACCTGGACTAGGCAAACAAGTGATTGAAAGTCACGACAGGCGCCAAAGTTCCAATGCAATAAGGTCGCCTCTAACGACAAGCAAAGACACGAGTCCCCGTGACGTCTCTATGCACAGTGTTCGGGTCACAAGTCAGGAGAATTGGCCCTGCTTGAGACTATTTGTTTCCAGGGCCTGACAAAAAACTGAACCACGACTTTCAAGAGATTCCACTCTAAATGTGCCTGTGTTCTCCATTACTTATACACAGGATGGTGATGTGAAAGAAACCTTCCAGCATCTACTGTACACATCTCAAAGAAAATAACATATTTTACAACAACCCTACAATCTCTGTGTTTGTATTTGTACACTAAAGGGAGTGCAAGAATCCGAAGGAGTGTTTAAATCCCAGATTTGTGATCATTATGATGCTTGAACCGGCACGTCATCACCATATCCATGCTCGTGGGTTTCTCTCCATGGTACGAGGGGCGTTCAATAAGTTTTGCAACTTGGGCATTTGTGTTTTACACAAACAATGTCAACTTGTGGTAGGTGTGACACTAGTCATAACATCAGGTTGACACGTGTCATAACAAGTTCCAGACACAACAATAAGTTAGATGTGATGGCTTCATTTCACCTAAGGGTGGTCACAATCATGGATTCTCTCAAACATGAACAACTCACTGTAAGAAAGTTCATTACCACGGAAGGATGCAAAGCAAAAGAAATCCATATATGACGTATGTGAATGTGGATTCGAACAGTTAAATCACCCACCCTACAGCCCAGACTTAGTTCCCAGTGACTATTTCCTGTTCCGGCAAATGAAATCTGCCCTACGTGGAAGACGCTTCTAGGATGACGAGAACATAAAGGCTGCCACAGAGGGGTGGTTAGAGGGCCAATCTGCGGATTTCTATAAAAGTGGTATCAAAAGCTTGAAGGACAAATGGAACAAGTATATTGAGGTGAATGGAGATTGTATTGAAAAAAGTGCAAAAGATATTCTGCGATTTGGTCTTATATTGAAGTTGTAAAACTTATTGATCGCCCCTCGTAAACTTCTGACACTTGCATCACTTTGGCCTTTTTCCGACATGAATCTCATACCGCGTGCTGTAACTTAACTCTCATAACTCACTTGCCGACTGCGTGGGTTGCATAGCCGAGCTCTTTCAGTTTCTGTGGCAGCAGAGTAAAGTTGGCGGGTACATACCCTGGTACCTGCGGGTGGATTACGTCATGCTGGAACACACACATCCCTCATGAACACATTCCATGGTGTGCACAACAATAATTGAAAAGGAGTGAGTGAGTGAGTGAAGTTGGGAGAGTCAGTCAGTCAGTCAGTGACCCACCTGTAGCCCCGTGTGGTAGGGGTAATATCCAGTCATGAAGCAATTTCGGGATCTGTAATTAGAAGCACCATCATGATCAGTACAACTGAATATGCGCAGTGCAACTTCATTCGTATATATTGTGTGTCAAATAAGCGGTTTGAATATCAATCCGGTATATCGATGATGCTCCAGCTCGCATTAGGGCTGTCAGGTAGCCTCGTGGTTAAAGCGTTCGCACGTCACGCCGAAGACCCGGCTTCGATACCCGACATGGGTACAATGTGTGAAGCCCATTTCTGGTGTCCCCCGCTGTGATATTGCTGAAATATTGCTCAAAGCGGCGTAATACCAACTCACTCACTCACTCCAGTTCGCATTTTTCTTGGATACTGCCTCCAAAGCTACAGGCTGTAAAACTGTGTTCAGTTCCACCTTAGATCCACGCTGGTTTAGTTGTACATGTTCATGTTAATAGTGTACATGTACCAAGTGTACGTCCTGGTTGTATGCAATTGCATGTGAATCTAATTTGCACCTCTAATTTCAATATATATTTGTTTCATATTTGACTTAATGCTCAATGATATGCGCTTTGTTTTTGTTTTCAGGTGAACATTTGACTTGCCTTTGCATGTGCTTGTGACGGGTGCCACCGGAGGGGGAGGACACGCTCACCTTTTCGGGAACACCTCGTATCATTACTATTTGATAGTGATTCATATACACATGCTCATGATATGGTCAAAAGTTTTATGCAGAGATTTTTATTGGATATGGAAAAGGTTTTGTCGCTTTGTTATTATTATTATTATTATTATTGTTGTTGTTGTTGTTGTTGTTGTTGGTGGTGGTGGTGGTGGTGGTGGTGATATTAGTTTATATTTAATTTTTGTTACTAAAATACTAAACATGTTTAGATAACGGGGGTGTTGTGTTTAGATGGCGTTTAGGCTAAGAGAATATAGCTCTTTTCTCATGTTTCTACCCTAAACGTGTTCATATGGAACTCACCAAATGTGTATTCTGTTCAGGATTTAAACACACCCTTTAATATGTATAGATCTAAACATGCTTTGTGTACATGTGTTTACATTCTAACCATATTTCTACAGAGAACTCTATCGATGCTCTGTTATGTAAAGTTATACACATCATTTATTCGGTTTCAAGAAACGTGCAGTGCGTCATATGGTAGGTTTCGATTGAGTTTTCGATTATCAAGAATACTACCTATACTCGTTTTTTTTAAATCTCAGCTTGTGTGTCCACCAGATCGAAACACGACGTCAACTGAATCACTCTTTGTAACGTATTATACACAGGGGAGTTATGCAAAGCAGACCACACCTCCGAAATGAGGACCGATATTTTGCAAATATTTGTATGAATTATTGGTGGCAGACATTAAGTTGGTGACGATCTGAAAACATGGAGCAACAGATTGGTTGTTTTGCTCTCTCGCCGGCAACACGAGTGAGACGATATGCGCCGCTTTTAGCAATATTTCAGCAATGTCACGGCGAGGGACACCAAAAATGGGCTTCACACATTGTACCCATGTTGGGAATAGAACCCGGGCCTTAGGCGTGACGAGGGAACGCTTTTACGACTAGGCTACCCGACCGCAATTGAGCATGGATGTAGCATGCATATCGGGTATATGAACTGTATCGGTCTCATCACTGGACATCTTGTCGCTTCCCGCCCACAGATATTCTGAATGAATAGTAGTGAGTACTCAAGCAGGTTCAATGTTCTAGCGCAAAACAATTAACTTTTCTGATAATCTGCTGGTTATCGGGGATACGAGTTGTGTACAGTCAGCAGTTAGGACGGGTTCGGAGTTTCGAATAGACAGTAACATGAAGGGGTATCAGTCATGAGGCACTGAAGTCAATCCAGGGCCCTAAACTAGAGCATACGATACAGAAGATTATTCAGATATCAGGAAAGCTTTAGACAGTTTGACAACCAACATCGCAAGTGTGGTTGACAAGTAGAAAACTATGAGTGGTACCCTCAGACAGTAGAAGTAAATAATTCCAGAATGAATTAACAGATTTTGAAGACAAAGAAAAGTCAATTAGGACTATCATTGCAACCTAGTGTAATCGAAGCTAGATAAAGCTGAAGGGTCTTCAAGAGGGAGCATTCTAATCTCTTTTGGAATCGACATGAAAGAAAAAGAAGAGCAAGTGAAGACAAAGGGGAAAAATGATTTTACCAATACCGAGACCAATCAGTTTGGTTTGGTTAACAGGCTACGATCCACGGAAAGATTTACACATTTATCATATGAATGTACAACAATGTTAAGTGCACTGTTTAAGTTAATTGTGTTTGTTTGTTTGTTGTTTAACGCCGAACTCAGAAATATTACAGCTATATGACGACGGTCTGTAAATAATCGAGTCTCGTCCAAACAATCCAGTGATTGACATTATGAGCATCGATCCACGCAATTGGGATACGATGACATGCATCAACCAAGTCAGCGAGCCTGACCACCCAATCCCGTTAGTCGCCTCTTACGACAAGCATAGTCACCTGTTGCGGCAAGAATGGTTTGCTGAAGACCTACATGTATTCTACCCCTGATCTTCACGGGTCTTATGTTAATTATGGAAATCATTGAACTGTATATTGTTCTAGCTCCTGTGGTGTCAGGCAAGGATGTGCCCTCAGTCCTGTCCTCTTTTCTCTGTTTATCAAATAACTATCTCATTTCTTCATTTAATGATGACAATTTTATGTCGGAGGAAATGTTAAATATCATGGTATTACTGCTTGCAGATGACCTGGTATTGATTGCAGCTGTGGTAAAGTTACAGCGACGATTAGATTAGATAAGTAATGTCAATATTCTAGTTTGTGGGGAATGGATATAAATGTGGAAACGAGTTAGATTATTGTACGGACGGGCATGAAGTGATATTACGGAGAATATAATTATTATAATGTGTATTGAATTAATACTATGTCCACTGTCAATGGTGACAGTATAGGTGAGTGAGTTGTGCTCAAAGCGAGAGACACAGCAAGAGACACTTTAAAGTCATGTGGGGAATCGCACCTGGGTCTTTGGCGTTACGGGCCAACGCTAAAGTCAACCCCATAACCCTGGTGACGGAATGATTCAGTCAAAGCTGTTTGAAGCTGTTCAGATGCATGATCAAGACAATGACTGTCATTATGCACTTCCATCAGACAAAGATTCATTATGCAATTGCATCGGACAAATACTGTTATTATGCAGCATTTTCTCAACATTATTATATAATACGTGCCATAGATTATTGGCAGTAATCATGCATTGATAACACCTGTCGCCTGTCGATGTCTCATAACAATAGCAATCAATAAATCAGGAATAACAGGTAAACTTGAATAAGCAACTGAGTATAACTTTTTCCGAAAGGCTGTCAACATTGCTTCTTAAGATAATTATACAATTAACATCTACAGAATGTAATAAGTAAGAGGAGACGCATGTATGGTTGTATATACGATGTGTTAAATAACGTACACAGTGATCGCACGTATTGTACGCATGACGAGACGTATGTAGGTGTTGTACACATGATATATTAAATACATTACGCAGTGAACGCACGTATTGTACGCAAGAGGAGACGTGTGTATGGGTTGTTTACACGATATACTGAAAAACGTACGTAATGAACCCACGTATTATACGCAAGAGGAGACGTATGTATGGGTCGTATACACGATATATTTAATACCTTGCGCAGTGAACGCACGTATTGTACGCAAGAGGAGACGTGTGTATGGGTTGTATACACGATATACTGAAAAACGTACGCAATGAACCCACGTATTATACGCAATAGGAGGCGTGTGTATGGGTTGCATACACGATATATTAAATACCTTACGCAGTGAACCCACGTATTATACGCAAGAGGAGACGTGTGTATGGGTTGCATACACGATATATTAAATACCTTACGCAGTGAACGCACGTAGTGTACACAAGAGAAGACTTGTGTAGGTGTTGTATACACGATATATTAAATAACTTACGCAGTAAACGCACGTATTGCACTGTATTTAGGGTTAAATATATGATTATGCATATACTTACGATAAGCATATGTACTATGAGCAAGAGGAAATGGCTGAAGTAACGTGTCGTAACAAGACTTACGGTGAACACACGTACTGTACGTAGGAGGAGTTTAGTATCACTCCCTGGCGGGCTAGGCTGTCGATGTTTGGAGTAATCATCTGAGGGTTGTGAAACCCCACATCGTTCCATCCTGGTGGTAAAAATACAAATAATCCACTGTAAAATAATGTGTTTATCTGATCTAAACATGTTTAGGAAGGTGTTTAAATCCTAAACGGAACACACAAACGGTGTGTTCACGCGTTTAGGGTCAAAGCACATAAAATGAGCCTAAACACAGTCTAAACACTTCCTAAATACAACATCCCCACAATCTTACCATATTTAGAATTTAAACATGCATATGGTTACGACAACACGTATGTCTTTGTGTATTATTCTAATAATCTAAACAAGTTTAGAATTTAAACATATCTATATATAATGCATATCATTCAACATGAAGTCAGATATTGATAAGGTGTATAATATATATTGAAATGTGCAATCAGATTCACAGGCACTTGCATAACACAAATACCACCAGGACTTACAACGAACTTGCTACAATATTAACATACTCATGTACAAATAAACTAAGCTGAGATAATGTTAGCTTAATTGTAACAAAATGTGTTTAGGTCCTAAACACAAATCTAATCACGTTCTTTGTCCCATAATTTTGACCTGTTTAGGATTTTGTTTAACAGCTGAACGTCTTTAAGGTCTAAATGTGGGAAAGACCCGTATATGATATGCACTTTATTTAAATATGTTTACTTTCTAATCACGTCTAAATTGTAAACGTGTTTAAATGTGTTTAATTTCGAAACATGTTTAGATTATGATGATGTTGTTTAGGCTGTGAGACGATAGCTCATTTCATGTGTTTAGACCCTAAACGTGTGTATTCCGTTGAGTATTGAAACACGTTCCTAAACTTGTTCAGATCTAAACATGCCTTGTATGTGTTTACATTCTAACCACAGTTTTTACAGTGTTGATGAAGTACACAGGATATGTGCACGTGTATCCAGCTGGTTTCCTCGCTCTCTTCAATTTTGCTCCATTCTTATAGATTGATTGCATGTTTGCTTAGTGGTCGTTAATTGATCAATTGACATATGCGTTAGCATGAGGCATAAATTATAGGACATAAGCCTACAGTGTTATGGTATAGGAAGAGGTCGCTTGCACCGGAAAGCAGTCACGCGGTGTTGAGTAGATGTATAAAACAACACGACTTACCCAAATCATCCGCCACAATGAACACTAAGTGGGGTGGCTTCACGACAGCGCCCACGGTGACAACCCACAGGCTGCAGACGACAGCCAGAGACGCTACTACCATCTCCATTGTTGAGTCTCATGAAACGCTAAGATTTGCCTTATCTGGTGAACTGGAATGCGTGTTAAATACTCGGGGCCTTCCACAACTGTGTCATATACCTGTTGCAATAACTATCACGTGATAGGGCATAGTGCTTCTGGAAAAGAATAGTATTTCTAGAAAAGTATTTCTATCCGCGCTTGTCGGTTGGGTAGTCAAGTGTCAAGTGACTGAAGAGGGAGGTGCCTTAAAAAGCCGGAAAACAAAGTCGGCCGGGTCATTGGGTGATTCTAAAAGTGGAGGATTAAAACGAAACACATTATCGCTCGAGAAAGGTGGTAGGCGAGTGCAGTTTAAAAATGCAAGACTAAACCGCACATGTGAAATCCTATATTTCGACATATTGTGAAAAAGTGTTGTGTTCATTATGACAAGGACACACACAACTACATTCATTGCAATTCTTATGTATTTTATCGGAATATGGATTTGCGCACTTAGCAAAACGGATTTAGAATTAAAACACAAATAGTGCGGGTGATTCTGCTCTTCTTAACTGTTTGTGGATTAAATATATACTTGTATGCGACAAGTCGAATTTTCGTTATTTTTTTTAATATATTCTTTCTATATTTATAGTTCCTATAACTAAAGTTTTGCCTCCGGTGTGAACAAAATATTCATTGTGAACTTGTCTTCTCCATTCAAGAACGTATATCTTGAATCAATACCAGAATAACATGTGGAATGAGTGAGGGAGTAAGATGGGTTTAACGCCACTTTTAACATTATTTCTGTTATCGGGGTGGCTTACGGCCAAAACTTGCTACTATCACAACCTTGTTCCGTACAATCATTTTATATCGCTGTGATGACTGAAACATGGTTTGATGATATAGATCTACTACATGTGTTCCCAGATCATGAATCTATCACCAAACAAGCAGTACATATTTCAAACTGTTGGAGACTGCCCGTGGTTGTAATACCTTTATTTAAAGCACACTTTAATGATCAAATGGTCTAAAATTGCAACATTGTTTGGTCTAGATTATGATCTATTGTATGGCTGTCACCCAGAAAGATATACCTGGTATAACAAACCTTATTTATGCTGCAAAAATAAATATATTTCAAGACAGTCTTTTAGAAATACTCGTACGTTTACCAGATATCTGATATGGCGACGACATCAGTGCACGAACAGGAACTAATGCTGAATTTGTTGAAGATGATATAATAGAGCACATTAAAAACACTGCCAGATTTTATCCTGGATAATTCTAATCTAAAGCTCTTATCTGCCGATAATATCGTAAACAACTTGTGTAAACGTTTTCTGGATTTATGCTTTGATTGTTTGTTTATTGTTTAACGCCGCATTCACCAATATTCCAGCTATGTGACGGCGGTCTGTAAATATTTGAATCTGGACCAGACAATCCAGTGATTGATAGCATGACCATCGATCTACGCAATTGGGTTGGTTGGTTGGTTGGTTTGTTGTTTAACGCCCCACTCAGCAATATTCCAGCTATATGACGGCGGTCTGTAAAATAATCGAGTCTGGACCAGACAATCCAGTGATTGATATCATGAGCATCGATCCACGCAATTGGGATCGATGGCATCCATCAACCAAGTCAGCGAGCCTGACCATCCGATCCCGTTAGTCGCCTTTTACGACAAGCATAATCACCTTTTACGGCAAGCATGGGTTGCTGAAGACCTATTCTACCCCGGAATCTTCACGGGTCGAGAGAAATTATGTAAATAATTAGATTGACGATGAATGTAACGGGTTAAAATCGGACCATTACAGAAAACATAAAGTATAAAAAAAACATAAGAATAAAGATTCGGGTGAACCTGGTGAGCTTACTGCAAACACAAGTCAGATGCCTTTACATGAATCCTCAGTTCCAGCAGTAGCAAACCCCAAATATCACATGAACGTTCGCATCATTCTCCGTAAATTCCCCCATGCAGTTGTCACTGATGAGTTTCCTCCGATTCCGACCCCTGTCTGTGATCTTTCTGATAATCCGTTGTATATGTTGTTTATATCTTCTATAAACAAATTTATGATTTACCTTTTGAGAAACGGAGGCCAATTAAGCAATTTGACAAATCATTTCCACAGAATCATCTAGATAAATAAAATGTGATTATTTCAGCCACTCTTAATGCAGACTGTTCTTTGCATGACATTAACTGTTGCGTGGATACTGCTGCTCGAACTCTGGAAAAAACGTCATATAATTTCCAAAGACATCGAACCACAAAAGAGTAAAAAACAAAATCATTAAAAGAAAAACAAGGAATAATATACCCTGGATAGAACGTTCAAACGCAAAAAAGATAATTTGAAAAATGAAATAGAAAACGAATACAAGACAACAAAAGAGAAAAATTCTAAAACAAATTTTTGATTCTCTGAAAGTTAAAGGTTTGGACAAAAAGAAAGAGAAAGTGGGACAAGAAAAATAATTTCATAAAACAAAACAATTGGTTCAAATCTAATGAAAAACAATTTTACAGGCAACTAATGGCAGAGATGAGAAAAGACCCACCATGGATTCCAGTGAAAGGTTTTGGAAACAGTTGTGGTCTATACCCGGCATCTGTAACCTCGAGGAACCATGGGTAGAGGAATATAATGATTGTGTACACGAAAACATAAGTCACCATTGTTGTGTTTCATTACACCTGATTGCCTGAAAAAGGTAATTAAGCTAATAATCTAATAACGCGCCAGGGCCTGATAGTTTTCGAAACCGGTTTTGGAAACACCATTACTTCACTGTTTGAAATCTCTTGTGGATATAGTGTATGTTCCGCATTGGTTGTCGAACAATTCTTCACCCAATGAAAGGTGATTTAACTGAACCAAATAACTTCCGACCTTTTACGAGTTACAGGGTCTCTTACAGATCGTGTGTCATCATACTGCGCCTCCAATGATATTATTTACATGGAGCAGAAAGGAGCCAGGAAGGGATATTGGGGTTGTAAGGATCAACTGCTAGTTCAGATAATGATGCTTGAAGAGGCTGAAACTTACCACCGCAACCTCTCAATGTGTTGGATTGACTACAGAAAAGCGTATGATTCTTTACCTCACGAATGGATTTTGAGGTCACTAGCATGTATTGACCTCCCTGACTACTTCTTTTACTCAAGTCTTTAATGAATTGCTGGTCAATTCAACCTGAGTTCGCAGGAGCAGGTGGCGACTTTCGGAAACCATTTTTATTAGAAAAGGAATATTTCAGGGCAATTCTTTTAGCCCCTTGCTTTTCTGTTTGTCACTAAATCCTTTAAGCTTTTTGCTTAGCAAAGAGGAAGCTTAAGGTTATCATCTGGGACCTCCTCAGAACAGATCCCATAACACCCCTTACTTACCTCCTTTACATGGATGATCTTGCACTTATTGCCAATGGAGGATCCACACTCCAAAAACAGATTCTCCTTGACGAATCCTTTTTAGTGACATCGGCATGTACTTTGGACTCGAACATGCAACATTTTGTATCTGAAACGTGGCAAGGTAGAAGAGGGAGGATCGGTCAGTTTACTTAAGGGAGGAGTTATTGACGATCTCGTGGAATGTCAGGCCTATATGTACGTAGGGATACAGGTTAGTGACTAACTCCAGGATGCCAATATCAAGGACAAACGTCGGGGAGAGTGCAAATGTAGACTTAAGAAAATCTGGAGTTCAGACCTGAACGTTCGCAATAATGTTAAAGCCACAAATACTTCTGCTGTACCCGCCCGCTATTGGAAAGTAGAAGTCATCCCTCCTGTCAGACAGTCTTGTGGAGAGTGTCTTGACACTCCGAAATGTTATTGCATAGATCTAAATATGAATCAGATGAAGCAGTCTCACTGGTTTCTTTTATTTCTAGTTCAGGCGGGTAAATCGGTGGAAGGGAATTGGCTATTTGATGGTTATTGAACGATATCAGATCTAAGATATACCTGAAGTTTAAGTAGATTTTCTTGGCCAAATTACCTTGTTTTGACTTTGACAATCCGAGAAGAAATTCTGATTCATATGCATAAAGAAACAGATCGGTGTCCAGTTGGTGCCCTTAGGGATCTCTACTTCTTGCCTAAATGTCTTTCCCAAATATTTTACATAGATGTTGTCAATGAGGAAGAACAGCTTTCATATATTGGTTTTTTTCAAAAACCTTCAGACGGCATATGCGTTCATTTTTGACAAATTGACCTGAACCTTTGAGTTTGTCTCAAATACTGTCTGTGAATTATATAGAATGCCCTTCCTTGATAGTGTTGAGGATTATGGTTAATCTTTGAAACAGGGACGTGGTGGTACATTTGCTGGACCCAGCAATATATCTCTATTTACTGGTTTTTATGTATCTTTGGAATCTAGTACAAAAATGGAATGGACATGTCTTCAGGTTTTAGAGTCAAGTCAAAAGTTTATAGTACTGATGCATGGTTTGGGCAGATTTCTTCCTCAATTAACATACTAGCCTAATATGTAGAATTATTTGATATGTCTCTTATAGAGTTCTTTTCATTTAGTGATGCTTACATATAATGGTTCTGTTATTTAAGGCCTTGTCAGTGGGAACAATTACAAACTTTCCATTGCTCGGTTTGTGCATTCCACCAATGACATCACCCGCTCACTCTGAAAGACATTCAACAGGTTATTCTCCTCTTTTGGTCCATTTATTGGCATATGCATAAACGCAGGGTTAGTCTTTAATTTGGCATCTTTGAAAAGTAATATAGTTTTGCCCTGAACTATTATAGTTAAAGTACGAGGATGCTTGCGTGAGAGTGCTTTGAGGTTATAATATAGTTCAGGACAAAACAATGCTTTATCACACTGCGCAAGAGGGTGGAGCAAACTCTAATTTTAGTCCCAAACATTTAAAACTATATAAAGCAATGTTAATTGCTCTTTGCCATGCATCTTGTTCTATTTCCAGATATATTATTCCATGAGGAAATTAATCATCATGTTGAATATTGAGGATGCAGAGAATCTATCCCTTGTGTTGTGTCGGCAAGAGTGAGTGAGTGAGTATGGTTTTGCGCCGCTTTTAGCAATATCACGGCGGGGGACACCAGAAACGGGCTTTACACATTGAACCCATGTCGGGAATCGAACCCGGGTTCTGGCGAACGCTTTAACCACTAGGCTACCCGACCGCCCCGTGTCGGCAAGAACGAGCACACCATCAGGTGTAACAGTTGTGGGCAGTGATAACACAGGATTTGGATCGTTCGGCTTAAGCCTCCATGATGGAATGGATTTTTTGCTTTTTATTTTGAATGGTGACGTCAGCCGGAAATTGATAACTTTCAACTAACTGATGTAATGTATAGTGTATGCTAATTGCATTAATATAAACAAATGGAATTTCAGTGAAGCTGCTTGTGTTGTTTGTTTTTGGATTGAAGGATTAGATACTGGTCGACTGTTTTTCTTGTTGTAAATAATCATGTCATGTGGTATGTCATGGTATGTCATAGTATCATGTTATGGTATGGTACCCATAACGATGAAGGACTTCAGCTGCAGAGAACAGGGGCGGCTCACTCAGCATTAAGACTGTAGAGTAGATACCTCTTATTTTAATTTGGAACCGAGCGCTTCTATCAGTAAGTCCCCTTTGTACACGTGTAGACTTTTCTATCACTATCATTGTCATTTGTACACGTGTAGACGTTTCTATCACTATCATTGTCATTTGTACACGTGTAGACGTTTCTATCACTATCATTGTCATTTGTATACGCGTAGACGTTTCTATCACTATCATTGTCATTTGTATACGTGTAGACGTTTCTATCAGAATCGTTGTCATTTGTATACGTGTAGACGTTTCTATCAGAATCGTTGTCATTTGTACACGTGTAGACGTTTCTATCACTAGCATTATCATTTGTATACGTGTAGACGTTTCTATCAGAATCGTTGTCATTTGTATACGTGTAGGCGTTTCTATCACTATCATTTGTACACGTGTAGACGTTTCTATCACTATCATTGTCATTTGTACACTTGTAGACGTTTCTATCACTATCATTGTCATTTGTATACGTGTAGACGTTTCTATCACTATCATTGTCATTTGTATACGTGTAGACGTTTCTATCACTATCATTGTCATTTGTATACGTGTAGACGTTTCTATCACTATCATTGTCATTTGTATACGTGTAGAAGCAATCAGATCCCGAATTGTGGCCTGTGGAGTGGAATGTTCACCCACTCTGCCTGCAGTGCTTGTGCCAACTGTCGGGGGTTCTGTGGTTGTTGCTGACATTGATCAAAAGTAATACCGGTAACGAGACAAACAAAAGGTAAATCTCCAATCTTTATTCTTAATAGTGTGCTAGTAATCGACACAGAATACAACACACAAGTCACAACAATTAGAAGCAAATGTATATATCTCGCGTATACATCAACACTGACAATATTCAACACCGGCAAGGCACTCCAGTTACATCACGGACGTCAGGTTTAAAGGGACTCTTTGACTCTCTTTCCAGAATGGGTTCTCCTAATACGGTATGTAGAAGAGTTGTCGTATGGGAGTAAAATATTTGAATGTAATGCGACCGGACAATCCGCATCCTAAAGATCAGGGTTACGTACCATAGACATGACATCGGCCATCCGTACAGTGTTTTTCCTCTTGTACGTGACGTGTCTCTAATATGGGTGAGTGAGTGAGCGAGTGAATTTATGCTTTACGTCACATCGGCAGTATTTCAGCCATACCGTGACGATCTCTAATATGGTTTCCAGTAAGCGGCGGGCATGTTGCCTTTAAATTACCCCTCCCTGGAAGAAATAAAAAACTTAGAAACGAAGGGTCCCGTTTTAGAACTTCCGGTCTTCAGCAACAGAAGAGTCCAAGGCTACGACCATACTGTGCTAGAAGCTTCCATGTGTATTATGCAACGGCGTAGTTGTTTAGCGCTGGGTCTCTTACCACCAGGACTCATACCTGCCGGGTTTGGAAGCTTGTTCAAATAAGCGCCTTGGTGCTTATTAGAGGAAATGCGATATGTGTATTTCCACACCCCGCAATGTACTGCTGTACTGTTTTCAAACAGTCCTTGATCTCCTGTTATCACAGATATAATAATAGAGAGTAAGTAAAGCATCGCTGCATGGTAGCACTATACAGCATGTACAGCATGTCTACACAAATAGGACTGATATGGCTGTTAAAAGGGGAACAAACCTATGTTAAAACGCAAACACCAAAAAATCAAATGAGCCACATGAAATAGTATAACATAAAGAATTCTAATAAATAGTGTTAGTTCTATTTGTGTTGTTACTATATTTCAATAAATCAAAGGACTTAACAATAAAGATTGATCATTAGTAACACGTTTTGGTGTCGTTTCTTCTAGGCTTTTGTAATACATGCTTCGGTACTGTGTTGATTGACCTTTGATCTATAGTGAAACCTGCGTGTGTAAATTGTCTTCGGTAAGCTTTTGGTTTGTGGCCATTTTGACTTTTTACAGTGGCCCTTTTGACTTTTTACAGTGGCCCTTCTGACCAATGTGTTTGAGGTCCTTTTGACCATAACCTGTGAAAAGGGCTATGCCGTTCACAATACACTATGAATCGTTGTGTCGTTGTACAAAACAACCCTAGCGCTACGACTGTCGTAAGTCTATGTTAAGGTTAGGAGTTACGATCACCTTAGCGGTAAGATCGCTTTGTACAACGGCACCCAGGTCAGTAAGATAATAGTGATGCTAAACACCAAAGAGATGACAAGAGCTTAAACCGGAACATGCTCAGTAAACATACGCTGATCCTGGTGTTGTTTTGAACAGTAGCCCAAGTCAGTTAAATGAAAACACTTATCTGAAAAACATAATTGTACTAGTATCCTTCTACATTATATTCCTTGCTAACTAAGACATGTATGATATTGCCTGCATACTTGACCTCCAGGTAGTCTTGTAAAACCGACTCCTACTGTGCCATATTGTGATGTAGGTCTGTACTATGGTGAAATGTTCTTAATTATGAAATGAAAGAGAGCGTGCCTTCCATTATGATTGCTTGAAAAACGTGTTTAAATGAAAATTAAAGCACGGAAATCTGGACTGTTCATGAATACTTGACAATTTTTTATTTTTTTTTCATAATCCCATTCAGCTTGGGAAAATGGTACCACATTAATTAAAAATGAAACTGGATCAATATTTATCAGAACAACTTTGATTTAGGGCTTTTTTTAGTTGTTTTTGTTGTTGCACATTCTGTTGACCAAGTGGGTATTGTTATCAGGGTCGGCATCTACGGCATGTATCCTGGCATCTTCCACTTCCAGGGTAACATCACAGCATTCCCGAAAGACATCATCTCTGTTCACTAAATGTGAGTAAGTGTGTAGGGTTTTATGCTGCTTTCAGCAATATTCCACCAATACTCCACCAATAACACCAGAAATGGGCTTCACACATTGTACCCATGTCGGGAATCAACCCAGGTCTTTGGCATGACGAGCGAACACTTTAACCACTCAACTACCCCACGCCCCTTCACAACTCAGAGCTTCACAAAAAAAGACATAGTTTGAGACTGAGTGAGTTGAGAGTGAGTGAGTTGAGTTTAAAGCCTCTTTAAAGTGTCAGTTTGATGTGGGAGAAAAGCCAAAGTGATGCAGGTCTCGGACATTTATCACTTTAGTGAAACCAGGAGCATGGATATGGTGCTGACAAACCTAGAAACATACTCGGGACGAACTGTTTGGTTTGAGAACACAAGGAGACACAATATTGTGAGTGAGTGAACGATTGAGTATGGTTTTACGCAGTTTTTAGCAATATTCCAGCAATATCACGGCAGGGGACACCATAAATGTTTTTCACACATTGTACCCATGTCGGGAATTGAACCCAGGTCTTCGACGTGATGTGCGAACACTTTAACCACTGGGCTACCCGACCGCCCCACAATATTGTGACTTTCACTTAGATGGAAGATCAATACATTCATTTCATCAGGACAACATAAAAGAATAAAATACATAAATAAATATGTCTGTAAAGAACTGCCCTATTTCATCATACAAGTATGAGTAATTGAGTATAGAAATAAAAGAATATCATAAAAGTGTTGATATGTTGTTTCATAACATGTATAATGGTAAATGCACCAATTGTCAATAATATTGCACTTTCTCTGCAAGTGATTGCTGCCATATGAATTTGTCTTCTCAGCATGTTGTAAATCAGATTTAGCTCATGCTACTTACACAACCTCAAATAACCACATTCAGGTTACCATGGTTACAGTGATCACATTTTGTATAATAGATATTTGTTATTGTCAAATGCCAGTTATTTGCTATCATAAGTATCACAAATATATATTTCATGTTCTACCCAAACGTATCTGTCAAATGCAAGACTCTAAAGATAATTGTTATTTCACGACCCTCAAGATAATTGTGATATTTCATGACCCTGTACCTGTCATGTGCTTGGTGACCTCCCTTGATTCTCCAGCCTGTTCACTGAATAATATATAAGGCTTAAAACATAAAAGAATTGGTTCTCAGGCAATGATTTTTGAAAAGATAGTGCAGGTGTGCGGGCGGTGTGTTTTCTTTCTTTTCCGCTTGTTCAAACGAGTATGTAACCAAATAAACAGTTGTGTACCATCAATCTGGGAAAGGGCCTCCATACATAAACAAGCATACAAACTCCTATTGCTGCCATGACCATAATACGATATGCGCAGCAAAGCAGTGCGCTTGTAAAGGGAAGAAATTGCGTGATATATTGGATCACATTGTTTTTAAGTATTAGGATTTTATAAAAAGAATTGAAAATGTAAATAAAATCAAAATGCAGACTTACTGATGATGTGGGCGGTGCCTGAGAACCAAGACTATTATTTTTTTATCAATCAATTTTGGTGAAAGATTTTGCACATATTGTCAATATCCTGATTCACTGCACTTGGACATCACCTGATACAGGCTGGACCGTTTCTAAATGTCAACAACAGTGAAACAATAAATGTTATTGTCTCTGCACCCAACCACCAACCGTCCATCGACCACGATGGGAGAGGAGAACACTTCTCCAGGCAAACATGTACTGGCCAGCTGCTGCCCAGTGGCCACACACAGAGCGGTCAGGTTGCCACTGGTAGAGGCCACATACACAACGGGGTGGACATCCTGCTGGGGTGCTGCTGAACCTTCTTGGGACCTACACGTCCTGCTGCAACATCCAGGACTGATGCTCACAGGAACAGGAACAGCATATCCACAGCATTCCCTTGTGATGGTCCTCCTGGCAGATTCATCGGACAAGGATGTGTCAAAGACAGGATCAAACATCTCTGGTAAGGATGAATCAAGGACAGGACCAGAGCTTGACAACTCTGGTAAGGATTCTGAAGAGCCTTGAGAACCTTGACAATGACATGGATGTTTTGGGACTCGGACATGGGTACACAGAGAGTTGGGTTCACATGGAATGTTTTCTGTCTGGGCTTGTCGTGTTGTATCATCATGAACTGTGGTATTTGAGTCTGAAGGCAGCTGTCCTTTTGGAAGACATTTCAAATGCTGATCAATAGTACCTGATATTTGTTGAGAGGTAGGTGGGGTAGTTTGGTTATTGTGGATATGACTTCCATCAAGACAAAGATTCAGTCCAGAACCTTTCCCTTCAGAATAAGCTGCTGTATCTGATATGTCCACAGACATTGAGGAAGGTTGAGGGGACAATGCTGTATCTGGTACAATGACAACAGGTGGGTGGAGCTTTGAGGAAATATCCAGACTTAGGTTTTGACACGAAGCTGATGATGAGTTTGTACATGGTTCAGGAACCTGTTGATTACCAGCATGAAACAAATCACGTTTATACACCGGGACTTTAAAATGAGAAGCGTTGTCAATGTGAAATCTCTGTTTCTTGACACAAGGTTCTTCCATCATGCTGAGGAAAGTCTTGTGCTTTCCAGAACTACATGTAACACAGTTCATAGAGCTGATCCTGGAGACATTGTACAAACCCTTTTTATGTAGCATTAGCTTACAGTCATTACGTTTGTCTCCATGAAGTGAACATTTACACATTTGTCTCAGCTTGTGATCTACCAAAAGTTGTTTGACAGAATCTGCCAGTTTTAAATCCGAGCTGAAAGTCATATGATGTGTAGCTGAGGGTAAAGCTATACCATTAGACAGCTCTGTCTGATAATGAAGTTCTTCTTCCAAGGACGTCCCCCAGGAGGCAAGCCCTCCATTCCTGTGCCGCCACTCCTGTGTGGCTCCCTGGTGCCAGACAAACGGTGTGGTGTATACGGCTGAGTCTGCCGCCCAGCGCCATAGCTTCTGCCCGGTCATTGTGAGGCAGTACAGGTGCTTGTCATGGGAGCCCACTAGCACCACATCCTCAGGTTCAGTTGAGGTACACGTAGAGACTTGGGGTGGAGTTATGATCAGCGGTGAGGAAAATACTGGGCCATCAGTGGAGAAAGTCCAAATCTGTGGCAACAACAAAGTCACTATCTTCACTATCAGTACACTTAAAGGTGTACACACATATTTGTCATTAATGCATATGGTGTAATTTGGTGTAATTGTTAACTGTGTCATTGTAAGTTAGCATGACATTTGCATTATCGACCCAGCCTTATTAAGTTTAAGGATCCATAGTCCTTATATTGCATTTAATCAATGCACATAATAGTCAACTGCACATGCCTTGTAGCTAATTATATATTCAACAGTTCATAATATATATTTTAAATTAGTTGGTTGGTTGGTTTGTTGTTTAACGCCACACTCAGCAATATTCCAGCTATATGACGGCGGTCTGTAAATAATCGAGTCTGGACCAGACAATCCAGTGATTAATATTATGACCATCGATCCACACAATTGGGATCGATGACATGCATCAACCAAGTCAGCGGGCCTGACCACCCGATCCCATTAGTCGCCTTTTACGACAAGCATAGTCACCTTTTATGGCAAGCATGGGTTGCTGAAGACCTATTCTACCCCGGAATCTTCACGGGTTATTTTAAATTAATATTTCAATAAGAAATCACTATTACATTCAGGATAATATTTCACAATTGTTACCTTGTCACCCTGATGGTTGAAACACAATATGCTACCATCCACACAACCAACTATAACACTATTGTGGTTCTCAGCTGGAGAGGAGAAGACAGGTTTTGTTGTATCTCGGGACCACAGCACATCACCGGTATCCTGTTCAGAAAAAATTAATATGTCAGAAAGCATACATCAAAACAATTCCAAGCTTGCTTTGAAGATATTAAATTATTCTGTCTTTACATAGAGATAGAATAACAGAATCATGAGAATAACACAGGTGGAGGATAAGACAGGGTTAGGTGGAAGATAAGACAGGGTTAGGTGGAGGATAAGACAGGGTTAGGTGGAGGATAAGACAGGGTTAGGTGGAGGATAAGACAGGATAAGGTGGAGGATAAGACAGGGTTAGGTGGAGGATAAGACAGGGTTAGGTGGAGGATAAGACTGGGTTAGGTGGAGGATAAGACTGGGTTAGGTGGAGGATAAGACAGGGTTAGGTGGAGGATAAGACAGGGTTAGGTGGAGGATAAGACATGGTTAGGTGGAGGATAAGACTGGGTTAGGTGGAGGATAAGACTGGGTTAGGTGGAAGATAACACTGGGTTAGGTGGAGGATAAGACAGGGTTAGGTGGAGGATAAGACATGGTTAGGTGGAGGATAAGACTGGGTTAGGTGGAGGATAAGACAGGGTTAGGTGGAGGATAAGACAGGGTTAGGTGGAGGATAAGACATGGTTAGGTGGAGGATAAGACTGGGTTAGGTGGAGGATAAGACTGGGTTAGGTGGAAGATAACACTGGGTTAGGTGGAGGATAAGACAGGGTTAGGTGGAGGATAAGACATGGTTAGGTGGAGGATAAGACTGGGTTAGGTGGAGGATAAGACTGGGTTAGGTGGAGGATAAGACAGGATAAGGTGGAGGATAAGACAGGGTTAGGTGGAGGATAAGACAGGGTTAGGTGGAGGATAAGACAGGATAAGGTGGAGGATAAGACAGGGTTAGGTGGAGGATAAGACTGGGTTAGGTGGAGGATAAGACTGGGTTAGGTGGAGGATAAGACAGGGTTAGGTGGAGGATAAGGTGGAGGATAAGACAGGATAAGGTGGAGGATAAGACTGGGTTAGGTGGAGGATAAGACTGGGTTAGGTGGAAGATAACACTGGGTTAGGTGGAGGATAAGACTGGGTTAGGTGGAAGATAACACTGAGTTAGGTGGAGGATAAGACTGGGTTAGGTGGAGGATAAGACTGGGTTAGGTGGAAGATAACACTGAGTTGGGTGGAGGATAAGACTGGGTTAGGTGGAGGATAAGACTGGGTTAGGTGGAGGATAAGACAGGGTTAGGTGGAGGATAAGACTGGGTTAGGTGGAAGATAACACTGGGTTAGGTGGAGGATAAGACTGGGTTAGGTGGAAGATAACACTGAGTTAGGTGGAGGATAAGACAGGGTTAGGTGGAGGATAAGACTGGGTTAGGTGGAAGATAACACTGAGTTAGGTGGAGGATAAGACTGGGTTAGGTGGAGGATAAGACTGGGTTAGGTGGAAGATAACACTGAGTTAGGTGGAGGATAAGACTGGGTTAGGTGGAGGATAAGACTGGGTTAGGTGGAGGATAAGACAGGGTTAGGTGGAGGAAAAGACTGGGTTAGGTGGAGGATAAGACATGGTTAGGTGGAGGAAAAGACTGGGTTAGGTGGAAGATAACACTGAGTTAGGTGGAGGATAAGACAGGGTTAGGTGGAGGATAAGACTGGGTTAGGTGGAGGATAAGACAGGGTTAGGTGGAGGATAAGACATGGTTAGGTGGAGGAAAAGACTGGGTTAGGTGGAGGATAAGACAGGGTTAGGTGGAGGATAAGACAGGATTAGGTGGAGGATAAGACAGGGTTAGGTGGAGGATAAGAAGGGGTTAGGTGGAGGATAAGTCAGGGTTACGGAAAGGATAAGACAGGGTTAGGTGGAGGATAAGACAGGGCTAGGTGTAGAATAAGACAGGGTTAGGTGGAGGATAAGACAGGGTTAGGTGGAGGATAAGACTGGGTTAGGTGGAAGATAACACTGAGTTAGGTGGAGGATAAGACTGGGTTAGGTGGAGGATAAGACTGGGTTAGGTGGAAGATAACACTGAGTTAGGTGGAGGATAAGACTGGGTTAGGTGGAGGATAAGACTGGGTTAGGTGGAGGATAAGACAGGGTTAGGTGGAGGAAAAGACTGGGTTAGGTGGAGGATAAGACATGGTTAGGTGGAGGAAAAGACTGGGTTAGGTGGAAGATAACACTGAGTTAGGTGGAGGATAAGACAGGGTTAGGTGGAGGATAAGACTGGGTTAGGTGGAGGATAAGACAGGGTTAGGTGGAGGATAAGACATGGTTAGGTGGAGGAAAAGACTGGGTTAGGTGGAGGATAAGACAGGGTTAGGTGGAGGATAAGACAGGATTAGGTGGAGGATAAGACAGGGTTAGGTGGAGGATAAGAAGGGGTTAGGTGGAGGATAAGTCAGGGTTACGGAAAGGATAAGACAGGGTTAGGTGGAGGATAAGACAGGGCTTGGTGTAGAATAAGACAGGGTTAAGTGGAGGATAAGACAGGGTTACTGGGAGGATAAGACTGGGTTAGGTGGAGGATAAGACAGGGTTACAGAAAGGATAAGACAGGGTTAGGTGGAGGATAAGACAGGGTTACGGAAAGGATAAGACAGGGTTAGGTGGAGGATAAGACAGGGTTAGGTGTAGAATAAGACAGGGTAAAGTGGAGGATAAGACAGGGTTACTGGGAGGATAAGACAGGGTTAGGTTGAGGATAAGACAGGGTTACGGAAAGGATAAGACAGGGTTAGGTGGAGGATAAGACTGGGTTAGGTGGAAGATAACACTGAGTTAGGTGGAGGATAAGACTGGGTTAGGTGGAGGATAAGACTGGGTTAGGTGGAGGATAAGACAGGGTTAGGTGGAGGATAAGACATGGTTAGGTGGAGGAAAAGACTGGGTTAGGTGGAGGATAAGACAGGATAAGGTGGAGGATAAGACAGGGTTAGGTGGAGGATAAGACTGGGTTAGGTGGAGGATAAGACTGGGTTAGGTGGAGGATAAGACAGGGTTAGGTGGAGGATAAGACAGGATAAGGGTGGAGGATAAGACAGGATAAGGTGGAGGATAAGACTGGGTTAGGTGGAGGATAAGACAGGGTTAGGTGGAAGATAACACTGGGTTAGGTGGAGGATAAGACTGGGTTAGGTGGAAGATAACACTGGGTTAGGTGGAGGATAAGACAGGGTTAGGTGGAGGATAAGACTGGGTTAGGTGAAAGATAACACTGGGTTAGGTGGAGGATAAGACTGGGTTAGGTGGAAGATAACACTGAGTTAGGTGGAGGATAAGACAGGGTTAGGTGGAGGATAAGACTGGGTTAGGTGGAGGATAAGACAGGGTTAGGTGGAGGATAAGACATGGTTAGGTGGAGGAAAAGACTGGGTTAGGTGGAGGATAAGACAGGGTTAGGTGGAGGATAAGACAGGATTAGGTGGAGGATAAGACAGGGTTAGGTGGAGGATAAGAAGGGGTTAGGTGGAGGATAAGTCAGGGTTACGGAAAGGATAAGACAGGGTTAGGTGGAGGATAAGACAGGGTTAGGTGTAGAATAAGACAGGGTTAAGTGGAGGATAAGACAGGGTTACTGGGAGGATAAGACTGGGTTAGGTGGAGGATAAGACAGGGTTACAGAAAGGATAAGACAGGGTTAGGTTGAGGATAAGACAGGGTTACGGAAAGGATAAGACAGGGTTAGGTGGAGGATAAGACAGGGTTAGGTGTAGAATAAGACAGGGTTAAGTGGAGGATAAGACAGGGTTACTGGGAGGATAAGACAGGGTTAGGTTGAGGATAAGACAGGGTTACGGAAAGGATAAGACAGGGTTAGGTTGAGGTTAAGACAGGGTTAGGTGTAGGATAAGACTGGGTTACTGGGAGGATAAGACAGGGTTACTGGGAGGAAAAGACAGGGTTACTGGGAGGATAAGACTGGGTTAGGTGTAGGATAAGGCTGGGTTAGGTTGAGGATAAGACAGGGTTAGGTTGAGGATAAGACAGGGTAACGGGGAGGGGGGGGGGGATGACATGACAGTAGCTGGTGTTAGAACTGAGGATCAGGTGTGGGATAACAAAATCAGCTGAGGGATAACACAGGATCAGATGTAGGATAACACATTAGCAGGTGTGGGATAACAGAGGATCAGAATTGGGATATCAAAGTCAGGTGGAGGATAACAGGGTTAAGCGTAGGATAATAATGGGACAGGCTTGGGATAACACAAGGTTAGTTGAGGTATTACACAGTTAAATGTTGGATAACAAAAGTTCATGTTTAAGATAACTATGCTCACAGGGTTGACAGCATGTAGGTTTGAGCCGAGGGTGCCCACATAGACATGGCGACGATGGCGACTGACACACGGAGAGGAAAATACACTTCCGGCACCGAGAGCCTGCCTCCAGACACACCTCTGCCTCTACAACATCATACAAAATATACAATGATCAGAAGAGACAGCTTATTTTTTCAGTGAATATAATGAATTTGTTTGATTGTAGTACATGGATTCCAGAGACTATATACCGAGGGACGGGCCTCGGGGCTGATTGGAGACGATCACTGCTGTGCATGACCAAGTGTCACTTTCATGCGACATCGCATCACATCCCATTGTTCTATCATACAAAAATAAAATAGTGGCCTACGAGAAATTCACAATTTATCCATTTTCCAGTACAAATTATTCCATTAAATATGAAACAAAGTCCTCAGATACTGGAGTCAGTCGGAAGATTTATTATATTTTTTGTAGTGGCATAATTTTTTTTTCGTTATTTATTTGGGTGTTTTGTAAAGACCGTCCATCAGAGGGTATCACTTAAATTATTACCTCACTTCAAACTTCATTATCCTACATCTTACATGCACATGTTTCTTGGACAAACATCGTTTAAATTAAATTCAAGTACATTTTAACATTTGACCATTATTTTGTGCATGCAGCCATGCTAAAAAATATTTATAAAGTTTCTTTCTGATTTTTTGCGAATTTTAGACTTAAAAAAATAAAAGAATGAATTGGTTCTCAGGCAATGTCTTTTGTAAATATAGTGCGAGAGGGCGGCCTCTTTTTTTTCTTTTTTTTAGTTCAAACTAGTATGTAACCAAATAAACAGTGTAACCAGATAAACAGTTGTGTACAATCAACCTGGGAAAGGGCCTCCCTAGAAAATGTATTCCTTGATGAGTAAAATACTGGAATACAGTATTTGAATACCATTGGATTTGGAATATTTAAGGATTTTTTTAAAAAAAATTTAAAATGGAAATAAAAACAAAATGTGCGGCAAACTTTATGATGATGTGGGCGGTGTCTGAGAACCAAGACTACTTTTTTTTAGCCTTAGAAAATAGCATCAAATATTTCACTGGATTGTCTTGTCCAGACTCAATTATTTACAGACCGCCGTCATATACACGTAGCTGGAAACCAAACTCAGCAATCAAGCAGTTCGTAGGATTGTTTACTAGACGAAGGGAGTCCTCAGGTAAGAGCATCTGCACATGTGTGGTGCATCTTGACCGCTGACGGAGAAAAGAAGCAGGGTGTCTCAATGTACCCGTTACACTCACAGTCGTGGCAGTGATTGTAATGATACTCTACTGCCGAGGCCTGTCCCTCGGTTTATGGTCTCTGATTAATGCCAACATGTGCAGGTGAGGTATACGTCTGGGTGTAAAATGTTTCATCTTCTGAAATCTTACATAGATATCCACTGAATGCAGACAGCCATCATGTGAGCCAATGATGATATGCGAGGTGATGGGGTCAAGGGTTGGAGAGCTCTTGACACAGCCATGTGTTTTATATATCCACTTGATGTCTCCTGACACTGCACAGAGGACGTACACACAGTTGTCATAGCAACCTACAACATACAAAGTTGCCATGGTTAAAACAGTTCTCTTTAAAGGTCAGTTTCATGGGGCTATACTAGTGACAGTTAAGTGAGTTGGGTTTAACACTGTTTTGAACAGTATTCCAGTTATATCACAGCATGTCAGCTTAATGTGGGAGGAAAGCCCTAAGTGATGCAGGTCTCAGACGTTTACCACTTCGGTGAAACCCACGACCAAGGGTGCTGCGACACATTCAGTGTATCGCTAACTTGTGGTTGGTGATTCTGAGATATGGGGATCATTTGAAGCAGAAACATCTTTGGCACGATCATAAATATGACCACTATATTTGCAAAAATGTGTAAACTCAATTCTAAATGGACCATTTGTGACTTTCAGGCTCAGTAAATTGAGACGCATAAGGAAACAAAGATCATGACGTTTACATTCAATAATAGAAGCAGCTGTCCAAGACAAGTGAACTGTTTTTGAGACAGTCAGTGACTCCCATAATTATGTTTCATAAACTCATCCACATCAAAACGCCTGATGTCCCACTGAGTGTAAATATGATGCGGCAATCAATAAATTATTGTGTGATTCCCGCACGGCCGTGGCTCGGCAGAACACTGGATGCTTGTGGATCATAGCTGAAACTACCAGTGTTTAACATGCCTACTTATTGGGTACCGGTACCTGGAATTAGCCTTGTCATTGCAATGAAACTGACCAAGATATTACTCATATTACTCATTCAATTGAATCTGTGTCTCCACCTACCTACGACAACCCATCGCCCACACTGACTGAGGCAGGCTGAAGACTCCACACGGTCACCGAGTCTCTTCCTCCACAACTCACAACCAGTTTTCAGGTCAATAGCACACATGAGATGGGAGTGGGAACCGATGTACACAACATGGCTGCCAGTGCTGGAACAGATGGTATCACTAAGTCCTGAGAAACTCAAAGAAGTATGTACATAAAATATCATATATCTGTTCCTTTCTGCAGAGAACATATTTCTCTGCAAACTACCCAACATCAGAGCACAGGATTAATGTAGCCAGAAGACTAAACAGAAGACCTGTTTCAAGCTAAACCAATAACTGTTTTCTTGTTTGACAGTTTTCTTGGTCAAAATGCCATTTAAAAACATTCAAAAGTCGTCATGCTGCATCGCCTGTATTAACACAAGTGGTGTCACCCGATATTGACATTGTTAATTGAGTTGTTACACCACCCCTCTTTCAGAGTGTGTCGCTGTCTCCTGTTACAAGATATGGGTTTTGTCACTGAATTTGTCATGATAAAACATTGATCAGATGAAAGACAAAATATGTTGGGAGTGAGTCTACCCCACCATCCTTATGAAATCAAAATGACAATAAATGTCATAATTAGGCCTCACCTGCTGACTGCCACCAGAGGCGAGGCATCCACACACTTCTCAGTGTCATACTTCCAGCACAGGGACATTGACACACAATCCTGATCAACTCCTGGATGACTTGAGTCGACTCTGTTCATCAACACCCGATCCCATTCCACTCCTGTAGGCCTTGACACATAACACTGCTCAAAATCTTCTGGACTCGATACACGGTCCTGCTGGACATCTGCTTGACTCGATACACGATCCTGCTGGACATCTGCTTTACTCGATACACGATCCTGCTGGACATCTGCTTTACTCGATACACGATCCTGCTGGACATCTGCTCGACTCAATACACGATCCTGCTGGACATCTGCTCGACTCAATAGACGATCCTGCTCGAAATCTGCTTGACTCGATACACGATCCTGCTGGATATCTGTAGCACCTGGGTCTACACTGGCCATTGATAGCCTAACTGTTCCCTGATATTTACTGCCTCGGGAAACAGACCCAGCAAATTTACAACACATATGCTCTGTCCAACATCCTTCAAGTTTCATCTGTGTTTTTGAGCCATCATGGACATCTTCAGTAATATCAGCTGATACAGGCTCGCTCACAACAGGATGAGCAGATGTTGCTGGAACAGGTTCAGGGTCCTGACTCTTCCCGTCCCCAGATACAGCAGCTGCATCTTGGCTCTGGATGGTTGCTGGAACAGGTTCAGGGTCCTCCCTCTTCCCCTCCCAAGATACAGCAGCTGCATCTTGGCTCTGGATGGTTGCTGGCACAGGTTCAGGGTCCTGACTCTTCCCATCCCCAGATACAGCAGCTGCATCTTGGCTCTGGATGGTTGCTGGCACAGGTTCAGGGTCCTGACTCTTCCCGTCCCCAGATACAGCAGCTGCATCTTGGCTCTGGATGGTGGCTGGCACAGGTTCAGGGTCCTCACTCTTCCCATCCCCAGATACAGCAGCTGCATCTTGGCTCTGGACGCTTGCCATCACCCCCTGGACATGCTGGACAAAGTCAAGGAAAGTCTTATTGAGGACAGTGTCCAGAAGCAAGGAGCCATGATGCCCGAGTTGATCCTCCACCATGTTGACCAGACTGACAGCCTGGAGGGAGTTTCCACCCAGAGCTAGAAACTCATCCATGTCCAGGATATCTCTACTGTTTCCTGATGGATGAAGATGGTCCTGGAGCCAGAAAAAGACTTTTAAATCACATTCCTTTCACTGGACATTTTCTGTTTTTCTTAAGAATGAAAACAAAATTTCCTAAAATATTACTTGAAGGTAATATAATATTTCATGAAAAGTAAACCATTTCACAGTTAAATACTTGGCCTATTGCAAGTTCTGACAGCCTGATCAAGAATTAAATCACTTTTTGCAAAATTGAATGTGGTCATTTTGACACCCGCAACATGTACACGAAATTGACACGGCTTTTTGGATGCTGTACAATAGAAGTGATCTCCTGACTTCAATAAAGATAGATGTATTTTTAATGCTGATTATTTATGAACACATACACATATTATCCCATCATATTCAGCACTTGTAACTCGTCTTATAGTAACTTCTGTCCACAAAGGTTGTTTTTTTCAAATTTGAGTCTTTCAATACTTGCTAAAATTTTGCTCTAAAATACTTTAATGATGTGTTTGGGAAGAGCTGGACTTTGTTTTGATTGTGACACAGGCCCACGACAAGCCCCAGTGTTTCCCCACCTGCCAGAGACTGGTACACCAGCGTCGGACATCCAGCGGCAGTGTGGGCGACCTCCTGACCACCTCCTCCCACAGCGTCGCCAGCAGCTTCGTGTCAGTCTTCCCTAACAAATAACAACAGAATGTCACAATGTGTGATGCCTATTACTCCGTGACTATAGTGTGTATTCACCTGGCCATGGTTTTAAGTTCCTAAGCCAACAATGAAGAAAAGTTTGCTTCAAGTTTCCTGCAGGTGCACTGAAAACAAGTTGGGTGTTGGATTCAACACCAACTTTAACAGTGTGTCAGTTTTATCACAGTGTGTCAGCTTGGCGCAAGAGGACAGCCTGAAGTGATCCAGGTCATAGAGGTTTACCACTTTGGTGAAACACATGAACATCGGTATGACACACGGGTATGGTGTACAGGTATGGTGTACAGGTATGGTGTACAGGTATGGTGGACCGATGTGGTGGATAAGTATGGTGGATAGGTATGGTGGACCGATGTGGTGGACAGGTATGGTGGACCGATGTGGTGGACAGGTATGGTGGACCGATGTGGTGGATAAGTATGGTGGATAGGTATGGTGGACCAATGTGGTGGACAGGTATAGTGGACCAATGTGGTGGACAGGTATGGTGGACCGATGTGGTGGATAAGTATGGTGGATAGGTATGGTGGACCAATGTGGTGGACAGGTATAGTGGACCAATGTGGTGGACCGATGTGGTGGACCGATGTGGTGGACAGGTATGGTGGACCGATGTGGTGGACAGGTATGGTGGACCAATGTGGTGGACAGGTATGGTGGACCAATGTGGTGGACAGGTATGGTGGACCAATGTGGTGGACAGGTATGGTGGACCGATGTGGTGGACAGGTATAGTGGATAAGTATGGTGGACCAATGTGGTGGACAGGTATGGTGGACCGATGTGGTGGACCGATGTGGTGGACAGGTATGGTGGACCAATGTGGTGGACCGATGTGGTGGACAGGTATAGTGGACCGATGTGGTGGATAGGTATGGTGGACCGATGTGGTGGACAGGTATAGTGGATAAGTATGGTGGACCAATGTGGTGGACAGGTATGGTGGACCGATGTGGTGGACCGATGTGGTGGACAGGTATGGTGAACCAATGTGGTGGACAGGTATGGTGGACCGATGTGGTAGACAGGTATGGTGGACCGATGTGGTGGACAGGTATGGTGGACCGATGTGGTGGACAGGTATGGTGGACCGATGTGGTGGACAGGTATGGTGGACCGATGTGGTGGACAGGTATGGTGGACCGATGTGGTGGATAGGTATGGTGGACCGATGTGGTGGACAGGTATGGTGGACCGATGTGGTGGACAGGTATGGTGGACCGATGTGGTGGACAGGTATGGTGGACAGATGTGGTAGTTTAAGTATGGTGGATAGGTATGGTGGACCAATGTGGTGGATAGGTATGGTGTACAGCTATGGTGTACAGGTATGGTGGACAGGTATGGTGTACAGCTATGGTGTACAGGTATGGTGGACAGGTATGGTGGACCAATGTGGTGGATAGGTATGGTGGACCGATGTGGTGGACAGGTATGGTGGACCAATGTAGTGGACAGGTATGATGTACAGTTATGGTGGACCGATGTGGTGGACAGGTATGGTGGACCAATGTAGTGGACAGGTATGGTGGACCGATGTGGTGGATAAGTATGGTGGATAGGTATGGTGGACCGATGTGGTGGACAGGTATGGTGGACCAATGTGGTAGATGTGGTGTACAGTTGTTGCACAACGGTGTGTTGCACAGGTATGCTAAAGTGTTATCAAATGTCTAAATGACTGCATACTAGCTTGTGTTTGTTCAGTAATTGCAAGTTGGCGAATCATAGCACCAAATGCAGAGGTATAACACAATGTGTGAAACGTGATGATCAGGTCAGGGTGCCAAATGAAACTTTTACCAAAGTCAGCAGCTTCTAAACCGCTACACCCACAGATAATCACACATTCACATCATGGTGCTGTGCAGTAAAATACGGCAACTATCAAACTGGCCAGGGGGTCCAACAGCTGTTCATTTATACCACCCAACAGCCGTTCATTTATACCACCCAACAGCCGTTCATTTATACCACCCAACAGCCGTTCATTTATACCACCCAACAGCCATTCATTTATACCACCCAACAGCCGTTCATTTATACCACCCAATAGCCATTCATATATACCACCAAACAGCCGTTCATTTATACCACCCAACAGCCATTCATATATACCACCCAACAGCCGTTCATTTATACCACCCAACAGCCATTCATATATACCACCCAACAGCCGTTCATTTATACCACCCAACAGCCATTCATATATACCACCCAACAGCCGTTCATTTATACCACCCAACAGCCATTCATATATAACACCCAACAGCCATTCATTTATACCACCCAACAGCCGTTCATTTATACCACCCAACAGCCGTTCATTTATACCACCCAACAGCAAGGATCGCTGACCCTCAAAATACAAAATGACAATTCTTAAGTACGAAAGAGTAATTTGAAAACACGAAAAATAAGACACTAAAATTATTTTGTTTACAGTCTTAAATCAAGTACAATAGGCCTATAAAAATATTTTCTGCTATGAAGATCTGCTCTGTTCCCAAGGCACATGTTAGACATAACTAGTTACAGTGATAATGGGACACACACACAAATATTTTAGTGACATAAGTTTATACGTTTTAGTGTTACCTGGGTAGTTCAAACTTTGAACATCAAAATATTTCATTTGACAGGCGGGATAGGGGGTTTGACAGATTACTGACCCCACTCCCTAGAAAATGACTGACGATGGGATAGCGAGTAGGCAGCTATTTCAAATGCTGTTGCTGTATGTCAAACAAAGAAATGTTGCAAAGTGCTCAATGTCATGTGAAACAATTTTAATGACAATGATAACTATTAACAAGAGTCATCAGAAAATGACAAATCCCCCCGGCTTCCACAAATCGGAAAGCACAAACCATCTGACTGTTACTTTAAGTCCAACTTGATGAGAGAATTCTATCTGATCTGTCTGTCTGAGCAATAGAAACAATAGCATGGAATTGGGAATCAGAGTCAAAGACAAACTAGTTGCCATGGAAATAGACGAAATATAAATTATAAACACCCTAAGTAGCAAAGGGCACCATTTGGCAAATTGATCTTTGTGTGTGCATTGTTTCAAGAAAGAATAACTATTAATTTTAGACATATAGTACAGACAAACACACCACAGGAAAAATTAAGATTTCTTAGACTTAGTGCAAATTGTTTCCATGGAAATAAAGAAAATACAAATGACAAAGCAAAAGGCACCATTTCAGGACCTGTTGGATATATCTGCCAATTTTCGACTATATACCCCGCATTATATACTGGGGGCATAAAAATATTCAACTTTGTAGGGAGGGAGGGAGTATGGTTTTACGCCGCTTTTAGCAATATTCCAGCAATATCATGGCGGGGGGACACCAGAAATGGGCTTCGCACATTGTTCCCATGTCGGGAATCGAACCTGGGTCTTTGGCGTGACATAAATGCTTTAACCACTAGGCTACCCGACCGCCTCTATTCAACTTGGGAATTCTAGTGACATGACATGCTCAATCAGACTCAAGTCCACCACTAACTCCATGACTGTCCTGCTACTCACCGTGTTTGGTGAGAGGAATCTGCTCCACGAGCATCACCTGGTCCGGCTGATAGTGAGATGGTAATGTCTTCTGTAAATGTGATGTGACCGCCATCTTGAGTGATGCATGCTGGACCTCTTCACAGGGGGAATCCGTCACCACAAACAGCAGCAGACGATCGGCAAGGGAGAGAACTCTACTGTCTATGATTGCCGGCAGCTGCTGGACAGCCTGTGAAGAAGTATCACATTCAGAATGAAGTAACAAATACACAGTAAAACCTTGGAAAGCTGGACACTACCAGTCCATGTGAAATCGTCTGGCTTAAGGAGATGGGGTGAAATGGGGTTTAATGTCGCGTTCAAGATTCTTGCACTATTAGGCTAAAAAGAAATAAAAGTCTTGGTTCTCAGGCACTGCCTGCATCCTCATAAAGTCTGACCCACATTTCGTTTTTATTTCCATTTTCCAAAAAATAAAAAATAAAAAATTAGTATCCTAATACTTAAAAACAATGTGGTCCAATAAAGCACAGAGTTACTTCCCTTCACATGTGCACTGCTTCACTGGGCATCTTGTTTTATGGTCATGGCGGCAATAGGAGTTTATATGCTTGTTCATGTAGGGAGGTCCTTTCCCAGGTTGATGGTACACAACTGTTTATTTAGTTACATACTAGTTTGAACAAGCACACACAAAAAACATTGCCCACCCGCACTATATTTTCAAAAGTCATTGCCTGAGAACAAATTCTTTTATAATTTTTAAGTCTTATAGCGCAAGAATCTTCTACTTTCAAAATTCTCAATTTCTTGTTCTCTTTCTACAGTTTACTCCAGATGTGATGAACTTTGATATAACCAAAAACAAAAACACAAATCTTGTATTACATTAGCAAAATCAAGACAAGTGAATCTGACAATTCTCAGTCAAATGAGTGAGTATAGCTTTACACCGCTTTTAGCAATATTCCAATACTATCACAGTGGGGGGGACGCCAGAAATGGGATTCAAACATTATACCCATGTGGGGAATCGAACCTGGTCCTTCAGCATGACGAGTGAACACTTTAACCACTAGACTACCCCACCATCCACTCAGTCACATGAAGTAGCTTACATGTTGTATAGCTGATGTGTTCAACCTCTTCCCATGTCGCTTGATCTGATCGTCATAGCGACCAATGTATGTGATGGTGCCATCGTCCCGGACGTATACAATATCCCCCGTGTCTCTCCACACAGGGAGACTCTCCAAGACAGCCTCGGTCTCAGCATTCAACAGACACACACGCTCACTGCTGCCTGCAATGGGAAACATTTGCCCTTAAACAAATATAATTCGTCAGAAGTAAAGAAAATATAACTCAGTTCCATATGATATCTGGATGTTTGCCTTGTATGAGGGCTGGCTGAAAAGTTCTAAGCCTAAATGGGATATCTCAATCGGATTGAAACAAACTTTTGCCACCAACAAGTAAAATCATTTAATGAATCATAGACATAAGAACTGCAACTGTAGTGTTATTATTGTCTTTGTACCAGACCATCTTGTGAACCTACCCATTGAAATCACCAGAAATTGACAAAACTGGCTATAGGGCAGTCATCAAGTACCTGCAACTGAAAGGGCTAACTCCAACACAGATACATGCTGACATGGTCTCCACTTTAGGGGATGATGCCCCTTCCTTTTCCACTGTAAAGAAGTGGGCTGCGGAATTCAAGCATGGCAGAGAGAGCCTTGACGATGACCCGCGTCCAGGAAGGCCTTCAACAGCAACCATTCCAAAAAAACATTACACGGGTGCATGACATGTTGATGGCTGATCGACAATTGACCACTCGACATATTGCCAGTGTTGTGGGCATCTCTCATGAGAGGGTTGAGCACATTATCACCAACGAGTTGGGAATGACAAAAGTTTCTGCAAGATGGGTGCCAAAGCTCTTGACAGCAGATCAGAAACGTGTCAGAATCCTGACGTTCCGTGACCATTTATGCCGTTTTGAAGCAGATCGTGATGATTTTTTGGCCCGATTTGTAACCATGGATGAGACCTGGATTCATCACTTTCAACCAGAAACCAAAATTCAGTCTTAACAATGGAATCACCAGCCCACCAAAAAGCCAAGTCGGTTCCTTCTGCTGGAAAGGTGATGGCTTCAGTCTTTTGGGATTCCAAGGGTATTCTGCTGATTGACTATCTTGAAAAAGGCCAGACTGTCAATGGAAGATATTATGCTGACCTACTGAGACAGTTACGTGAAGCTATCAAAGCTAAGCGACGGGGAATGCTCACTAAAGAAGTCCTGTTCCACCAAGACAATGCTCCTGTTCACAAATCAGTGGTTACCATGTCAGCGATCCATGATTGTGGCTTCGAACTCATTGACCATCCCACTTATTCACCCGATTTGGCCCCGGCAGACTTCCACCTGTTTCCCAAAATGAAAAAGGAACTAGCCGGTCGCCATTTTCCGAGTAATGATGACGTCATTTCCGCTGTGAATGACTTTTTTAGGGTGGCTGAAGAAAATTTCTTCTTGACCGGCATCCAGGCCTTGCAGCATCGCTGGCATAGTGTGTAAACCTGGAAGGGGACTATGTGGAGAAATAAATGAAAACCATCGACTTGGTACGGGTCTTTCACAGTTAGGCTTAGAACTTTTCAGCCAGCCCACGTACATTTATGACACTATTTATTGAGGCAAAAGTAAGTAACTTTTAAGAGTTTCCACATCAACAGAAATTCTGCAAAAACCATTTTGAAATTGTAATGAGTTATCCATGTAGCGACATGACGCAGTGACATCAGGCTGTATTACACGGATAACACACTGGACATCATGCGTTTGGGCTCACTCAATGTGATGCTTTTATCAATCCGACAGTAAATGATTTCAGTTATCAAATGCAACACTTATTTGAAGCATTGTGATGCCATGTTTGTTTGTTTGTTGTTTAACACCACACTCACCAATATTCAAACTATATGACTGTAGTCTGTAAATAATCGAGACAATCCAGTAATTGACATCATGTGCATCGATCTACGCAACTGGGATACAATGACATGCATCAACCAAGTCAGCGAGTCTGACCACCCGATCCCGTTATTCGCCTCTTATGACAAGCTTGGGTTGCTGAAGACCAATTCTAACCCGGATTCTTCATGGAACTGTGGAAGAGTAGGATACAGGGATTCCAGGAAAGCAGGACCATGGCGTTTCTGTTGTTTTTGGGTTTTTTGTTTAACGCCGCAATATACCAGCAATATGAAGTCAGTCTGTACATAATCGAGTCTGAACCACACAATCCAGTGATTGACATCATGAGCATCGATCTACGCAATTGGAATACGATGACATGTATCAACCAAGTCAGCGAGCCTGACCACCTGATCCCGTAATTCGCCTCTTACGACAAGCATGGGTTGCTAAAGACCAATTTTAACCCTGATCTTCACGGGCGATGCTGCCATTAGGGTTAATGATGTGTCACAGGAGACCCAGATCCTCCTCCAGTTAGGGGTGTGGACAACGATGGACCTACCTATCTGTAGTCTCCCCTCTCCACATGTGACCTGATGACCGTCGCTGTCAGTGACCTTCACCTCTGTTCCATCAAGAACAGCACCTAATGGAATTGGTCCTTCTTCGCCTTGCCTTTGAAAAATAAGTGGCCTTCATCATTATGTATTCTGTGTAGTAACATGAAAATGGTTCCACTTTCCTAAGTCACTGGAACTACTGCAATATTGGTCATTGAAGTATTACATAGTTATGAATAACAATAACATTGTCTGATCAAAGACCAAAAAGACCTTGCTGCCTATTATAAAGGGACAAGAATTGTAAGTAGGTAAATGTTTCAAAACCTTCACATCTACAGCAGTCAGTATGACACAACCAGGCCTAGAGTAAACATAATAAACTAACTGACTGTCAGTACCTACCTAAGATAAGTGGAATTAAACAGACGATAATAATAGTAATAAAAATAATAGCCAATGTGTATGACATTGTTTTTCCATGCTGAATATCATGCTCAAAGCACATTATTACTTTGGTCAAGGGCGTGTACTTGATTTAAATTATCAGCTCTCTGGGGAACATACAACCCAAGCTACCAGTGAGGCACTAAAAGGATAACAGCCACATTGCTATCACATCCTACTGGGTACCCATCAGTGGCATATTTGGGACAAAGTCACTTGCCCAAGGAGACACATGTGTGTGCTACATGTGCTTCAGTGTGGGGCTGGACCAAAGCCCTAGAAACTCTCAGGTACCAAGCTGATGGACATCTTCACCCATCCAAGGACTCTCTGCGACCTAACTTCATCTTATGTGTGCTACCATTACTGACTGACCACAGACAACTGACAATACTTACTGTCAACTGACAATAGACAACTGACAACTGATAATACTTACTGACAACTGACAATACTTACTGGCAACAGACAACTGACAATACTTACTGACAACAGACATCTGACAATACTTACTGACAACAGACAACTGACAATACTTACTGACAACAGACAACTGACAATACTTACTGACAACTGACAACTGACAATAGACAACTGACAACTGACAACTGATAATACTTACTGACAACTGACAATACTTACTGGCAACAGACAACTGACAATACTTACTGACAACAGACATCTGACAATACTTACTGACAACTGACAGCTGACAATATACAACTGACAACTGACAACTGATAATACTTACTGACAACTGACAATACTTACCGGCAACAGACAACTGACAATACCTACTGACAACAGACAACTGACAATACTTACTGACAACAGACAACTGACAATACTTACTGACAACAGACAACTGACAATACTTACTGACAACTGACAACTGACAATATACAACTGACAACTGACAACTGATAATACTTACTGACAACTGACAATACTTACTGGCAACAGACAACTGACAATACTTACTGACAACAGACAACTGACAATACTTACTGACAACAGACAACTGACAATACTTACTGACAACAGACAACTGACAATACTTACTGACAACTGACAACTGACAATACTGACTGACAACAGACAACTGACAATACTTACTGACAACAGACAACTGGCAATACTTACTGACAACTGACAACTGACAACACTTACTGACAACTGACAACTGACAATACTTACTGACAACAAACAACTGACAATACTTACTGACAACAGACAACTGGCAACACTTACTGCCAACAGACAACTGACAATACTTACTGACAATACTTACTGACAACAGACAACTGACAATACTGACTGACAACAGACAACTGACAATACTTACTGACAACAGACAACTGACAATCCTTACTGACAACAGACAACTGACAATACTTACTGACAACTGACAACTGACAATACTGACTGACAACAGACAACTGACAATACTTACTGACAACAGACAACTGGCAACACTTACTGCCAACAGACAACTGACAATACTTACTGACAACTGACAACTGACAATACTTACTGACAACAGACAACTGACAATACTTACTGACAACAGACAACTGGCAACACTTACTGCCAACAGACAACTGACAATACTTACTGACAATACTTACTGACAACAGACAACTGACAATACTGACTGACAACAGACAACTGACAATACTTACTGACAACAGACAACTGACAATCCTTACTGACAACAGACAACTGACAATACTTACTGACAACTGACAACTGACAATACTGACTGACAACAGACAACTGACAATACTTACTGACAACTGACAACTGACAACTGCAGATACTTACTGACAACAGACAACTGACAATACTTACTGACAACTGACAACTGACAACACTTACTGACAACAGACAACAGACAACTGACAATACTTACTGACAACTGACAACTGACAATACTTACTGACAACAGACATCTGACAATTCTTACTGACAACAGACAACTGACAATACTTACTGACAACAGACAACTGACAAGACTTACTGACAACTGACAACTGACAATAGACAACTGACAACTGACAACTGACAACTGACAACTGATAATACTTACTGACAACTGACAATACTTACTGGCAACAGACAACTGACAATACCTACTGACAACAGACAACTGACAATACTTACTGACAACAGATAACTGACAATACTTACTGACAACAGACAACTGACAATACTTACTGACAACTGACAACTGACAATACTTACTGACAACAGACAACTGACAATACTTACTGACAACAGACAACTGGCAATACTTACTGACAACAGACAACTGACTATACTTACTGACAACAGACAACTGACAACACTTACTGCCAACAGACAACTGACAATACTTACTGACAATACTTACTGACAACAGACAACTGACAATACTGACTGACAACAGACAACTGACAACTGACAATACTTACTGACAACAGACAACTGACAATCCTTACTGACAACAGACAACTGACAATACTTACTGACAACAGACAACTGACAATACTTACTGACAACTGACAACACTTACTGACAACAGACAACAGACAACTGACAATACTTACTGACAACAGACAACTGACAACTGACAATACTTACTGACAATACTTACTGACAACAGACAACTGACAATACTTACCGACAATACTTACTGACAACAGACAACTTAAAACAGACAACTGACAATACTTACTGACAATACTTACTGACAATAGGTGAAATACAACAGACAACTGACAATACTTACTGACAATACTTACTGACAACACTTACTGACAACAGAAAACTGACAACTGACAATACTAACTGACAACAGACAACTGACAACAGTCAACTGAAAATACTTACTGACAACTGACAACTGACAATACTTACTGACAACAGACAACTGACAATACTTACTGACAACAGACAACTGGCAACACTTACTGCCAACAGACAACTGACAATACTTACTGACAATACTTACTGACAACAGACAACTGACAATACTGACTGACAACAGACAACTGACAATACTTACTGACAACAGACAACTGACAATCCTTACTGACAACAGACAACTGACAATACTTACTGACAACTGACAACTGACAATACTGACTGACAACAGACAACTGACAATACTTACTGACAACAGACAACTGGCAACACTTACTGCCAACAGACAACTGACAATACTTACTGACAACTGACAACTGACAATACTTACTGACAACAGACAACTGACAATACTTACTGACAACAGACAACTGGCAACACTTACTGCCAACAGACAACTGACAATACTTACTGACAATACTTACTGACAACAGACAACTGACAATACTGACTGACAACAGACAACTGACAATACTTACTGACAACAGACAACTGACAATCCTTACTGACAACAGACAACTGACAATACTTACTGACAACTGACAACTGACAATACTGACTGACAACAGACAACTGACAATACTTACTGACAACTGACAACTGACAACTGCAGATACTTACTGACAACAGACAACTGACAATACTTACTGACAACTGACAACTGACAACACTTACTGACAACAGACAACAGACAACTGACAATACTTACTGACAACTGACAACTGACAATACTTACTGACAACAGACATCTGACAATTCTTACTGACAACAGACAACTGACAATACTTACTGACAACAGACAACTGACAATACTTACTGACAACTGACAACTGACAATAGACAACTGACAACTGACAACTGACAACTGACAACTGATAATACTTACTGACAACTGACAATACTTACTGGCAACAGACAACTGACAATACCTACTGACAACAGACAACTGACAATACTTACTGACAACAGATAACTGACAATACTTACTGACAACAGACAACTGACAATACTTACTGACAACTGACAACTGACAATACTTACTGACAACAGACAACTGACAATACTTACTGACAACAGACAACTGGCAATACTTACTGACAACAGACAACTGACTATACTTACTGACAACAGACAACTGACAACACTTACTGCCAACAGACAACTGACAATACTTACTGACAATACTTACTGACAACAGACAACTGACAATACTGACTGACAACAGACAACTGACAACTGACAATACTTACTGACAACAGACAACTGACAATCCTTACTGACAACAGACAACTGACAATACTTACTGACAACAGACAACTGACAATACTTACTGACAACTGACAACACTTACTGACAACAGACAACAGACAACTGACAATACTTACTGACAACAGACAACTGACAACTGACAATACTTACTGACAATACTTACTGACAACAGACAACTGACAATACTTACCGACAATACTTACTGACAACAGACAACTTAAAACAGACAACTGACAATACTTACTGACAATACTTACTGACAATAGGTGAAATACAACAGACAACTGACAATACTTACTGACAATACTTACTGACAACACTTACTGACAACAGAAAACTGACAACTGACAATACTAACTGACAACAGACAACTGACAACAGTCAACTGAAAATACTTACTGACAACTGACAACAGACAACTGACAATACTTACTGACAATACTTACTGACAACAGACAACTGACAATACTAACTGACAATACTTACTGACAACTGACAACTGACGATACTTACTCAAGATATGTTGCATCAAACCGGAAGCATGTGGCCCAGCAGGACACTTCGGTCACCCCATACAGATTGTAGAAGGTGGCACGGCAGTCAGGGGCCACGGCTGACCGAAGGATGGCCAGGGTGGGCAGATTCTCCCCTCCCAGCGCCAGGGTCCGAACACTTGACCGCTGACTCAGGAGTGTTGATTTCAGAACCGATGGGCCAAACCTCAGCAACAATGATGGCGTCATCTGGACAGGATTATAACATGAAGGAATAATGAGGGCGTCATGTAGACAGGAGTGTAAGATGAAGGAATAATGAGGGTGTCATGTAGACAGGAGTGTAAGATGAAGGAATAATGATGGCACCATGTGGACAGGAGGGTAAGATGAAGGAATAATGATGGTGTCATGTAGACAGGAGTGTAAGATGAAGGAATAATGATGGCGTCATGTAGACAGGATTGTAAGATGAAGGAATAATGATGGTGTCATGTAGACAGGAGGGTAAGATGAAGGAATAATGATGGCACCGTGTGGACAGGAGGGTAAGATGAAGGAATAATGATGGCACCATGTGGACAGGAGGGTAAGATGAAGGAATAATGATGGCACCGTGTGGACAGGAGGGTAAGATGAAGGAATAATGATGGCACCGTGTGGACAGGAGGGTACGATGAAAGAATAATGATGTTGTCATGTAGACAGGAGTGTAAGATGAAGGAATAATGATGGCACAATGTGGACAGGAGGGTAAGATGAAGGAATAATGATGTTGTCATGTAGACAGGAGTGTAAGATGAAGGAATAATGATGGCGTCATGTAGACAGGAGTGTAAGATGAAGGAATAATGATGGCGTCATGTAGACAGGAGTGTAAGATGAAGGAATAATGATGGTGTCATGTAGACAGGAGTGTAAGATGAAGGAATAATGATGGCGTCATGTAGACAGGAGTGTAAGATGAAGGAATAATGATGGTGTCATGTAGACAGGAGTGTAAGATGAGGGAATAATGAGGGCGTCATGTAGACAGGAGTGTAAGATGAAAGATTAATGATGGCGTCACGTAGACAGGAGTGTAAGATGAAGGAATAATGATGGCATCATGTAGACAGGAGTGTAAGATGAAGGAATAATGATGGCGTCATGTAGACAGGAGTGTAAGATGAGGGAATAATGATGGCGTCATGTAGACAGGAGTGTAAGATGAAGGAATAATGATGGTGTCATGTAGACAGGAGTGTAAGATGAAGGAATAATGATGGCGTCATGTCGACAGGAGTGTAAGATGAAGGAATAATGATGGCATCATGTAGCCAGGAGGGTAAGATGAAGGAATAATGATGGGATCATGTAGACAGAGGGTAAGATGAAGAAATAATCATGATATGGTACTGACCAGTTAACATTCTGGGGGGAGCCGTAGTCGGTGTTTGCGACAGAAGAATCTTTCTGTCAGTGGTTCAAGTAATTCAGTACTTACAAACATGTTTCATGTTTAGGAGGAACAACATGATTCTGTTCACCACAACACATTACTTTCAAGAACATCCCGCACATCCACGAAGTGATTTTATATTGTTTTGTTAAACCTGGGGACAGATTTACTTTTTCCAGTATTTTCAGGAACAGAATATCATTTTCAAAACAATCCAATGCTCCCAACCCCGGAATATCAAGTGCTTGCCCCAAAACATAGTCTTTCAGAGAGAAGACCAAAACATAGTCTTACAGAGAGAAGACCAAAACATAGTCTTTCAGAGAGAAGACCAAAACATAGTCTTACAGAGAGAAGACCAAAACATAGTCTTTCAGAGAGAAGACCAAAACATAGTCTTACAGAGAGAAGACCAAAACATAGTCTTACAGAGAGAAGACCAAAACATAGTCTTACAGAGAGAAGACCAAAACATAGTCTTACAGAGAGAAGACCAAAACATAGTCTTACAGAGAGAAGACCAAAACATAGTCTTACAGAGAGAAGACCAAAACTTAGTCTTACAGAGAGAAGACCAAAACATAGTCTTACAGAGAGAAGACCAAAACATAGTCTTACAGAGAGAAGACCAAAACATAGTCTTACAGAGAGAAGACCAAAACATAGTCTTACAGAGAGAAGACCAAAACATAGTCTTTCAGAGAGAAGACCAAAACATAGTCTTACAGAGAGAACACCAAAACATAGTCTTACAGAGAGAACACCAAAACATAGTTTTACAGAGAGAAGGTAGGGTCATACAAAGCATCTTCATCAAACAACATCGCAGCTCCCAACATCTATCTCTACCCATGCAGAAGACTGTCAGCTAGTTGCACCATACCTTGATTTGAATTGCTACTATTTGATATTCGCTCCACAAACACTTTACAGATGAAAGATAAGATTTTCATTTGCTTTCAGTCTTTTGGAATATTCTTCTGGAGAAAACAGTTATCTGTACGATTATTTCTTCATAAATGTTTGTCTCCAGTAAAGAAAGGGTCTGGTACCTGTACACAGGTAGGTAATACATGTGTGTTGGATTGTCCAGGGTCAACCATAACACCAACACCTGGGAGGGATCTATTCTTGCAATATTCTATATGACCGCGGATAAGCCGACCGCGGATAAGCCGACCCCGTAGATAAGCCGAGGTGTTAACTTGACCATTGAAATACGAAAGAAAATGATATATGGTTTTGAGCAACTTTGAACATTCAATTGAAAACTTATTATCGGAAGTAGTAACATGCATAACATTTTTTTAATAATGACAAAATTGGTGTATAATAATAACTTTATTGATAATTTATAACAATAATGGCTCTAGTCGTGGAACTTCCAAACTTTCGGGAAGTTGTAATCTATCGGACCGTCATTCAGGCAATGTTTCTGACAGATCACGATCTGAAAAATACTACATGTATCATGAAAGTGTATCCCGTGGATAAGCCGACCCCTTTCTACAGAATCTTTTTTCTGGTCCTCAAAATTTGGCTTATCCGCGGTCATATACGGTACTTGAGACAAGTTCTGAAGTTATACAGTCTTGTCATATAGCCCTGACATGCATGTTTACCTGTAGCACTGACACACGGTTCCTATGGTACAGTATCTCCAGTAACTTCTTAGGTGAGGCTTTTACTTCATTATTAGTCATAAGCAAGGTTGCACCAGAGGTCAAGGTCACAAAAATCTCCACAATGCTTGGGTCAAAGGTCAAAGGTGATGCAAGGAAACAAAGGTCCTCTGAGTTCAGCTCGTATATCTTCCTGCAGTAAAACATAATACACCTTGTTAACATATTGATTTCTTTTTACCTGAGATGAACAAAATAATATCTACCTCAGATGATATATACAGTATATCCTACCTCAGATGATATATACAGTATATCCTACCTCAGATGATATATACAGTATATCCTACCTCAGATGATATTTACAGTTTCTCCTTCTTGAGGTGATATATACAGTGTAGCCTACCTGAGATTACATATACAGTATATCCTACTTGAGATAATATTTATATAGTATATCCTACTTGAGATGATACAAGAAGTATTTCCTACTTGAGATGATACAAGAAGTATATCCTACTTGAGATGCTGTATACAGTATATCCTATTTCTGATGCTGTATACAGTATATCCTACTTAAGATGCTGCATACAGTATATCCTATTTCAGATGCTGCATACAGTATATCCTACTTCAGATGCTGTATAAAGTATATCCTACCTCAGATGCTGTATACAGTATATCCTACCTCAGATGCTGTATACAGTATATCCTACTTCAGATGCTGTATACAGTATATCCTACTTCAGGTGCTGTATACAGTATATCCTACTTCAGATGTTGTATACAGTGTATCCTACTCCAGATGCTGTATACTGTATATCCTACCTCAAATGCTGTATACAGTATATCCTACCTCAGATGTTGTATACAGTATATCCTACTTCAGATGCTGTATACAGTATATCCTACTTCAGACGCTGTATACAGTATATCCTACTTCAGATGCTGTATACAGTATATCCTACTTCAGATGTTGTATACAGTATATCCTACTTCAGATGTTGTATACAGTGTATCCTACTCCAGATGCTGTATACTGTATATCCTACTCCAGATGCTGTATACAGTATATCCTACTTCAGATGTTGTATACAGTGTATCCTACTCCAGATGCTGTATACAGTATATCCTACTTCAGATGCTGTATACAGTATATCCTACTTCAGATGCTGTATACAGTATATCCTACTTCAGATGTTGTATACAGTATATCCTACTTCAGATGCTGTATACAGTATATCCTACTTCAGATGTTGTATACAGTGTATCCTACTCCAGATGATATATACAGTATATCCTACTTCAGATGATATATACAGTATATCCTACCTCAGATGTTGAATGTTGGGCACGATGCAGCTGTGTGGGACGCGGACCACCTTTGGCACGCTGGTTGTCCCCGACGTGGTGATGCAGTATGCTAATGAGCTGGCTTGTGGGCGTGGCAAGATATCCCGCAGTGACACAAGAACCAGGCCAAGCTCAAACAACTCCATACAGGGTACCACAGCTCCATGCAGGGTGTTGGTCACATCTTCCAGTCTCTGCATAATAATAATAATAATAATAAATGCATATATAGCAGTGTTCAAAATAATTTCAAAACCCAAAAAGACAGTCGGGCAGGTGATTCATAAGTGTTGCTTGTCCATCTTTAAAGTTATCTGCCCGCATTCAGACATAAAAAATATTGAAAAATTGCAAAAACTAAGAGACAAATCATGTCTTGATTTAGTTAATGCAAACAATTACTTGAGAATCTACAAGGAGTTATAATAAGTAGTCTTAAAATTATCTGCCGGATAATCGGGCAGATGGAGGAAAATTTCATGCAGCCCGACAGAAAAGTTACCAGCCACGGGCTGGCAATTTTTTTGGAGACTGATATATAGTGTGCTGTATCCATACCCTGAAGCTTGTTCGTGGCACTTCACAAGTATTAGCCAAGTCAATGGATTAGTGTGCACTCAAATTACATTCTCATCATGGTTTAAAGCACGTTTCGCCACAAGAAGTAGTGCAAGTTATCGATATAGATCATAGAGATCGATAATTACATTATTGACAATGATAAGTCTGTTTCGGTTAATCTAAACTTTATTTCATCACAATAGTTTATGTCAGTTATTATCAATGACAACAGTTTCATATCAATGATTAATAATATTTCTTCCCATCGATGATAATTCCAATTATCGATTATCATAGCCAGCCCTAACAAGAAGGTTTTGCATTCATATTATCTTCTCAACCAGGAAGCGATTGTCGGATATTTTGAACGACATCATATATTTTAATAATCTATGGAAAGCTATGGAAGCTCTAAAACTTTCATGCGTCAAGTTTGCTGAGCGTTGTCATCCATCCACCTACTCTATGCCACCAGCTTAGCTTCACCTTATTGCGATCTCAACTAGTCTGTGTTTAACCCACATGGTAATCCAGGATAAGTTAAACCAACTCACAAAATGTGATTTTGAGACAAGTAGGCAGTGCAGAGAATTTGGCCAAACATATTAGGTTTGTTACAGGTAGAGAGGGTGTATGCATGTTGTGCACGTGCAGGTCATGACGATGAAATTGACTCCCATGGATTCATGCGTTTTTCATAAGACTATTCAGAGGTTGGTGTGACAAGTCGATACCAGAATTCTCTACAAGTCGTTTGAAAGAAGTTAATTACAAACAAATAAACATGTCAAAGCTAGGTAAGCATGGCCAAATCATACATACTCAGGCTCGAAAATTGGCCAATAATGTCACAAATTACATGGAGAAAGGTTGTACAATATATCTGAAGCATTGTCAAAAGCTAGCATTGCCAAGGGTCTGTCTGTATCTACGTGTAGCGGCCATAAAATTTCTGAGTCCCGTGATGGGATGCGAACCATGGACCTTCTGATCCGAGGTCGGACGCCTTGTCCACATGACCAAAGAGGTTAACCCCGTCAGCAAGCTGACAAGGTAAGGATGTCATCTGTGGGATGACTCCACGCCCTGCTACATACTCCCCCGTCAACAGAAGGCACGTCCCGGGCTGCATAGTAGGGTACTGAGGCTTATTTTGCTCAAATTTAATATGAACGTGCTCAGCCCTACGTTTGGCGCCAATGTAGCGGCCATAAAATTTCCGAGTCTCGTGATGGGATTCGAACCACGAACCTTCTGATCCGAGGTCGGACGCCTTGTCCACATGACCAAAGCAAAGCAAGCTGACAAGGTAGGATGTCATCTGTGGGATGACTCCACGCCCTGCTACATATGCTAAAGCGCATCAGAATGTGAAGACTAGTGAGATGATTATCCAGTTATCTCAACATATATCCAGCTAGCAATATTACATTTACAGTATGCTGAAACCCCATCAACAATTACGTGCGATTAATTGAGGAGTATGTCATTGAGTCAGCTATCACTACGTCAGGGTCTCAACCTTTACAATCATTGACACTACTCGTTATTGCTCTCTAGGGTAAAAAAGTAAATTTTCACAGTCATCGGGTACCTCACATCAGCATGTACTCTAATGTGCTATTGAACTAACAAGACTCGCACTACTTGTAGCAGACCACCTGCTACCCCTTTCTTCACAATGGTATGTGCCAGTGGGCATACAGGAATTTTGAATAAAATTAATGAAATAAGTTACAAACATATCCAGATACACAATGAACACTTTTTATAACCAGACAGTGTAATTACATGATTAATTTGCGTACTTCAGTATGGATTTTTTACATGGTATTTCCTGTGTTACGTGCTCACGGTAATGTCTTTGTGTTGGGGGGAAAAAACATCAAAACTCATTATGGTGTGTATAATGCGCACCCCCTTCTACCCAGCTGTGTTTTTTGGGAAAAAAAGTGTGCACTAAACTCAAGAAAATATGGTAGTCATATGGGATCAATTGTCAGGTCACAACTCAAGTTATCCTCCCTAACAGTAGGTAATATGGACTAGTTCTAATGGCAGAATGCAATGAGACTGAGCCTTTTCTTTTGTGATTGGCAGTAAGATGAAGCTAGCTTGAATGTAGCAGTACCTCCACCTACATCCATTATCAGAAGCCTTGCTAAGAAATACAGTAAAGGGTTAGCTGATGACTGATCAACACATTGAAGACGATCTGCTCGATAATCAAGATCTTTATTGTAATAAATCGGGTCTTACTTTAAGAAGTGCACCAAATGACGCGAGCACCTTGATTAATAACATGAAAAGATTTGGAATATATATGTTGACGCTAAATTGACGGTCCACATGCTTTGCAAATCCTGCAATCGACTGCATGGCAGTTTACCAACAGGATGTCGATTTCGATACACAATGGGTTTTTTTTACTGGACTATGCATAGACTCGTAGTCCAGCCAAAACATAACTCCATAATTCTAGCCTAGTTCGGCACAGGTAGAAACTGGACTTTTATAGTCAGTTAACGTCCTTGCCTCGGGAGGATAGGTTAGTTGTTCCCCAAATAAACCAAGGTGTGAGACAACTAAACGAGCAATGAAGATAGTCACCTGCAAGTGATCAACATCGACGAGGAGAAACCTGACCCCCACTTGGGGGAGAGCCTGGCGAAGGTACACACTTCCATCGGAGTCGAAGGGGAAGAAGGACGCTGGCGTCTGAAGAATCCTGCAACATGGCCAGAGATTGGGTAGAATCTAATTAACAAGATTCAAGGAGTTCAAGGCAGTAATGCAGTTTCTTCACGTGTGCCACGGGCATAATGTTTACGTGATTAACAGGTGTGCCCTTTCAATTTTAAACGTGCTAACCACGTGAATACAGTTTGATGACAAAAGTTGAAGTGAAAGGTGAGGTGAAATGGTGAAATGGTGAAATGGTGAAATAACGTCACGTCCAAGATTATTGCACTCACATGACGTGCATGCATGTTTGTGTATGGCTGTTTGTACTAGTCCGGAATAATGATGATTTTATAGTGCTAGCCCACTGAGATACCATGCCGCAGTTTAACATGAATACCCCACTCAGACACAGTATACTGACTCCCAGCCGACCAGTCCTTGTTTTAGCCCCTTAATGCCGAGCACCAGACAGGGTAACAACAAGTACCATCTTTTAAAGTCTTTTGGTATGACACGGTTGGGGATCGAACCCCGGACCTTCCTCTCTCTGGGCGGACGCTCTACCACTAGACCATGCAGTCGATGAAGAAAAGACATAGGTTAACTTAAACTATGTAGACTAAAAGCATTTACATGTTCAGGATGGCTCAGTTTAGTTGTGTTAAGTACTTTACCAACTAGTTCACAGAATAAACATTGTCACAAGATAATAATTTTAAGAGAATTTTATCTTCAGAGAACCCGTAAGGGGCTAGGAATTTATTTCATCTTTGAAAAAAGTATTTTAACCATGGCATTAGTTCTATAATACAAGGAATTTCAAAACCTCAAGTCAAAGTAAATACATATATTTTGATTCCATTTACAAGAAGTATTAGTACAGTGACAAGTATTGTCGATGTAAACAGGATTATCCTTCCTGAGACGACAATAAAGATGGTGTGATGTCTTCTTATAGCTGCTATCAACAGTTTTATATTGACATGGGTCTTATAGTTTGGGATGAGACAATTAACAGCAAACATTTCTAGTCCAACAAGACTTCTGTGATTCCAAGATTCTAAAGAAAAAAAAACATTGTCCTCTATGAACTGAAGTTATCCTAATCATCAACTATGCTTTGCTACAAAGTCTGGGCCAAAAGCTTTATGATGCATCCATTAACCAAAGGTCTAGACCTTTCGGCGCTCTTTATGTCATTAGCTCATATAGTCACAATATATTTGTAATAAGCAAATCAAATATAACGGTTTTTAACAAGTTACATGTTACAGTGAATGTGTACCATCAGTCAATATGTAAAAGGTGCTTCACTTAGAAATTTATAAAATGCCTAAATCTTTTCACAGACTGACTGAAAAATTATAAAGAAGTTCAAAAGGGCTTAAAAACATCATAATAGACTAATTATGCTGGGATTAAGAGCCAAAAAATACACCAAACATACATGTCTTTTGTTTTCTTGTAATCCTAACATTTTCAGTGAGTGGAAATTTGTTACCATATAATAAAAGGAACCATTTTCAATCAATTTGTAAAATACTGAACAATGTTGGCATCTAGTAAATTGCCAAAGTAAAAGTTTAAGTCATTTTACACACTGACTGTAACGTATACATAATAGTATTAACACAGTTGCTTCCTCTGTAAACATTCACATCAGTCGTAGCAGATACAATAACAATAATTCATCAAAAACATATTAGACCAAAACAAATCCTCTTATCATCGGCACAGAGGACCATTGTAAGAGGACTGACTCACCCAAGGAGGACAGATGGCAGGTGAATGTTGGGGGGCACACACAGACCGACAGTCTCATTGTCCACCCCACTTGACCGCAATACTTCACTGACCTGACAACATGACACAAAGCACAGCTGAACACAGGGGAGATTTTACATCAGCTTCACACAGTTTACAGTCTGCCCCAAGATTCTAACAAAGAAATATTCTTCTTAATTCCCTGAGTCACTGACTGGAATGAATCTGTTTGAAGAATGGACTCTGAGAATGGAGAATCTGTCCCCACTCTTATTCTTATACTTTCCTTGTACTTTCCTGGCTCAATCTTGAAAAATGTATAAATATACCTGTCAGTTTCATTTTGTTTAAATGTTTCCACATAAAATATCATATTTCACATGCAATCTAAATGGTACAAGTATTATTTTATATAATGTTAGATATTAAAAGCGGAATACAATATTCAAAACGTTTAAAGATTAGTTTTCCAAATATTTCACGATAATTCTTTTTAAAAAACCATTTGAGATTTACAATTTGTGGTAAAATATTTTCCCTAAAACAGCACATTTATTGTGCAACTTAAACCTCTTGCCTGAATACTGCATAAATTTTGAATAATTCAAAAACATCAGTTAACATGGTTAAAGTATTGAAGTCCTGAAATGTTACTTTAAACATTCACAGAAATCCTAGGATTCGACAAAAAAGGGATTCACTTACAAAATCCTCAAGATCCTTATTAGAACATCAAGAAAAAAACATGATGGAAATTTGTACATGTTTGGCTTTGGCTACAATATTATATACATTCAAATATGTACAATGTGCAGTGCAGCTAATATTTAACATTATGACAACAATAGAAGATATAATTTAGCTAAGGGTGTGACTATCTAAAAGGGTAAAAAAATATAAAGTATATACATCATCGGTTGTAAAGTTACATGAAACACTTATCAGAAACCGAAACATGGAGTTCAACTGTATAATGACAATATAAGATGTGATTATTAGAGTAGTTTAGCTGCTATGATGTTACATATTTACAACCAGATATAAAAATGATATGTCAGTATCATATAAACATGATAATGATTCCTTATTACAAAAAAATTATTATTTCTAAATTTGGAAGAATTCCTTCATCAGATATTTCTTTCAACATGGTTTGTCTGTATAATGAACAATATGTACATTTAAGGAAATAGTGATATGCATTGTCACATTGAAACTTACAAGAGCATGAGTGAGTGAGTGAGTGAGTGAGTAGGGTTTTACGCCGCTTTTAGCAATATTCCAGCAATATCATGGCGGGGGACACCAGAAATTGTATCCATGTCGGGAATCGAACCCGGGTCTTCGGTGTGACGAGCGAATGCTTTAACCACTGGGCTACCCGACTGCCCCTACAAGAGCATGATGATTAATCAGATAGGTTTACTCTGTAGCAATCAGCATTGGGCTTACTACAGTTATGTATGAGCCTTGTATGTAGTATGTTAACTGCTCTTTCACTACAGCTGAAGTAGTCAGGAACTTTTGTTGGTTTCATATTCATACGTTTTCAAAATGCGACAAAGATGTTTTTTCTTTCACTTCATAATAAAGAGAGTTCCAGGCACGTAAAGCACTTGGTATAGAGGCGTTTTCAAAAGTTGATGTGCAAGCAAAAGGTATAACTATGTTGATTTTATGAGGCCACTTATATTTAGTAACAGAAGAAATATTGGAAGGTAATAAGTTAGATATATATGACGGACATTGGTAGTTGAAAACTTTATGTATCAATAGTTGCTTTTTTAAGTCTATGCTTTTCCTTAAGCGGTGCCCAGCGAGTTTGTAATATAGGCTTGATGGAAGACACTTCACTATCCTTGCTGCCTCTAGTTGTTATAATTCAAGTTGAATTTCATTAATGGTGGTCCTGTTAATCCCTGACTTCCAAAGAATATTCTAATCATGCTAATATTGGTCTATTAAAAAAGTATAGATTCTCAAGTGTTGACTGCTTTTCTTCATACATGAGTAACCGGAATGAGGATACTAATTTAGAGGAGGATGGTAAAATATTATTAAATGGTTGAGTTCATTTAATATCATGTGATAGGTAAAAACAAAGATGTTTAAGCTGTTCTTCCCTTTCTAAAATAGGGGGCGGTCGGGTAGTCTAGTGGTTAAAGCGTTCGCTCATCACGCCAAAGACCCGGGTTCGATTCCCGACATGGTTACAATCGGTGAAGCCCATTTCTGGTGTCCCCCGCTGTGATATTGCTGGAATATTGCTAAAAGTGGCGTAAAACCATACTCGCTCTCTTTCTAAAATAGCAGTGTAAAACCTTGAGAACAGGATAATCTGTTAGATGCTTGTGACTTAAGAAAATGAATTTTGAACTGAAATATTTTGACAAACACTACCACATGTCAAATCGTACATAAATATCACGCTTGCCAATCCAGTCAAACTTTGCAAAGTCAATTTTGATGCACAGAATAAAATTTCAAAAAAGGTTCAATACCATCTTTAATATAGTAAACACTAAATAAACACTTTTCAACGATAATCAAATGTCATAACTGAATGTTGTTTTTATTCTGCCACAGGTACAAACTCTTATAGGGTATTAGGCAGAGCTCCAGATAAGCTGCGTATCTGCGTGAAATATGCATCAGAAATGCAGAAATATGCAGTAAAATAAAATCCAAGCGTATCAAATATGCAACGAACATTACAGATACGCTACAAAAATAAAACTTGTGCATATCATCAAAATATTGTGAAGTAACCCTGCATATTCGATTAGCAAATCAGCAACTTATTTTGAAATTATTAACGGGCATTCCGTCAACCTTGCCAAACTCCACGATGACAGTTACATCATGATCATTTGCCATCACACTTTCTTGTGGAAGTATCGTGGTATCATCCTATAAAGCTCTCGAACCCACACGACACCAGTTTGCAGGGACTAGATGAAGAGTGTTTTTAAATATTTAACTAAAATACCCACATGTGTAAAAACTAGTGGGTAACAGAAATTTGAATACCCAGATAGAATTACTGATACCAAATGATTATAAAATGCATGGGTAAAATACCCACAACACCAAAAGCTTATCTGGAGCTCTGATTAGGCAAATCCCTGTGAACATGATGAATGATCCAATACACTCAATGATTATCTTAATAGTTCATGAATAACATTTTATGTTCATGTAATAATATTACACACACATCATAAAACACAATTCTGTAATATTTACTTACAATATTGGCTGTGTTGCACAGGTCTTGGTAGGTGATGAATGACTTGTTTACTCCATCATCAAATTGTACAGCCACTTTATAAGATTGTTCAGAAATTTGTTTTTCCACCAAACCATGCAAAGTTTCCATCCTGCGCAAAATTGAAAATTGTTTATTATGTTTTATGTTTACCATGTTTACTCTAACAACATTATCATTCAGATCAATTGAATGAACTGAAACGTAATAAAAACAAGTTAACAAAAAAAAATAGTGAACATTATTATACATTTTATGTATCACAAACATGATAAACATAATAATTAATATATATAGATGATAAATTATATAGCATCAATTATCATGATGGATATAAGCTATACATTAACCATTTTACAATAAATACAGAGGCATTAGACCACATGTAGACAAACATGAAAATTCATTTCAAACACATTATCAAATTAAATAATTAACTTTTAGCTTAGAATAGGGGAGACCGGGGTGCTTTGGGACACGGGGTGCATTGGGACACCCCCAAAAACTGCTATTTATAGGTGTACAATCACATGATCATTTACACTTAAGGAAGTGACATCATACACCGTGGCACTTTTTGTAGCAGGGGTGGAAGTAGCACCCATTGACAGAAGTTTGGTAAGTTAAATGTAATTTTTGCACTTCATTGTAAAATTCAGACCCCTATTGTTGAAGCTTTATATGCCAAAGTGTTCCATCTTTCAGTTGATGTATGAGTTTTATTCAAAACAGTGATATCTTAAAAGTATTCTGCCAAGAGATGAATTTCATTTTGTCACATGGTTATGTCATGCAGCCAATAAAAAAATGCAAGGGTAGCGTCAGGGCGCATTGGGACACCGTGCCCGGGGTGCATTGGGACATGTCCCAATGCACCCAAAACATGTGATTCTAAATGACCAGCATGTTATCATTTTATGAATTCAAAATGTAATTAATTTGACATTTGCTTTGGATTTGTTTCTTGAACTTTGATGAAATATCAATGAAAGATACTTTTCTGGTAGGTTCAATGACTGGTCTCCTTGGCCTTCCAGTGGAGCTTATTGAGCTGATCTACAGATATCTTCCGGTCAAAGAATTAGTTACATTCTGACATTTACCGTATATGACCGCGTATGAATGACTTTTTCAATATAATTACAACGTTTTTCATCTTATATTTTTGAATATCTGCGAGTACCGGCACATGTCTTGCAGTCCGACTTCGCAGTGTTTTTTGTCTTTCAATTCCTGATTCGGCTTATCCGCGGGTCATATCATTTTCTTTCGTATTTCAATGGTCAAATTAACACCTCGGCTTATCTACGGGGTCGGCTTATCCGCGGTCATATACGGTAATTAGTTGTTTCTTTATGAAGTTAGCGTCCTGAAAAAGAACTAGTTATTTACAGACAAGATCTATCCAAATTTCAAAGTTCTATGGCCATGTCTTTGTTAATGTCCCAATGCACCCCAGTATGTGTCCCAGTATATTTTTTTTAAATCACTGTGTTTTAGTAAATTTCATGTTTGTGAAATACATTTTTTGTTCAGTGATTCATTATTAAAGTGTTGATTAGAAGAAGTGTCAGTTTCTTTATGAATCCATTTCATGTGGGATGTAGACTGGATAATAAAGATTTTGTCCCAATGCACCCCGGTCTCCCCTACATAAATTATGTCCATTTTTCAGAATAAATAAATAAAGCAAATATATAGATTCTAATTGAAAAATAATAGTAGTGCGCGTTATTACAGGTATACCATGATATGGATTACTAATGAATAAAAATCACCATACGTTTGGAAAAAAGGACTATTGCGATTTTCAAAATCATGCATATTTTGATCTTGTTAGAAAACTTTACATAAGTGCCAAGTCGAATCGAAATAATAATATACAGAAATTAGAAAGAAGAGGAACTTTTCGCAACCCTTTTTCCTGTATACAGTGTCTATTACACATGCATGTGATCATTTGACTAAAGCAACTTCTAACAAAGATTGCAGACGATTATGAAGTTGTCAAAAATGTGATGGAAACTACTGGAAAGGGTTTTTTTTTTGTTCAAGTACATAACAAATTACAGATGAAAGAATGCATTGAATATATTGGTACATATTGCAATACATGAATCACTATTACAATAAATTGCAATACGAAAGTCAGGCCAATACTCATCACTAGAAAATATCATAAAAAAATTTAATAAGCTAAAGTAAAACGAAAATATTTTTTTATCATTCCTTTCCATTAGTACTAAAACAGTTAGATCTATGCTATTTTTCAATGACATCTTCCTTCAGCTGCACATTCTCATCTTCATCCATATGCCACAAGTTCCCATACAAATAAATTAGTTTTGCACTTAGCCATCAATGATTGTTACAATGTTTAAGAACATTTTTCACAACTACGAAATATATCAGGATTTCCTTTGTCACAATTAAGAAGGATTAAATCAAAAGATCCCACAAAGCAGAACACTTAAAATAGCAAAAAGCTCAATTGAACAGCATTCTAAAATATAAATCTGGCTTTGGTTTTATTTTTCTTTAGTGTCATAACCTGACATAAACACGTAGTTCTACAAAACTGTATTTCAGAAGTATCTAGTCTCAGCATTATTCTTTATCATTTGTCAAAAACAGGGAAGAAATTCTGTGTCGTTATAACACACTTACATGATTAATAAATCATTTTTGACACATTGAAAAAAGTAAATCACACATCTAAAAAAACTTAAGAGAACAGGCTTGAGAAAACAGGAATTAATTGAGTTTAGCATCTGCCGATTTTGTCAAAAATGGCAGAAAGCAGATGTGAATTTGCATTTTCATTGTCATAACTCAACAATGCACAAAAGCTACTCAAAAATAATTACTCAATATTAAATAAAACATATATATATAAATGCTCACATTTCCTCAGGTTCGATAAGATCAGCAAGTCCCTGCACCCATCCTTACAATGCTGCAACGTGCTGATTCTCGCCAGTATACTAGGAAATGATAAAATCGCGACTCGGATAGATCGATATTCTCTTGGGCTTTGCTTTAATTGGGCTCGGCTTATTCATTCATCATAATTGCCACCATTGTCAACGTAATTCAATGATTGTGTTGCGGTGAATGCGGTAAACCGCCCCCACGCCTTTGTGTTAAGGCCCGCTGTCAAATAATTCATCGTCAGAAAAAGTGGCAAGCATATGCTGTTTGTGAGACTCTAACACATCTAAATATGATCCCGTGCTTAAGAAATTCAAAACATTTTAAATACATCTCATAACTGTGTATTTACCACAAAATATCGTAAAGATTTTGACACCCGGAAGTGTACACTTTATATGGTTTTACAAAACAAAAGAACATTAGAGTTGTCTGCCCCTGGGGGATTTTACGTCAAACTGGCGTCGGATAGTTCCAACAGCCAGATGGTCCGGTGACACTTTGAGTTATCATAATAATATATAACATTTCAGTCAATATATAACATTTCAGTGTCTGTTTAGTGTTAAACAGTCATATGGCTTGAAATTGATTCTCTTTCTCGACCATAGCTGAAATTAACAAAAATCTAAATAATTGTGAAACACTATTGATGTGAACAAATTACCTCAAGTATGGCTCAAAGATCGTTAATCAAAGTTTTTATCTGTTATTCCTTGTATATTTTCTCAAATTGTGAGAATAAAATGTTACAGGCCATATTGCTGTATGCATTAAACCTACAAAATATTTTTTATCACTATAAAAACACTGCACACAGCACAAATACACCGAACAGGACAGAAAAAAATCTTGTTTTGGGGTAGTCTTTCTTTAGCAATATTAACGAGTTTCAGAGGCAAACGTTCTCAAAGGGAATTAAGTTGTTCAAATTGCCCGAAGGTGTGGTTTGATCGACGAAAACAAGCCAGCCTTTGTTCTCATTTCATGAAAAGAAATATTGATTTTCTTTTTCACGACGTCGTTCGGATTATGAAGAAAATTAACGTGATGTCTTGAAATTAGAGTCGAGATTTTCGTTTGGGGCCATTTTCGATTTGTGACTATGTTTGTACCTGACATAATGTCACCTTGCCTTGAACAACACACGGAACAAAGTTCAATCCTAGGTATCCGCAATTTCATTTAAATAGTGAAAAATAGGGGTTCCAATAAATCTAACTCAACATAAAGCGTTGGACAAACTTAATTATATGGAGAGCCAAGGCGGGGAATTTATACCTGAACACAGCTGATCTCGGAATGATCGGAATTGAATTTTGAGCTGGGTTGGGCTGGGCTTGGCTTGGCTGGGCTGGGCTGGTTGTCGTGTTGTGTGATACTTGACTTATTACATCACGTGTCACTTCAAGATTCGCAGCAACCAGTCAGAATTATAAAACATATAATTGCCGAATATTACAAATATAGTGAAGTGTTATCTTTAATGTCGTAGAGGAAATAGTTAAATACTCTTAAACATCATCCAAGAGGTTTTTATCAATTTCGAAAAGTTTATAAAACATAGAATCGCCTTTATTCTGCTGAGGATATGTATATTTTATAGCTACTTGAACATATTTCTGAAAAAACGTTTATTTCTGTTAAAAAAAAATAAAGTTTTGAGCTGGCTTATAAAAAACGTCATTTTAATGTTACTCTGTTCCATCAGACCAAGAGAAAATACGGTGCTATTGTAATTACTGTGATGATCAACATATCAATGAGAAATGCACGACTGCTTTGTGCAAAACTCCTGGCATCATCCAATAATTCTTGATGCGTTAATAGCAGCATGACCGTGGGTAGTTAGAAGAGTGGAGTGAGTCACACGGAGTTTAATGAAGCCTAACCCCCACACGAGACAGCCCAGTACCCAGGGGCCACGTGTAGGGCCTGATCATGTTGCCGCGCTTCACGGCTCAATACAAGCCTTTCAAGTTTTCATGTAATAATGTGTTGTAAATATTATATTCGATTAGTTGACTTTAAATGAAGTACTAATAAAACCTCATCCCAAGATCCTCGGCTATGGACGGTCCGCCATTTAAAACAAACGAGTCTCTTCAGTATCACGCACAAGGCAATATGCTTTTAGTTTTGGGGATTTCGGGTGCTTTTTGTGCTTTGTTTGTTTGTTTTTTATCGAAAAGCCTATACAGCGATGAGTAATATTCACTAACTCGCTTTGCTCAGCCTTACAAAAGAAAATATTTCTGCACGATGACTTATTTTTAATCGACAGATTCGTGTCTTGTCTATTCAAGTTAGACCTTGATTTGTCTTTTATGGCCTTGCCCATGGCTGCGTTTTTGTGTTAAGCTTCGTCGCTATGGGAAAATTAAAGCTGCAATGTCAGATTTTGTGTGTGTGTGTGTGTGTGTGTGTGTGTGTGTGTGTGTGTGTGTGTGTGTGTGTGTGTGTGTGTCTGTCTGTCTGTCTGTCTGTCTGTCTGTCTGTGTGTGTCTGTGTGTGAGTGACTGTCTGTGTTTATGTGTGTATCTATTTCTATGTGTGTGTGTGTGTCGGGAGCGCATGTGTGCATATATCCCACATTACCAGTATACCATATCCTGATAAAGAAATTTATCGTCTACACAATCAGTTCTTGTTTTGTTTTTTGTTAGGAATACAAGCTGCAAATTATGTTTTACTTAACGACATCGCAGACACTTTATTGACTAAACCTGATTCCCGTTCACGGTGAGTCCCGCATTTTATTATTATAACTATTATTACATGTTTTAGTCGATATTTCGTTGTGGAATATTTTTTCTTTGGAAATCTAGTTCGTAGTGTCTTTGACATACAGCCATGCTTAGATGGTAAATCGATCTTTGCAAAGTACAAGGTAATTAATTCATTTAAAGATGTATTACCCCGTATCAAGTAAAACACAATGCAGAACAGTTATAGAGAAAAAAAGCCTTACAGTTCGGATCTTGCACCTTTAAGAAATGTTTTCAAGTGAAAGTCATCCCTCGTGTTTGTGGTATTTTTAATTAATTTGTCTCTTATTTTCCCGTACAATGAACATTCGAAAAAATATTGAAAGCACTTTCGCTTGGATCCCCACCACGACGTTCAAGTGTACTCGACAGGGCAGCTCGAACAAATCAGCATTTAATTCACTACACTGATGCCCGCAATGAGTATGCAGGACATTTAATGATCTTTACCACAGCCACAGTACGAGACACCAGATGGACAGAGGAGAGCTTGCACAACATCACGGCAGTATTGGGTTTCTTCTTTCGATACGACTCTGTTTCATTATTAGTCAGGGAGTTGGGGGCATGGCCTAGTGGCTTACAGCGTTCACTCGTTACACTGAGGGGAGGTTGGTGGTCGAGTGGTGACAGCGTTCACTCGTTCCGGTGAGGGAGGTGGGTGTTCTAGTGATTACAGCATTCACTCGTTCCCGTGAGGGAGGTAGGTGTTCTAGTGGTTACAGTGTTCACTCGTTCCGGTGAGGGAGGTGGGTGTTCTAGTGATTACAGCGTTCACTCGTCACCGTGAGGGAGGTGGGTGTTCTAGTGATTACAGCGTTCAATCGTTCCGGTGAGGGAGGTGGGGTTCTAGTGATTACAGCGTTCACTCGTCACCGTGAGGGAGGTGGGTGTTCTAGTGGTTACAGCGCTCACTCGTTCCGGTGAAGGAGGTGGGTGTTCTAGTGATTACAGCGTTCACTCGTTCCGGTGAGGGAGGTGGGTGTTCTAGTGGTTACAGCGTTCACTCGTTCCGGTGAGGGAGGTGGGTGTTCTAGTGGTTACAGCGTTCACTCGTTCCGGTGAGGGAGGTGGGTGTTCTAGTGATTACAGCGCTCACTCGTTCCGGTGAGGGAGGTGGGTGTTCTAGTGGTTACAGCGTTCACTCGTGCCGGTGAAGGAGGTGGGTGTTCTAGTGGTTACAGCGCTCACTCGTTCCGGTGAGGGAGGTGGGTGTTCTAGTGATTACAGCGTTCACTCCTTCGGGTGAGGGAGGTGGGTGTTCTAGTGATTACAGCGTTCACTCGTGCCGGTGAAGGAGGTGGGTGTTCTAGTGGTTACAGCGCTCACTCGTTCCGGTGAGGGAGGTGGGTGTTCTAGTGATTACAACGTTCACTCGTGCCGGTGAAGGAGGTGGGTGTTCTAGTGGTTACAGCGTTCACTCGTTCCGGTGAGGGAGGTGGGTGTTCTAGTGATTACAGCGTTCACTCGTGCCGGTGGAGGAGGTGGGTGTTCTAGTGGTTACAGCGTTTACTCGTTCCGGTGAGGGAGGTGGGTGTTCTAGTTATTACAGCGTTTACTCGTTCCGGTGAGGGAGGTGGGTGTTCTAGTGATTACAGCGCTCACTCGTTCCGGTGAGGGAGGTGGGTGTTCTAGTGATTACAGCGTTCACTCCTTCGGGTGAGGGAGGTGGGTGTTCTAGTGATTACAGCGTTCACTCGTGCCGGTGAAGGAGGTGGGTGTTCTAGTGATTACAGCGCTCACTCGTTCCGGTGAGGGAGGTGGGTGTTCTAGTGATTACAGCGTTCACTCCTTCGGGTGAGGGAGGTGGGTGTTCTAGTGATTACAGCGTTCACTCGTGCCGGTGAAGGAGGTGGGTGTTCTAGTGGTTACAGCGCTCACTCGTTCCGGTGAGGGAGGTGGGTGTTCTAGTGATTACAGCTCTCACTCGTTCCGGTGAGGGAGGTGGGTGTTCTAGTGATTACAGCGCTCACTCGTTCCGGTGAAGGGAGGTGGGTGTTCTAGTGATTACAGCATTCACTCGTTCCGGTGAGGGAGGTGGGTGTTCTAGTGATTACAGCGTTCACTCGTCACCGTGAGGGGAGGTGGGTGTTCTAGTGATTACAGCGTTCACTCGTTCCGGTGAGGGAGGTTGGTGGTCGAGTGGTTACAGCGTTCACTCGTGCCGGTGAAGGAGGTGGGTGTTCTAGTGATTACAGCCTTCACTCGTCACCGTGAGGGGAGGTGGGTGTTCTGGTGATTACAACGTTCACTCGTGCCGGTGAGGGAGGTGGGTGTTCTAGTGATTACAGCCTTCACTCGTCACCGTGAGGGGAGGTGGGTGTTCTAGTGATTACAGCGCTCACTCATTCCGGTGAGGGAGGTGGGTGTTCTAGTGATTACAGCGCTCACTCGTTCCGGTGAGGGGAGGTGGGTGTTCTAGTGATTACAGCGTTCACTCGTGCCGGTGAGGGAGGTGGGTGTTCTAGTGATTACAGCGTTCACTCGTCACCGTGAGGGAGGTGGGTGTTCTAGTGATTACAGCGCTCACTCGTTCCGGTGAGGCAGGTGGGTGTTCTAGTGGTTACAGCGTTCACACGTTCCGGTGAGGGAGGTGGGTGTTCTCGTGATAACAGCGTTCAC